TCAGGGACCAGAGGCAGCACTGATGTACCTGCCCCTAGACTTCCAGGCCTCCCCAGCACAGAAGCCAGGAAGAGCCCACCTCCACTCCCTCTCTCTGCTCTTCCGTCTACAGAGCCCACACCTCCACCGGTCCTGACCCCATGGGCACTAAGCCCGCAGGCACCCAGGGGAAGGCCTATACCATCAGAGGCCCGAGCACCAGTCAGCTCCATGTCTCCCTATGAGACAAGCTCACCTCCAGAGGAGTCTGCAGGGGCTCAGGGTCTTCCTGCCACCGTGAGCTCTGTGGAAACCAGCAGAGCAGTCACTCAGACATCTGACCACGAAGAATCCATGGTCGATCTGGGAACAAGCTTGGTTACCAAATGGAACTCATCTCTGCCTCTGACCCCAAGCACTGCTGGGGCCCCGGGTTCCACTGCGGCAGCCACTCCTGGGAGCCACAGTGGCCCTTGGTCAGAATCATCCATGACCATCAGGACAGTTGGGCCAGGATCCTCTTCTTCTGCCTCCTCTGGGTCCCCTGAGAGGACCGCTCCATCAGCCACTCCTCCCACAATGGGGGGAACCATGGGAAGTACCTCATTCTCTCCTAAGGACAGGGAAATGTCCACTGAGAAGGTGTCGGTGTCCTCTGTAGTCTCTGGACTTGGAGGCACAAGATCACTCCCATTTCTCCCAGGGACCCCACCCTCCACAGATACTGGGGAAGAAGGAGGGACAAGCCCAGCCACCTCGTGGTCCAGTTCATCAGCTGAAGGGGGGATAAATTCCTCTATTCACACATCCCTCCCCATGAGACACAGTCCTACTCCTTTTGATCTGTCCACCCAGGCGGAGCCCAAGGCCTCTTCCCCAGGTCCCACAACCCCAACCTGGATTTCTTCAGAAGCATTTACCAGTATTCGGGCACGGACAAGCCACCTGCCTGAGACTTTTTCCTCCTCAGGGAGCCCAGGGGCAGAGCACACCAACCCAGGAGTGAAGACCAGCCTTGCCAAAACCCCATTAGGAGCATTGACCTCTTCTGAGTCCAAGAGAGAGCCTCTTTGGATGTCACCCTCTCCACGGTCTGAGGCCCCAGCCAGCAGAGGTGAGACGCCTGGGGTAGGGAGTGCCTGTGTCCCTGATCTTAACAGCTTCCCCTCATGCATGAGGAAGGCCCTGCTGTTTCTGCCTTCTTGGAAATTGGTTTGTTTTTCCTTGATCGGTCATTGAAGATGGTGAGGAATCTTTCTCTTTGTATCCACCAGGTTTCTTATTTGTTTTGCTTCAGGATTCTGGTTGCAGGGGGCTATCCCGCTGGCTGGGGCAGCCATTGCAGTTCCCTGGGTGCGGTTTCCTAGTTCACCGTAGGATTCACCTGCGTGGGGCTACAGTTACAGGACGGCCCATGCATTTTGTGCTTCGTTATAGCCTTTCCTGAGGAACACCACATGCGCGCGCGCGCACACACACACACACAACTTTCTTTATTGTGGTAACACATACCTGACATAAAGTTTGCCACTCTAACCATGTTTAAATATGCCATTCAGTGGCTTTAAGTACATTCACTTTGTTGCACCATCATCACTGCTCCCCATCTTAAGATTTTTTTTTTCATCATCCCAAATGGAAACTCTGTCCCCAATAAACATTTTTTCCTCCCCCAGTGCAGGGAGGCACCGTTCTTTCTGTGTGAATTTCACTATTCTGGGCACCTCACCTAAGGGAAATCACGCAATATTTGCCCTTTGTGTCTGGGTTATTTTGCTTTGTATAACATTTTCAAGGCTCATCCACATTGTAACATGTGTCAGAATTTCATTCCTTTTAAAGGCGGAATAATGTCACATTCTAGGTACATACTCCATTGTGTTCATTTAAACAGAGTAGATATTTGAGTTTTCTCCAGCTTTTGTCCTTCGTGGGCAATGGTGCTACGAACATCAGTGCACAGACGCCCATCTGAGTCCTCACGTTCAGCTCTTTGGGGCGCATGCCTGGAAGGAGGGCGCTGCACCTGGCAGAACACCACCATTTCATGTTTAGCTGTTGAAAGTTCTTCCCCGGGTCACGTGTTCTCACCCAGATGAGAATCGACCCATGGTGAACGTGGGGCCCTAAGCTTTCCTAGGTATCCTTGATTGAAGGTTTTTGTTTCCAAAGTGTGCACATACTGATTTTCCCCATGTACCTTCCTTCTAAACTTCTTGGTACCCATCCAATGCACCTGTCTCTTCCCCAGGCAGTGCTGGGACTGTGGCGCCCACTGCTAATGCCCCTGGGTATGAAAGCTCCTCGTGGCTGGAAAGTGAGCCTTCAGCACCTATGACAGCAGTTTACTCTGCAGGTATGATGGCTGACACTTAAGTTTGTCTCTCTAGGAATCTTGTGTGGTCTCTGATCAGTTGTCCTTTTGCTAGAAACAGTTCTAGAACTTGGTACCAGCTGGCTTTCTCCCTAAAATGTTGATTCTTGCTGTCCTGTTTCTTCAGTAGGGCACCTGCACATTTCCAAGAACACAAGAGGCCGTTTTGTGTTCAGTAGATTTTTATTGGTAGATGGTTCTTGCTGAAAGAGGCCTGAGACTAACATATAAAGAATGGATCAGGAATGATTGCTGGTTCTTGGAAACATACTAAATGGGAAGGAGTCTCCATCTTGGAAGATGTGATGCATCAGAGAGTTAACTCTGTTCCCTTGAGGTGCTTAAGTTGATGAGTACATCAGTCCTGATTGCTGAAAGCAGTAACTTGGCATGTCCTTCTGTCTATAAGAGAAATGGTTCTGTCCCTTCCAGATGAGAGAGGTGAAAGAACATGCCAATATGCAGGAAATAAGCTTGTCTGGATCCACATCTTCCCCTAATCTATTAAAAGCAAGCCACTGAGCTGCCTTTCTATTAGACTCACAGTGTTGAGTGAGAGTTTTAGGGGAGAAAGGCAGATATCAGACTAAAATATACTAGGTAAAGGAAGGGATAGCTCCCCCTCCCCCAATCCCTGGGCAGAGCCTTTACCCTCCCCTAAGACACGAGATGTGGTACAGAGGCCCACATGGTGCCAAATGATCTTGGCAATCCAGTCATTGACCAAGCTCCCATACCCACCATGAGACGCTCACGGGTCATATGATTCCTGCCACGTAAGGGAGCAGACGACAGGCAGAGGGTGTGTCCAACTGAGTTGTAAGAAGGGAGGAAAAGAAGCAAACCCAGAAGCACCTTTTTTTCATTTCCGTGCACATTTTATAACTGAAGAGCTGTTTCAGTCACAGGCCTGCGCACCAGAAGCCCAGGAACATCAGACGATTTCGTAAGGCCAAGCTCACAGGAGCCCAGCAGCAGCCACGAGACTGGGGCCACTGTGCCACCTTCTTTCAGGGAAACTCTAACAGAGACCACTCCTGGGGTGGCCTCTGCGGGACCAGCCGCTCTTCAGTCCATGCCCACAGGCACCGCAGTGCCAGCAGGGTCCCCTATGGAAATGGCAGTGACTGCAGAGAGGCTCTCTCGCTCCCCATTTCCAGCTGAGGCTCAGGTCAGCATGCGCTCTGGGGCACCAGAAGGGCCCAGCCAGTCAAGAGGAGCAGCATCCTCCCACCTCTCAGAGTCTACTCCTTCCGGCCCCAGAGGGAATGTTCTGCGTGTCAGCCCAGTTCTGACTCCCAAGGCAACTGAAATGGACTTGTCCCCATGGCTGGGTTCCGCTGGGGGAACCACAATGGACACATACGTCCCTTTGAGCACATCTCCCACCAGCCTCCAAGGCTCTGCAACGAGCTTGGTTGCAGTCCGCAAGGAAACCACAAGCTCTGTGACAGGTAAATCGGAACTTAGAATCGCGACACAAGTCAACACCACAGTCAGTCCCCCCACTGCCCTGGGTAAGAAGACAGTGACACCTGAACAGCAGGCACGTGGGCCTGTGGGCGAGGCTTCTTCATCTGCTGTCCCATGGTCAGGGAAGACCTCTGGAAGGGACCTGACACTGAGTGCCACCTCTGTGGACCCAGGCACAGCTATCCCCATTCCCACAGCCCACATTACTCCTGCAAGGCCTCGGACTTCTGGTAGACTGGCCTGGGCAGCCACTGTCAGCCTCATCGGTGTGGCACGAGAGAGAACTGGCCCCTCCCTAGCTGCTACCTCGCCTTTACTGGGGCTCGAGTCTGAGTCTACTTCCGGATTGGAGGCCAGTGACACATCTTCACCCAGGGCCCTTTCTGTGACATCATTTCCTGTAGGACAAACAAGCAAGAGTGGAGGCCTCACTCTAGAGACCACCACCTCCAGTCACTGGGGAGCAAGGTCAGTTTCCGCTAGAATGCCTACCCCAGAGAGGAGGGTCTGGACCACAGACAGCACCCAAGCAATGGGGACCTCTTCAGGGACTGTCACAGGCTCAGCTGCTCACTTACATGTCACTGGCATGCCCGAGGTGAGTTCTACAAGGAGGACACTTTCTTCCTTACCATCAACCACTGCAACAGGCTCTACTCATTACTTGTCAGCTCCCACTGGAACCGTACTGGCCCCCCTACTCTCCTCATACACAGATGAAATCACTGAGGTCAACACAAGACTGAAAACTTTAAGTCCAGAGGACACAACCGTATCTACTCCCACTGCAACTTTTTTTGATGGCCACAGAGTGAGCATCTTATTACCTGAGATTACAGGTACAAACTTGGCCCCCAAAAGTCCTGAAATAACAGTACTCCCTATTTCTAGTACCTTTACTGATAAACCAAGCACACAGACTAATATAAATAATGCACCTCCCACGTTTATGCCTCATGTGTCCACCAGGGACTTACCTCCTCCATCTGCCCCTGAAACAGATTCAATAGATGTGGAAGCCACAAGATCCCTAGAATTCACCTTAGGATCCAGGGATACCATATCCACCTTAGCGCAAATGTCCCCTATGGGGACATTCCCTTCTAACCCAAATCATTCATCAAAAACACCAGAAAACCCCACAAGAAGCCCCAGAAATTCTCCCTTGCTCATCATGACACAGTCTGCACAGATGCTCCTCACCATGCAAACAGGTCGCCCTGAAGCTACGTCACAGAAAAAAATGCCATTGCCCACATCACCAATGATCTCCTGGGCAGGGACTCTCTCGGTTAAGACCGAAAGTTCTACACACCCAGAGGTGACAAATCTCATGAGCAGAGGCCCTGAGGATGTGTCAAGGACAGGTTCTTCCCTTGTGGCACCAAGCAGCTCTTCCTCCCTCGAATCTATTCCTGCCCCGACCTCACCTTCGCCTGTGTCTCCTGCAACAGCAGGAACTGGCCCGTCCTCTCCTTCTCCACTCACCACTCTCTGGACCTCTGGCCGTGTGAAGACCACAGACGTGGCGGGCACAAGCTGGGATGCTGCCCATTCCCTTGCAAATGTGAGCGACACCACAGTTGAGACACTGGCCACCCCCCAAGCCCCCACCCATACAGAGACTGTTCACCTTTCCAAAAGGACAGCCGTGAAAAATGTGGGGTCCACCAGTTCTGGACTTGAAATGCATTCCTCTGTCCCAGCAGGCTCGGGGCCATCCAAGGTCACTGCTCCAGTGGTTACCTCAGCCACCATAAGGGAAACCACTGTTTCCACATCAATGCCTGGCTCTTCTGAAACTCCATGGTTTGAGTCAGAACCATCGTCCTCTGTGGCCCCCAGCCTGACGGCAACCAGCACCTCCCAACCGATGGGCTCGGCCACGGAGACAATGGCTGTCTTTTCCAGCATGGCCACTGATGGTAGGTCCGACGTCTCCAGGACAGAAGACATGTCCTCTATCAGGACACCCTTTTCTGGCCCTGCTCACTTCACCATGACACCAGACACCCCCACAGGAATGCCCAGGCTCTCTGCCTCCCCTGCCATGACAGAACCTTCAGGAATGTCCCCAACCATGCAAACAGGTCACCCCAAAGCTACGTCACAGGACACATCTTCCTTGGGTACGTCAAAAATGGCCTTCTTGGCAGGGACTCACTCAGTCGCAACTGAAAGTATATCACACTCAGGGGTGACAACTATTATGAGCAGAGTTCCAGATGATTTGTCAGGAATAAGCACCTCCTTTATGAATGAAATCAGTTCCCCCTCATTCCTGGTGTCGCTATCTGCCACAAACGTACCTTCACCTTCTTCCTCCAAATTACCAAGGTTCAGCTCCACCTCTCTCAGTCCAACGACCTCTTTTTTCAGTCCTGGCCTGGTGAGGGCCACAGACATGGTATTTAGAAGCTCTGAGCCTGGCACCAGTTCCCCTCCCAATTTGAACAGCCCCTCCCTTGAGATCCTGGCCATTTCTGAAACTTCCACGGATACAGAAGCAACTCACCTTGCCCAAAACACAAGTGCTGCAAGTGTGGGGACCGGCAGTTCTAGACACGAACTCCATTCCTCTGTCCCGATCTACTCTGAGTCATCCAGGGTCACATATCCGGTGGATACTGCCTCCTCTTTGGCGGAGGCCACTCTCTCCACATCATCAACACCTGTGTCCTTTACGACAACAACATTTGAAACAGTGCCACTTTCGCATCCAACTTCTGACCTGAAGGTGGCAAGCACAGCCGTGGACTTCAGCTCAGCTCCGTCTACTCCTATGCCTTCACCTCCTCAGTCTACTCATCTTGTGAGGAGTCCCTGGACTGGGGCCACAGATATTCTGCCCTCAGCTGAGACCTTGCCAGCTGACACATTTTCACCCTCTTTGTCAGAAGCCATGGCTTCCTTTGCGACGTCAGGAGTTCCAGGTGTCAGCTCCATTGCCTGCTCATCCGGTCCATTTTGTAAAACAGAACCAGTCCTTGGGGATGCTTCTTTGTCCCCCATTGCAGGGATCCTGCCTTCATCAGCTTCAACATCATTCCCATTTTCAACCTCCACTGCCACTGACTCTTCAACCAGCCCAGCCCCCCATGGGATTACTTCCGCACCAACCCCTCCACGTGCAGGAGATGCCACCCGTGGGGCAGAGATGAGCACTGGTGGTGGGCCCTTGGTTATGGTCAGTAGTCTGGAAACTTGGACCCAGCCAGTCAGGACGTCTTTATCACCCCCTATGGATACCAGAATAACACAGAACATGGACTCGGGAACAGCGACAAGTGCTTCTCAAGTATCTCCACACTCAACACAGTTGACAAGTAAGACCCAGATAATTATTTGTTGTGGAAGGTTGTTCATGTATTGTAGGATGTTGAACAGTATTCCTGGCTAACTCACTAGATGCCTCTAGCACCCTCTGCATAGACAGTTACGACGATTGCCCCAGGCTGAGATCCACTGAATTAGAGAATTCTTGGGGAGATTCCTCTCCTCACATGGATGTTTTTTCCTCATGTCCTGCCTTTATGGACGTTTTTCCTCATATCCTGTCTTTGCATTTTGGACACCATAAGATCCTGAAATTTGAGTATTAAATTAATATAAACAATGGTTAGTATATAAGTTTATGATGCAGACAAAACTATCAGTTCAGATTTCCACACAATCAGTCAATAGCTGTGATCTTGGCAAATTATGATCTCTGAAACCCCACTTTCTATTCTTTAAAAGACAATAATAGGGCATCCTTTCAATATTCTGGTTATGATCAAAAAGAGAAAGGATGCCAGGTGCTTTACAATTGCTCATCATCATCATCACCACCACCATCATCAAACACACAGGAATCATTTTAGAATGTCTACTCTCAGAAATACATTTTTCAGGGTATTCTCAGTAAAAAAGCAACCTGGCTTCGCCATCAGAGTCAAAATCCCCTTAACTTTGTCTCTCCCTGCACCCAACTCCCATAGGCTTTGTGGTCGCTACTGAGGAGCTTCCAGGTAGTTCTTCCTCCTTCCTGGAGCCATATTCTGAAGCCCTGGCCAGTAGTTGTCATCCCAGACAGTGACACTTCCCCCAGAGGTTGACTTCTAGTCACATTGGACAGCTAGTGTAGTCCCTGACAAATTTAATTCAGTAAACATTTGTAGTAGAAGTAGTAGTGACAGTAGCAATAGTAGTTGTAATAGTAACAATAGTAATAATTCCAGTAATAATAACAGAAGCAATCACTCTAGTAGTCATAGCAATAGTAGTACTAATAATAGTAATAGGTGGTAATAACAGTAGTGACAGCAGTAATGGTAAGTAATAGCAGTTGTAGTAGTAACGATATTAACAATGGTAGTAGTAATAGCAGTAATGATTGGTAGTAGCAGCGGTGTTAGTAACAGTAGTGACAGTAGTAATAGTAGTTAGTAGTGATAATGTCTTATTGTGAGCCAGAAGGCACTGTTCTTGGTGCTTTTTTATTAACACTCTGAGATGGCCGCTGTATTTTTCCTTACTTTGTAGATGAGAAAATGGAGATCTAGCAAGATTTGGTAGTCCATCTATCTATTTAGTGGAGGAGCCAGAATCTTGGTGTGGGATTATCTTATTATAGAACCCAAGCTCTAAGCACAATGACACATGGTCTCTCTCAAGTAAGAGACCTGCCTATGTATATATCTATCCATGTGTTCATTCATTAATTAATTCACTGATTAGCAAATATTTGTCGAGCACCTACTATATGCCAAGCAGACAAGCATTCACAGCTGTTACCAAGAAGATGGTGGGATGTGGTGCAGTGCAAGGTCAGATGGTATGAAAGGAGGTGAGAGGGGAGAGATGAATTTTGACATGAATTTGTACAAGTTGATTTCACCTGGAGTTTGAAGTAGAACAGAAAGTAAGAAGTCTAATGAAAGATGGTCATGTCAAGCAGACAAAACTGCTTGAACCAAGACTCAGAGGATGGCAAGTACAGAATACATTTGAAAGCAGGAAGGAGTCATCTTGGGAGTTACTGCCCAAATGGTACAGGAAGAGTAGGGGAATGCCAGTCACAATTCCTTTCCCCGTTCCCGAAGCACTAAGGTACATTTTGGGCAGAGACATTTTTCTCCCTTTCCTCATGTGGAGAAAAAAAATAACTCTTGCCAGTCCACTAAATGGTAATGATTCTCTCCAAATTGTGCGTCCATCCCACAATTCACAGGACTACCATCAGGAGGGACAGAGAGGGCACAGACCACTGCCGCCGCAACCTCAGCCACCAGAGTGTCTACTCCCACTTTGGGAATGCTGACTGTCCTCAGGACATCGGGTAAGACGGCCAGCACAAGCACAACAGGAGCGATCAGCACAACCTCAGATGTTTCCCCTGACGTTCTGGGCAGGACAGCCTCCTCGGCCACCAGACTGGGAGCAGAGACGAGCAGCACAGCAGTGTCCAGAACAACCCCGTCCACGTTCAAGAGAAGATCAGCAACCACGCCTGCACTGGCCATTGGTTCTGGGGCGGAGACCAATACAGCTTTTCCAACTCTGGCTGTTTCCTTTGGCGAGCCAGAGGCCAAAACCTCATGGGTTACCCATCCTGTGGAGACCAGCCCAACTGTCTCCAGGGGAACCCTGAATGTTTCCAAAAGCAAATCAGACAGCACACCTGCAGTGGTTACCAGTTCTGCAGAGGAAGACAGTTTAGCTGCTTCAATTTTGACTGCCTCCCCCAGTGTACTGGGGATGGTGAACTCACTTGTGACTAGTCCTGGGACAAAGACAAGTATGTTTATTCCAAGTCTGACTGGTTCTACAGATGAACCAGAAACTACAGCCTTATGGGTCACGGCACAGAGCAGTTCATCCATTGCAACTTCAACTGTCTCCCCTCATGCGCCAGGGCTGGTGACGTCACTGGGCACTACTTCTGGAACAGAGAAGAGCCCAGCTGTTCAGACTCTGACTGAGTCCTCAGGTGAGCCAGATACAACAGCCTCATTGGTTACCCATCCCGGGACACAGACCAGTTCAATCATTTCAACTTTGACGTTTTCTCCTGGTGTATCAGGGGTGGAAATCTCACAGGTAACCAGTTCTCGGGCAGACACTGGTGGAACTTTTCCAACTCTGACTAATTCCACACCTGAACCAGAGGCCACAGTCTCATGGGTCACCCATCCTTTGGCACAAGGCAATTCCATTGTTCCAACTATGACTATTTCTCCTCATGAGCCAGATAGCAGAGCCCCATGGGTACATTCTCCAAAGACTAGCACCTCTGTTTCCAGGGAAACTCAAAATATTTCCCATACTGAATTAGACATGGTACCTTCAAGAGCCACCAGCCCTCAGGCAGAAGCCAGTTCAGCCATGCCAACAATGACTGTCCCACATGATGTACTCAACATAGCAACCTCCCTGGTCACTAGCTCTGGAAGAGAAGGCAGTTCAGCTATTCCAACTCTGATTGTTTCCCCTGATGAACCAGATACAGGAGACTCCTTGGTCACCCAAACTGCAGAATCCAGCCCAACAGTTACCAGGACAGTTCCCAGTGCTTCCCATACTGAATCAGACAGTAAACCTTCGATGGCCACTAGTCATGGGGAACAAACCAGGTCAACTCCTCGAGCTAGGACTGTCCAGCCTGTTGTACCAGAGGTAATGCCCTCCCAGGACACAAGTCCTGGGGCGGAGACCAGCACAACTTCTTCAACTTTGCCTAAACCCCAAATTTCTCAGGAGACCACAGCCTCATGGGCCACTCAGATTGACACGAAAGCCACATCAGATGTTACAACTCGGGCTCTGTCCCTTGCTGAGCGAGATACAACAGTTTCTATGGTCACCCATCCAACAAACACCAGCCTAATTGTTTCCGAACTGACAGCCAGTGTTCCTCATAGTGATTTACACAGCGCAATATCAACAGCAACAAACCCTGGGGCAGAAGCCACTTCAGCCATTCCAAAGACAACCGTCTCCCCTGGTGTGTCAGGGCTGGCGACCTCATGGCTTGCTACTTCTAGGGCAGGAGCAGGTGCAAGTTTTCCAACGCTGACGGATTCTCCACGTAAACCGGACGCCACCATGTCCTGGGCCACCCAGTCTGAGACGGAGGCAAGTTCAGTTGTTCCAACCCTGACTGTTCCCCCCGATGAACCACATACGAGAGTCTCCTTGGTCACCCGCCCTGCCGGGTCCAGCCCAACGGTTCCCGGGACAGCTCCCAGTGCTTCCCATGGTGAATCGGGCAGCGCACCCTCGGTGGCCACCAGTCCTGGGGCGGAAACCGGGTCAACTCTCCCGGTTAGGCCTGGCCTACCTGTTGTATCAGGGGTGGTGACCACACAGGCCACGAGTTCTGGGGCCGAGACCGGCGCAACGTCTTCACCTTCGCCTGATTCCCAAGTTCCTCTGGAGGCCACAGACTCATGGGCCACCCACCCTGGAGCACAAGCCAGTTCAGCGGTGCCAACGATGACTGGTTCCCCTGATGTATCGAGCTCCGCGAGCTCACTGGCCACCAGTTCTGGGACAGAGACCGGCACAACTTCTTCACCTTTGCCTGATTCCCAACCTCCTCAGGAGACCACAGCCTCATGGGCCACCCAGTTTGGCACAGAATCCGTGTCAGCCTTTCCAACTCCGACTGTTTCCCCTGATGAACCAGATACAAGAGTCTCCTTCAACACCCACCCTCCAGAGTCCAGCCCAGCTGCACCCAGGACAGCTCCCAGTGTTTCCCATAGGCAACCAGACAGCGTGCCCTCGGTGGCCACCAGCTCTGGGGCAGAAACCAGATCAACTCTTCCAGCTAGGACCGTCCAACCTGCTGTCCCAGGGGTGGCGACCTCACTGGCCGCGAGTTCTGGGGCTGAGAGCAGCGCACCTTCTTCAACGTTGCCTGATTCCCAAGGTCCCTTGGGGACCACAGCCTCACGGGCCACCCAGTTTGGCACGCAAGCCGGGTCAGCTGGTCCAACTCCGACTGGGCCCCCTGGTGAACCAGGCTCAACAGTTCCTGTGGTCACCCATCCCCCAGAGACCAGCCCAGTTGTTTCCCAAACAACCCCCAGTGTTTCCCACACTGAATTCGGCAGGGCAGTCTCAACAGGCACAGGTCCTGGGGCAGGAGCCAGTTCAACTGTCTCCACTCGGACTGTCTCATCTGCTGGACCCGCGACGGTGACCGCACAGGCTACCGTTTCTGGGGCAGAGACCAGTACAACTTTTCCAACTTTGACCACTTCCCCCGATCAACCGGAAGACACACCTTCACGGACCACGCATTATGGGAGAGAAGCCAGTTCAGCTGGTTCAACTCAGACCGATTCCTCTGGGGAGCCAGATACAACAGTCCTGTTGGTCACCCTTCCTGGGGAGACCAGCCCAGCGGTCTCCAGGACGATGCCCGATGTTTCCCATGGCATATTAGACAGCGTACCCTCACGGATCGCCAGCCCCGGCACAGAAGCCGGGTCAGCTGCTCCCACGGTGACGGTCTCCTCTGGTGTCCCGGATGCGGTCACCCTAGAGGTCCCTGGCTCTGAGACGGGTGGCAATACAGGTATTCCAAGCCTGACTCTTTCTCCTGGTGGAGCAGCGACCACAGCCTCACTGGCCACCCATCCTGTGGTGCACACCGGTTCAGCCAGCCCACATCCAGCCGTCTCCTCTACTGTGCCGGGGCCGGTCACCTCACTGGTCACCACTTCTGGGGAAGAGACCAACAAAACTTTTCCAACGCTGACTCATCCCCCACATGGGCCAGAGACCACAGGCTCGTGGGTCACCCATGCTGAGACAGAAGCCAGGTCCATTGTTCCATCTGTGACCAGCCCGCGTGGTGAGGAGACAGAAACGGCAGCCCCAGGGTTCCTTTCTGCGGGGACCAGCACGCCTGCTTCCGGAACAAGTCCGCGTTTTTCCCCTAATGAATCTGGAAACTTGCCCTCAACATCCACCGGTCCTGGGGCAGAAGCCACTTCAGCCATTCCAACGACAACCGTCTCCCCTGGTGTGTCAGGGCTGGCGACCTCATGGCTTGCTACTTCTAGGGCAGGAGCAGGTGCAAGTTTTCCAACGCTGACGGATTCTCCACGTAAACCGGGCGCCACCATGTCCTGGGCCACCCAGTCTGAGACGGAGGCAAGTTCAGTTGTTCCAACCCTGACTGTTCCCCCCCGATGAACCACATACGAGAGTCTCCTTGGTCACCCGCCCTGCCGGGTCCAGCCCAACGGTTCCCGGGACAGCTCCCAGTGCTTCCCATGGTGAATCGGGCAGCGCACCCTCGGTGGCCACCAGTCCTGGGGCGGAAACCGGGTCAACTCTCCCGGTTAGGCCTGGCCTACCTGTTGTATCAGGGGTGGTGACCACACAGGCCACGAGTTCTGGGGCCGAGACCGGCACAACGTCTTCACCTTCGCCTGATTCCCAAGTTCCTCTGGAGGCCACAGACTCATGGGCCACCCACCCTGGAGCACAAGCCAGTTCAGCGGTGCCAACGATGACTGGTTCCCCTGATGTATCGAGCTCCGCGAGCTCACTGGCCACCAGTTCTGGGACAGAGACCGGCACAACTTCTTCACCTTTGCCTGATTCCCAACCTCCTCAGGAGACCACAGCCTCATGGGCCACCCAGTTTGGCACAGAATCCGTGTCAGCCTTTCCAACTCCGACTGTTTCCCCTGATGAACCAGATACAAGAGTCTCCTTCAACACCCACCCTCCAGAGTCCAGCCCAGCTGCACCCAGGACAGCTCCCAGTGTTTCCCATAGGCAACCAGACAGCGTGCCCTCGGTGGCCACCAGCTCTGGGGCAGAAACCAGATCAACTCTTCCAGCTAGGACCGTCCAACCTGCTGTCCCAGGGGTGGCGACCTCACTGGCCGCGAGTTCTGGGGCTGAGAGCAGCGCACCTTCTTCAACGTTGCCTGATTCCCAAGGTCCCTTGGGGACCACAGCCTCACGGGCCACCCAGTTTGGCACGCAAGCCGGGTCAGCTGGTCCAACTCCGACTGGGCCCCCTGGTGAACCAGGCTCAACAGTTCCTGTGGTCACCCATCCCCCAGAGACCAGCCCAGTTGTTTCCCAAACAACCCCCAGTGTTTCCCACACTGAATTCGGCAGGGCAGTCTCAACAGGCACAGGTCCTGGGGCAGGAGCCAGTTCAACTGTCTCCACTCGGACTGTCTCATCTGCTGGACCCGCGACGGTGACCGCACAGGCTACTGTTTCTGGGGCAGAGACCAGTACAACTTTTCCAACTTTGACCACTTCCCCCGATCAACCGGAAGACACACCTTCACGGACCACGCATTATGGGAGAGAAGCCAGTTCAGCTGGTTCAACTCAGACCGATTCCTCTGGGGAGCCAGATACAACAGTCCTGTTGGTCACCCTTCCTGGGGAGACCAGCCCAGCGGTCTCCAGGACGATGCCCGATGTTTCCCATGGCATATTAGACAGCGTACCCTCACGGATCGCCAGCCCCGGCACAGAAGCCGGGTCAGCTGCTCCCACGGTGACGGTCTCCTCTGGTGTCCCGGATGCGGTCACCCTAGAGGTCCCTGGCTCTGAGACGGGTGGCAATACAGGTATTCCAAGCCTGACTCTTTCTCCTGGTGGAGCAGCGACCACAGCCTCACTGGCCACCCATCCTGTGGTGCACACCGGTTCAGCCAGCCCACATCCAGCCGTCTCCTCTACTGTGCCGGGGCCGGTCACCTCACTGGTCACCACTTCTGGGGAAGAGACCAACAAAACTTTTCCAACGCTGACTCATCCCCCACATGGGCCAGAGACCACAGGCTCGTGGGTCACCCATGCTGAGACAGAAGCCAGGTCCATTGTTCCATCTGTGACCAGCCCGCGTGGTGAGGAGACAGAAACGGCAGCCCCAGGGTTCCTTTCTGCGGGGACCAGCACGCCTGCTTCCGGAACAAGTCCGCGTTTTTCCCCTAATGAATCTGGAAACTTGCCCTCAACATCCACCGGTCCTGGGGCAGAAGCCACTTCAGCCATTCCAACGACAACCGTCTCCCCTGGTGTGTCAGGGCTGGCGACCTCATGGCTTGCTACTTCTAGGGCAGGAGCAGGTGCAAGTTTTCCAACGCTGACGGATTCTCCACGTAAACCGGGCGCCACCATGTCCTGGGCCACCCAGTCTGAGACGGAGGCAAGTTCAGTTGTTCCAACCCTGACTGTTCCCCCCGATGAACCACATACGAGAGTCTCCTTGGTCACGCGCCCTGCCGGGTCCAGCCCAACGGTTCCCGGGACAGCTCCCAGTGCTTCCCATGGTGAATCGGGCAGCGCACCCTCGGTGGCCACCAGTCCTGGGGCGGAAACCGGGTCAACTCTCCCGGTTAGGCCTGGCCTACCTGTTGTATCAGGGGTGGTGACCACACAGGCCACGAGTTCTGGGGCCGAGACCGGCACAACGTCTTCACCTTCGCCTGATTCCCAAGTTCCTCTGGAGGCCACAGACTCATGGGCCACCCACCCTGGAGCACAAGCCAGTTCAGCGGTGCCAACGATGACTGGTTCCCCTGATGTATCGAGCTCCGCGAGCTCACTGGCCACCAGTTCTGGGACAGAGACCGGCACAACTTCTTCACCTTTGCCTGATTCCCAACTTCCTCAGGAGACCACAGCCTCATGGGCCACCCAGTTTGGCACAGAATCCGTGTCAGCCTTTCCAACTCCGACTGTTTCCCCTGATGAACCAGATACAAGAGTCTCCTTCAACACCCACCCTCCAGAGTCCAGCCCAGCTGCACCCAGGACAGCTCCCAGTGTTTCCCATAGGCAACCAGACAGCGTGCCCTCGGTGGCCACCAGCTCTGGGGCAGAAACCAGATCAACTCTTCCAGCTAGGACCGTCCAACCTGCTGTCCCAGGGGTGGCGACCTCACTGGCCGCGAGTTCTGGGGCTGAGAGCAGCGCACCTTCTTCAACGTTGCCTGATTCCCAAGGTCCCTTGGGGACCACAGCCTCACGGGCCACCCAGTTTGGCACGCAAGCCGGGTCAGCTGGTCCAACTCCGACTGGGCCCCCTGGTGAACCAGGCTCAACAGTTCCTGTGGTCACCCATCCCCCAGAGACCAGCCCAGTTGTTTCCCAAACAACCCCCAGTGTTTCCCACACTGAATTCGGCAGGGCAGTCTCAACAGCCACAGGTCCTGGGGCAGGAGCCAGTTCAACTGTCTCCACTCGGACTGTCTCATCTGCTGGACCCGCGACGGTGACCGCACAGGCTACTGTTTCTGGGGCAGAGACCAGTACAACTTTTCCAACTTTGACCACTTCCCCCGATCAACCGGAAGACACACCTTCACGGACCACGCATTATGGGAGAGAAGCCAGTTCAGCTGGTTCAACTCAGACCGATTCCTCTGGGGAGCCAGATACAACAGTCCTGTTGGTCACCCTTCCTGGGGAGACCAGCCCAGCGGTCTCCAGGACGATGCCCGATGTTTCCCATGGCATATTAGACAGCGTACCCTCACGGATCGCCAGCCCCGGCACAGAAGCCGGGTCAGCTGCTCCCACGGTGACGGTCTCCTCTGGTGTCCCGGATGCGGTCACCCTAGAGGTCCCTGGCTCTGAGACGGGTGGCAATACAGGTATTCCAAGCCTGACTCTTTCTCCTGGTGGAGCAGCGACCACAGCCTCACTGGCCACCCATCCTGTGGTGCACACCGGTTCAGCCAGCCCACATCCAGCCGTCTCCTCTACTGTGCCGGGGCCGGTCACCTCACTGGTCACCACTTCTGGGGAAGAGACCAACAAAACTTTTCCAACGCTGACTCATCCCCCACATGGGCCAGAGACCACAGGCTCGTGGGTCACCCATGCTGAGACAGAAGCCAGGTCCATTGTTCCATCTGTGACCAGCCCGCGTGGTGAGGAGACAGAAACGGCAGCCCCAGGGTTCCTTTCTGCGGGGACCAGCACGCCTGCTTCCGGAACAAGTCCGCGTTTTTCCCCTAATGAATCTGGAAACTTGCCCTCAACATCCACCGGTCCTGGGGCAGAAGCCACTTCAGCCATTCCAACGACAACCGTCTCCCCTGGTGTGTCAGGGCTGGCGACCTCATGGCTTGCTACTTCTAGGGCAGGAGCAGGTGCAAGTTTTCCAACGCTGACGGATTCTCCACGTAAACCGGGCGCCACCATGTCCTGGGCCACCCAGTCTGAGACGGAGGCAAGTTCAGTTGTTCCAACCCTGACTGTTCCCCCCCGATGAACCACATACGAGAGTCTCCTTGGTCACCCGCCCTGCCGGGTCCAGCCCAACGGTTCCCGGGACAGCTCCCAGTGCTTCCCATGGTGAATCGGGCAGCGCACCCTCGGTGGCCACCAGTCCTGGGGCGGAAACCGGGTCAACTCTCCCGGTTAGGCCTGGCCTACCTGTTGTATCAGGGGTGGTGACCACACAGGCCACGAGTTCTGGGGCCGAGACCGGCACAACGTCTTCACCTTCGCCTGATTCCCAAGTTCCTCTGGAGGCCACAGACTCATGGGCCACCCACCCTGGAGCACAAGCCAGTTCAGCGGTGCCAACGATGACTGGTTCCCCTGATGTATCGAGCTCCGCGAGCTCACTGGCCACCAGTTCTGGGACAGAGACCGGCACAACTTCTTCACCTTTGCCTGATTCCCAACCTCCTCAGGAGACCACAGCCTCATGGGCCACCCAGTTTGGCACAGAATCCGTGTCAGCCTTTCCAACTCCGACTGTTTCCCCTGATGAACCAGATACAAGAGTCTCCTTCAACACCCACCCTCCAGAGTCCAGCCCAGCTGCACCCAGGACAGCTCCCAGTGTTTCCCATAGGCAACCAGACAGCGTGCCCTCGGTGGCCACCAGCTCTGGGGCAGAAACCAGATCAACTCTTCCAGCTAGGACCGTCCAACCTGCTGTCCCAGGGGTGGCGACCTCACTGGCCGCGAGTTCTGGGGCTGAGAGCAGCGCACCTTCTTCAACGTTGCCTGATTCCCAAGGTCCCTTGGGGACCACAGCCTCACGGGCCACCCAGTTTGGCACGCAAGCCGGGTCAGCTGGTCCAACTCCGACTGGGCCCCCTGGTGAACCAGGCTCAACAGTTCCTGTGGTCACCCATCCCCCAGAGACCAGCCCAGTTGTTTCCCAAACAACCCCCAGTGTTTCCCACACTGAATTCGGCAGGGCAGTCTCAACAGCCACAGGTCCTGGGGCAGGAGCCAGTTCAACTGTCTCCACTCGGAATGTCTCATCTGCTGGACCCGCGACGGTGACCGCACAGGCTACTGTTTCTGGGGCAGAGACCAGTACAACTTTTCCAACTTTGACCACTTCCCCCGATCAACCGGAAGACACACCTTCACGGACCACGCATTATGGGAGAGAAGCCAGTTCAGCTGGTTCAACTCAGACCGATTCCTCTGGGGAGCCAGATACAACAGTCCTGTTGGTCACCCTTCCTGGGGAGACCAGCCCAGCGGTCTCCAGGACGATGCCCGATGTTTCCCATGGCATATTAGACAGCGTACCCTCACGGATCGCCAGCCCCGGCACAGAAGCCGGGTCAGCTGCTCCCACGGTGACGGTCTCCTCTGGTGTCCCGGATGCGGTCACCCTAGAGGTCCCTGGCTCTGAGACGGGTGGCAATACAGGTATTCCAAGCCTGACTCTTTCTCCTGGTGGAGCAGCGACCACAGCCTCACTGGCCACCCATCCTGTGGTGCACACCGGTTCAGCCAGCCCACATCCAGCCGTCTCCTCTACTGTGCCGGGGCCGGTCACCTCACTGGTCACCACTTCTGGGGAAGAGACCAACAAAACTTTTCCAACGCTGACTCATCCCCCACATGGGCCAGAGACCACAGGCTCGTGGGTCACCCATGCTGAGACAGAAGCCAGGTCCATTGTTCCATCTGTGACCAGCCCGCGTGGTGAGGAGACAGAAACGGCAGCCCCAGGGTTCCTTTCTGCGGGGACCAGCACGCCTGCTTCCGGAACAAGTCCGCGTTTTTCCCCTAATGAATCTGGAAACTTGCCCTCAACATCCACCGGTCCTGGGGCAGAAGCCACTTCAGCCATTCCAACGACAACCGTCTCCCCTGGTGTGTCAGGGCTGGCGACCTCATGGCTTGCTACTTCTAGGGCAGGAGCAGGTGCAAGTTTTCCAACGCTGACGGATTCTCCACGTAAACCGGGCGCCACCATGTCCTGGGCCACCCAGTCTGAGACGGAGGGTAGTTCTCCTATTTTACCTTTTACTGTGTCCCCGGGGGAACCAGATAGACCAGTTTCCTTTGTCACCCATGTGGTAGAGACCAGCCTAATGGTGTCCCAAACAACCACCAACATTTCCGATAGTTTTCCAGAGCCCACAGCCTCTGTGGCTACCAACTTTGGGATAGAATCCAGTTCAGCGTTTCCTACTCTTACTGTCTCTCCTGGTGTACCAGGTAAGCTGACCTCCCAGGTCGCCATTAGTGAGACAGATGCCAGAACAGCTACTCCATCTTCAACTCTTTCTCCTAATATACCAGTGACTACAGCCTCATTGGTCACCCACCCCACTGCAGAGACAAGCACAAGTTCTCCTGCGTCAACTCTTTTTCCCCATATGCCAGGCATCACAGCCTCACCATCCATCCAGCCTGGGTTGGATGTTAGCGCACCTCTTCCATCTGAGACTGCTTCCCTCAGTCCACCAAAAACTGCGTCCTCTCTCTTCACCACACTTGTGAATGAGGCCAGCAGAGTTGACCTGGGTCCAACAGCCTCACTCCGCGTTCCTGTGGGAACAGGCTCCCTCTACACCCGTTCTGAGACAGGCCTCAGTGCGACTATTTCAACTTCTACTCTTTTCCATGGTTTGTCAGGGGCCACAGGCTTCCTGGCCCCCAGCCCTGCATCAGAGGCTGGTACAGACATTCCAATTCTGCCTGCTTCCCCTGAGGTTCCCGAGCCTTCCCGCACCCCTGCAGCCTCCGGTAAACCTGACACTGTAACTTCCTGGAGCACACAAACCTCACCACCTGCAACCTCAGCTGGACTCCCAGAGTTTTCCAGGACTGTGACAGGCAGCACTGTGACCTTGAGTACATTTAAAACCCTTCGTGAAGGATCAAGTCCAACCACTGTCCCAAAAACTACAGCCCTTGAGACCACCAGCTTAGCAGCCACAGGTTCCAGCCCTACCATGGCCAAGAGGACAACCACCTTCAGTAGACTGTCTGAAAGTCCTTTTGTCCCTGTGACCACACCTGAGATGTCCACATCAGCCTATGCAAGTGTGACTTCAGGAACAGGTAAGAATAACTTTTTTATTCTATCTAGCTGTCATATATAGTTTACCCATTTAAATGTACAATTCAGTGGCATTTATTATATCCACACTGTTTTGTAACCATCACCACTGTCTATTTCTACATTTTTGTCACCTCAGACAGGATCTGTTTATTCATTAGGCGATAACTCCCCTTTCCCTGCTCCCCCCTGTCTCCCAGTCCTTGGTAACCTCTAATCTACTTACTGTCTCCATGAATTTTCCTGTTATAGTTATCTCACATAAGAAATTATACAATATATCTGCCCTTTTGTATCCTGCTTATTTTAGTTAGCACAGTGTGTCCATGATCTCTCCATGCCGGAACATGTATCAGAACTTTATTCCTTTTTGTGGATAAATAATATTCCATTGTGTGGCTAGACCACATTTTCTCTGTTCATTCATCCATTGATGGAAAATCAGGCTTTTTCCACCTTTTGACTATTGTGAATCATGCTGCTATAAACATGGATGTACAAGTATCCATGTAAGTCCCTGTTTCCAATTCTTTTGGGTATATACCGCTGGTCCAAATAACGTCAATTTTTATTATAACATTGATGATATGCCTTATGAACTTAACCCCTTTTCATATTAATTAGTTTATCATAAAATTGGTTTCTTTATACATAGTTTCACCTAAAGTTGCAGAACCTATTGACAATATTACATGGGGACTTGCTGTACTAGAAAAGGAATTGTTGGGTCATTTGCTGTATTAGTTTGCCAGAGCTGCCATAACAGAATACCACAAACTGGGAGGTTTCAACAACAGAAACTCATTCTGAAGGCTGGAAAGAAGAATGCATGCAACACACACCTTAGAGTCATCCCATGTGAGGGGGAAGGAGCTGGGGTATTTAATCCTCCAACTCCCACCTGTCACTGTTGGGCCTCAGAATTTCCCCAGGACAAAGAGATGCAGGTGCTGGCTTGTGCTAAAATGGTTAAGAGACAAGGGGAAGTAGGAATAGGCTGACCAACGCCTCTGAGTTTTCCCAGGCCAGTCGCAGTTCCAAGCCGAGAGCCTGCATTCCAGAAACCCACATGGTCCCGGGGACACAGGGGTGGTGGGTCACCCTGTGAGAAGGGGTCTTGGACAGTGACTGCCACACGAGGTATCTCACGGAGGACAGCCCAGCCGGGCCCCACTCGGCACTGGAGCGAAAGCATGTCCTCAGAGTCTCCCTCCCGCCCCCTGTCCCAGGCCTGACTCAGGACTGACCTCACTTTACTCTCCCCTTTCATGCAGCTGCAGTTCCTTTCCTGATGCCTTTTACTGTCAACTTCACCATCACCAACCTGCACTACAGGGAGGACATGGGAAACTTGGGCTCTGAGATATTCAGTGTCACTGAGAGATCCCTGCAGAAACTGGTGAGAGCACCCCACCAATACCCGCTTCACCCCAACCCCACCACACCCTGCTGTTTTGGTCCCTCCTACTCATCTCCCTCTCATTCCTTCTCAGCTGGGGCCCTTGTTCAAGAACAGCAGCATCGGTTCTCTCTATGCTGGCTGCAGACTGACCTCGCTCAGGTGAGACCTTCTTCTCTAAAGCACCCACAGAAACCCTACTTCTTTTTTTCTTGGCCCTTCACACCCTGGTCCATGATGGCTACTTGGGCCTTTGCTGAGAGGCAGTGTAACAGTCGATCTGAAGTGCCTGAGTTCGAACCCCTGCCCTTCCATTTGCTAGCTGCGTGACTTTGGACAAGTCACCTCTCTGTTCTCCAGTTGCACTGTCTATAAAATGGTGATAGTAACAGTGCCCTACTCTCGGAGTTGTTCATCCTTCATCGCTATGCCTGCCCCATTGTGAGTGCTCAGTTAAAGGAATCTCATAGCATCTCTACCAACTGTGTTCCCAGGGTCCTTACACTCTCCTGGTCCCAGCTCATATCTACCCTGCAGGGGACAAACTCTGGACACTGCAGCCCCACAGTTTATTCCCTGGAAAGAGGTTGGGATTTTCCATAGAAAGTCTTACTGAAGCAAAGGGAGAAACAAATAGAATATTGAGAACCAACAGGATATACCGCGATCTTAAAACTCCCACATGGACCTGAGCTCTGCAGAAATGGCCTGTCTTCTCTTTGCCTACATCCACAGTCGGTGTCCTCTGAGGTCAGTGGGCTCAGGACCCTTTCCTTACACTTGATGACCCTATGGCATCACTGTGGGCTCCTCTATCCAGTAACCCCAAATCACCCTGCCAGATGGGGGGCTCTCTACCCACTTCACTGCATGAGGAGAGATTCCTGGTATCTTGTGGATCAAAGCGTCCTCCAATAAGCGGAGACCACCATACATGTCCCCACCTCTCCATAATATGGGGAAATCAATAGTAATATTGCTCATAGTACCTGCCATCCAATAAATCAGGGTGATTTACATGTTTTCATTCATTTCATCCTCACAACAATATTATTATCTGACCTGCAGAGTACTTGAGCAGCTTGCTTAAGTAAAAAAGCTAGAATTTGAACCTGGTGTTAGAATTCTTCCTATTAACCACAATATCAGCCTTTGGATTTAGGGTTATATCTGCCCATATTAACTGTGCTAGAAATTAAAACAGAAAATTTATACATTTACTCATTAATAATAATAAACCTATCACATGTTAACATATATGACATATTTTTATAAACAATAACTATACCTCCTCCCAAAAAAGAAGTACAATGAGAAGAGGGCCATTGTACATTTTTGCAAATCTTTTTAATGCCTGGTTTAGTAGAAGATACCAGGGCATCCGTGTCTGCATTTAATATTTTACAATATTTCATCTCATAGCCTCTAGTAAAGAAGTATCACCATAGGCTTTTGAGACAATGAATGTGAAAATAATGTCTTGGATTATTATGAAAGTAGTCTTAATACTACTGTGAAATTAATTAATTTCATAATTAAAATGAAAGTGGACTCCCTGGAATGGTTTTGGGAACACGAGAGGTCCCTGGGGCACACGCTGGGAGCTGCCGCACGACACCGTGGTGTATTAGTAAAGTGCGAATGCTTTGACCAGCATGGATCACAGCAAGCAGAATTCACAGGCAGGGGAGGAAGGGGTTCCTCCTCCCTACCTGTAAAGCCTCCACTTTGAGGGAAACATTTGAGGGCCGGCTTAAATTCAGGACAAAATAATTTTTGAACCAACTGACCTTCTTGCTTCTTCCCTCGTTTTCCTCCAACCTTGGCTGCCTGCTCAAAACGTGTTCCCAAAGGGCTGACCTCAGCCTTGGGGTTGGCCACCTTGAGGTAAAGTCCCGCCTCTCAGGCTCTGTGGCGGTTGTTGCTCAGCGTCACAACTGGTCAAGGGGGTGATCACATGCCTTCCCCAAGGCCTCCAGTCCTCTTGCTTTTCCCTTCCACATGCTGCCTGCCCCCAGGGGATTTTTTTTCCCCCAGGGAGCCCCACACTTCCAACCTCACGACCAAGCAGGACTAAGCTGCTACTGAAGGGACACCACCTGCATTTGCTTTCATGAACGGACAGGGAGTGTCCTGGGGGCCAAGACAGTGAGCTTCAACCAATTAATGAAAAGATATGGGGACTAGAAGAAGAGCAGTACCTAACCAGGGGTGTCCAACCCGCGTCCCGCGGGCCGCATGCAGTCCGGGATGGCTATGAATGGGGCCCGACACAAAATCGTAAATTTATTTAAAATATGAGATTTTTTGATGATTGTGTGTCACGACGCAGTTCATGGGTGGCCCAAGACAACTCTTCTTCCAGTATGGCCCAGAGATGCCAACAGGTTGGACACCCCTGAAGGTGTAGTAACCTGTAAAACTGCATTTGAGGAGGGGAGTCTGGATCCTCCCATCAGAGAGAAGTAGATGTGTTTTAGAAAGCAGATGAAACCCAGGGAAGAGTGCTGATGTAAACACGCAGGGGCATCCCTGTAGGAGGGAGTGGTCCAGCCTATTCACCTCCCATATGTCTCGATTCCCATGTCCCTCCTTCCCCAGGGCTGAAAAGGAGGGGACAGGCACCACAGTGGATTTGATCTGCACCCACCACCCGGGTCCCACAGGCGTCGGGCTGGACAGAGAACGGCTGTACCGGGAGCTGAGCCAGCAGACCCGCGGCGTCACGCAGCTGGGCCCCTACAGCCTGGACAGGAAGAGTCTCTTCGTCAGTGGTGAGGCGCGCTGCTGCAGGCGGGACGTCCTCCTGCCCCCTAGATGGAGTCTCCTTGGAGTGCACTTCCCTGTGTACCCGGGTTTCTCTGCACCCCTAGAATTTCCATGGGGGCTCAGGTATCTCCCTTCATAACAGCTAAAAACCCCTTTTAAGATCTGGAAATAAAAGTTGGCTTTAGGCTTCTTCATCCCAGTGACCATTTACAGAAGCCTGAATGGAGCAAGCAGACATCAAGGAAGGACAAGGGTAGAGCAAGCCCATGGCAATCAATGCAAGAGCCAGTGGTCCCAATGCAGTGACCAGGCTGCCCCTTTCACTTCCTTAGGACAGCTTGTGGTCCTTCCCCATTCTCCAAGGGCCAGCCAGAACTACGCCCCACCTGACACACAAACAACAAAGCTGTTAGTAATGCTTTTAGCATTAAATTCCTTTGCAACCATGCTCTGCAATAACACCCACAATAACACCCACACTAAAGGCTAATATTTATTGAGGGATTCCTATGACCTTGAATGCTGTATGTGTTGTGTATTACTAACCCTGCCCAAAACTCTCTAAAGTATCATGTGTATCTTACAGAAGAGAAAACAAGGCTCGGGGAGGAGAATCCATTTTCCCAAGATGAGATAATTAACAAGTGGTAGTGTCAGGAATCGAATCCTAAACTGGCTCTGAAACCCAGGCCCCCTAACTACTAGGCTACACTGCAGACTAACCCAGCAAGAACATGCCCCAAACCTCGGGATGGAGAGGCAGACCAACAGGCGTCTAATGGAACAATTTAATCTACAGCTTGATTAATTGTGTCCCCATTATATCACCATGGACATTTTCTTATTACCTGGATGAAAACTTGTATTGGATTTCATGAGTCCTTGGAGTTTACTTAGAAGTAGCCGTCACCTGTGTGGGCTTTGGTGAATCATAGATCTCGCTCTAATCGAGGCCTGGCCCTGCCTTTACCTTGCTGTGTAGCCCCAGGCCAGCCATGAGACCTCTCCGCGCTCCAGTGTCCTTTTCCAGAATGGGATTATTATTTATTTATTTACTTACTTACTTATTTTAGAAAAGTCACGTAAGATTATTGTGAGGGTCAAATGAAATAAACCTGAATAACCCAAGTAAATCACATGACTCCACTTGGCCCAGTCTCAGAGATAAGTTCCATTTTAAGAAACTAGTCAGACCATCCAATATAAAATCAGCCAAAGTTTACTTGAATTACTTTCAGAGCATCAAGGGGGATCCAATTCATGGTCCAGATCCTTACTTATTAAAATCCCCTTTTTCCTCTCATTTTTCAACTTTATGGTCTCTGAATGATTCCTCTGCAAGCCCACCTCTCTCTCTCTCCATCTCTCTCTCTCATTATCTCAATTCAGCATCACAGAAGCCTGAGAACTACATTGTCACAGATCAAGCTGTCTTTGGAGAGTTGGGTAGTGGAAGAAACTCAAAGAGTAAAGACAAAGTTATAGTTAATAGGTAAAGAAAACACAAAGAAGGCTGGAAACACTCAGACACAATTGTTGTCCCTGTTATTCATTTGATAAGTGGCTGTTCTTCCAGGCACTTAGTAACCCCCCAAACATCATTATTGTCTTTCTGGTTACTGATAACGAGGATGAAATCGCTATTAGCAGAGTGTCAGGCAGTTAACTCATAAAGAATACTGTTGCTATTGATTGATGTGTCTCAGAGAAAGCACTGAGGAGGGTTTGCATGCTTGTGTTTCTATTTCTACCCCTCACCACCTTCTTAACCTCCTCCCACCCTCTTCCTCTTCTTCTGTGCCTCTCTGCAGGTTATAGCCATCGGTACTGGACCCCCACCACTAGCAGTGAGTAATAAGAGCCTGATATCCTATGTCTCTGGGACCCTCCTTCCCTAAACCTAGTCCCCAAGAGGGAAGCATCCTCCATCGTCCAGGTTGTCAGCCCCAGAGCAGCCGCAGCTCACCAGAAGCCTCAGATTACAGATGCAAATCCCCATGAACAGCTCTGCCCTCCCATTGCTTCATGACAGGGCACAACAATTTTTATTCACACTGTATTTTCTTTCAGCCCTAGTGACCTCCACATTCTCTCCAGGACCCCCAGCGTCTCTGAGCCCCACCCCCAGCTCTACAGGTAGGAATCGAACCTCTGAGTCCCATTTCCCATTGAACTTCAGCTCTCATCATTCTGTGGCTGATGAATTTCTGCACAATCTCTACCATGATGCCCACCCAGCACAATCTGCCCCACTCTCTCCCTCGCTCCCTAATCTCTGGCCGCAGCTGCCTCATTTCTTTTCCTGCGGGACCCAAACATCCTTCCATCCTCAGGCCTTCTGCACTTACTGTTCTCAGAACTCAGCTGTGCCTGATTCCTCCCTGTCCTCTGAATCTCAGCCCAGTGTGCTCTTGCTCAGAACACCATTTCCTTCGTGGCGATTACTATGATTTGGATTTCTAGACTGCTCAAGTCTTTGCGGCCCAAGGCAGAGCACAAAAAATCTCAGCACCTCCTCTTCCCACCAAAATGCCTACAGCTTGTCAGCCTTTGAACACGCTGGGATGAAGGGGCTGAGGTTCCTTTTGGAGCTGACGTCACACACCTAGCATGGAGGTCCCTCCTCCCCTTTGGCAGGCTGAGGAGGAGGGGTGCCCCAGATTGCCTATATCAGGCCTCAACAACTGGACGCTATGGACCGAGAGATAACACGCCCCACCCGTCCAGCTCAGGCCTAAGATTGTGATGGGTCTCCTCTCTCCCTCCCTCCAGCTGCAGATGTGGGCCCAGCCCCAGTGCCTTTCACCCTCAATTTCACCATCACCAACGTGCTCTACACCCCAGACATGAGCCTCCCAGGCTCTGCGAAGTTCAACTCCACTGAGAGGGTTCTGAATCACCTGGTAAGAGCCCATGGATGCCTACCCTGGCCTTCCTTGTTCTTGTCCCACCCAGCCTCTTCAGCTTACCTCCCTCTCCCTCCGCTCCAGCTTGTTCCTTTGTTCAAGAACACCAGCATCGGTCCACTGTACTCTGGCTGCAGGCTGGCCCAGCTCAGGTAGGACTGCCCTTCCTAACACATGTGGAAGGGCATTGTCACGGGCAAGCTCACCCGGCAGTGAGAACCTGAACATGACAACTACAAAGCAAGAATCATAAATGATGGGGGCCTTTCAGGGATGCAGACTTGGAAGGCATTGCCTCTGGCTGAGTGCATCAGAGAGGGCTTCCTGAAAGAGGTGTCTGTCAAAGGTCTTCAATTATTTGCATAAGCAGATCCACAGAGCATTCATGCTGAATGGTCAGAAGATGCAGTGTTGACTCATTAAGCAAACATGAAAGGATACACCTTCAGGTAACACCCTGTGACAGATGCTAAGGGCGCTGAGAGAATCACTCATGGGCTCTTTCCTCAAAGTTCCCGCAGCCACCATATAGGGAAAATGGTGGGACATCCGTAATAGTGATAATAAAAAAAATTTTTCTGATAATAAAAAAAACTAAAACTAAAATAAAATAAATACACTTAAACAAAACACACAAAAAATCATCACATGAATGGGGTTAACACAATGATAAAGCACCACTTGGGGGCCATAGGAGCCCAGAGAATGGACTCGAAGCTAAGCCTGGGGAGTTGAGTGGAGGCTGAGGAAGGTGCTGCCCCAGGTACGTTTTGACAGTTAAGTGGGAGAAACATTGGCACAGGTATTTCAAGGGATGGTGTAGCTTAAGTAATGGGGCGGATGTGAGAAATATCCTGCTGCATGAGAGAAGTTCTGTGACACTGAAGAGTACAGTGTGGGGAAAATGGCAATTGAATAAAAGATAAAAGGAAAAGGAAGGAATAGAGGAAGGTAGAAAGAGGGGAGGAAGGATGTAAGTTGACTGGGACACTGGCCAAGCAGATGGATGGGTGCACAGGAATGTAGTTGCGTGACAGGGGAATTGCAGGATGAGTTTTGAGACGCAGATAACATCAAGCGTCCAGGTCGGAGCTGGGGTTAATGGCGCACTAAGGGATGTTCGTAGGATTCGGCACAGCAAAAGGCTGAGCACCAACGGTCTCCATGTCCAGATGCCTGAAGTCCCATCCTGTTTCTGTCACTAGTCCTGTGAGGTTTTGGAACTTCTTTAACAACACTATGACTTTGTTTCCTCAATTATGAAGTGGGAATCACATCAGAGTTGATCTTAGAGAGTTACTGTAGAGAACAAAAGAGACAGCAAATGTAAAAGTGGAACAACCAGTAGGTGTTCCATAGTATTAGTTATACTTATTCAGAGCCATGGGGAACACGGAGTTGTAAGCAGAGCCCTGACATTGTATCATTTATTTTAAGTTGAACGCTGGTAGAGCTGGGCATGGAAAAATTTGAAGGGATGTTGGGACAGAAGGTGAGGAGACCAGTGACATGTTGGACCCGACCTGGATATTGCTTGGATTGGGGGAGAAAAGGTGAGGGAAGGTTCAGGAAACCTCTTACATCTCTGGCTCTGGCATGGATATGGAACATGGGAGAAGGAGCAGGTTGTGTGCTTTTAGGAGGGGAGATGATGAGCTTAATTTGAGGTATTTGAATCTAAGAGGTCTGAAAGACACCCTAAAGCTGCTGGAGCTCAGGGGAGAGGTCTTGGCCAGACAGAGTGAGGTTAGACCTCATGGTAATAAAACATGGTAGTTGAAACAATGACCTCAAATGACCCCAGAAAAATGAGAGGCAAGAGAATAGAAGCTGACTGAGGATGAAGCCCTGAATATTAGACACTTTATGGAGTGGGAAGGTGCCTCGATGACCAGCACCCAGGAGAGAACGTGCCTGAGAAGCCAGTCAAGACCCAAAAAGAGGAATATCATAAAGCTCGGGGGAAACAGGTCAATTTGAAAGAAAGAGTTGAGTGAAGTATATAATTCCCCCTTATCTCTGAATGTCCCTATTTCCCTAACCCCACCACCACTCTAGGATGGAGAAGAACAGGGCAACAACTGGAGTGGACATCGTCTGCACCTACCACCCTGACCCCATGGGCCCTGGGCTGGACATAGAGAAGTTGTACCAGGAGCTGAGTTGGCTGACCCATGGCGTCACCCTGCTGGGCACCTACACCCTGGACAGAGACAGTCTTTACGTCAATGGTGAGCGTCTGTGCTGAGAGCTGGAGTCTCTTATAGTCTCCTGTCTCTCTATACCAGTAGTTCTCAGCTGGAGGTGATTCTGCTCTCAGGGGCCATTGGGAATGTCCAGAGACATTTTCATGTCATGATTGGAGGGGTGCTAATGACATCTGGTGGGGAGAGGCCAGGGATGCTGCTAAAGATCCCACAATGCACAAGGCAGCCCCCTACCATGAAACATTATCTAGACCAAAATGTCAATAATGTTGAGGTTGAGATAGTGCTGTACACAGATTCAGAGTTCTGGTACAAACCTAGCATTTCCTTGGGGGCTCATTTTTGAGTGCTTAACATGCCACAGGAGGTCAATTTTCTTTCTTCTTTCACCACCTGGAACGAAATGTTTTCCCCTCCTGTCAGAGCCCAACAGGATCACGCGGACTCGAGAGAGGGAAGTGGGTGATGCACGCCCTGCAGCTACGCCTTCCCCAGGGGGCAGCGGTGCCCAGTCCAGCCCTCACTCTACTTCACTCTCTCCATCATGACAACTTACGGCCATTTCCTGGGTCGCCAAGGGCCAGCCAGAATGATACTCATGAAACTTGTCATGAAATAACACCACACTTAGCAAATACACCACAAATCATAACTGTACTTAACACTGTTGGCCACAGTGCCCCTAACAGCAGTGCTAACACTGAGAATAACTGTAATAGTGGCTAATTCTCACCCAAACATTCTTATGTGCCAGGAATTGTGACAAGGATTTCATTTGTATTATCACCTATTAATCTTACTCTAAACCCTGTGAGTTATAATACTCGTTTTAGGGAGCCGCCATGCATTCAGACGGGAAGTCATTGGCCCCAAATAATCCAGCCATGACACATTGGCAGAGTCAAGACTCAAACGCAATATTGAGTCTAAACTCCAAGTTCCTAACCACAAGGCAACACTGAGGACCATTCAGATAGAGAAAGCTCAAATCTTAGGACAGGAAAGAGCATTAATGACCACTAGCCTAACAATCTAAATTAATGCTTAATTAGTTATTTACCCTCTAGATCAGCTTGACAGTTCCTTTTACCTGTGGCTTGAAATATATATTTGTATTGACAATAGCACATCCTGCTCTATGTCCATAGAAGATTTAACTTCAGGACCGGGACCGAGACCGGAAGCAGTGGTTAATAGTATCTGTTTTGTGTGATGCTGAGCAAGTCATGTAACCTCTTGAGGTGCTAATGTCCCATTTATAGAATAAACATACATACCAGGCAGGACTGTTCTGAAAATGAAATGAGATCATTCAGCAGTAACCCAAGAAAATCCCAGGGCGCCTCTGGGTCCAGTCTTTGCTCACCTCTCTCACAGAGCATCCAAGGAGAGGCAATCCATGACCCAGAGAAATACTCATGAAAAATTCTCGTTTCCCTAGTTTCTTTCATGCTCCAAGCTTTACACCATCCACCTGCCCTCCAAGTCTCTTCTCTTTTTTACTATCCTTCCCCATCTCCCAGGTTTCTCGAATAGTGCCCAGCACACGTACCTTCCCTTTCCTCCATCTCGCTGGACATTTACTTCACACGCCACTCTCTCAAGCTGCTGCCATTTCTCTATTATCCATCACCAGAAAACCAGAAACAAAGCTAGAAAAATAAAATGACACAATCATAAAATATTATGAAGAGAGAGAAGCTGAGAGAACATGGATAAAATCACCTTAATGGATTGAAAGAATACAGATGAGGCTTGGAACACACACTAGTACATAAAATTGCCCCATTACCCTTGTAATGGGTTCAGCATTATTTCTGGTGCATAGTACATTCCCAATAAATACAGGCAGCTGTTACTGTATTTTTATTTGGGCAATAATAATGGTGATGATATCATTATTTTCAAAGGACAAGGCCACCAAGTGAAATGAAGCCATTAGCGTTCATTTAGGAACCTCAGAAAGTTTGTTAATGCATTTTGTCTCTAGGTCTACCATCTCCTCCTCCTTAAATCTTACCCATCCAACAGGACTTCTTCACTCTTTTCTCCCTTCCTGCAGGTTATAGCCGTCGCACCTGGACCCCCGCCACAAGCAGTGAGTATTCAAAACTGAAACGTCAGTCAGTGCCCAGAAGACCCTTATTCCCCAGAGCGCATTCCTCAGGAAAGGAGCTACTGGTGTCCCCTCCAAAGCGTCCAGCCCCGGCCTCACAGCAGCCTGTCACCCACCCAAGGTCTTGCTCTGAGTGAAGATAGAAGCCCAAATTCCAATGAACAGCTTCTGCCCCTCATTCCTTCAGGATGGGACTCAATTATTTCTCCCACATTTTATTTTTTCCTCAGCTTCAGTGACTTCTATGTTCTCTCCAGAATCTTTCACATCTTTATGACCCATTCTCAGCTCTACAGGTCAGACCCTGCTCTTCGAGGTCTACAAAACTTTACTTCTGTGTAGTCTGGTCCCTGTTAACTATCCAGCCTCAGCCTTTACCCTCATTCTATCTGCATGTAAACTTTGGCCACGTGAGATATTTGTGTGTTCTTCTAGTGCCCTAACCTTTGGCCCTTATACTGACCCTTTTTGAAAATCCACTCTTCTTGGCATCTTAATGCCTTTCAAATCTCGGGACCATCATCGCCTTCTCCAAAAGACCTTCCCAGACAATCTTAAATGAAGTGACTGGGCAGGGTGGGTTTTTGGGGGTTGGGTTTTTGTTTTTTGTTTTTTGTTTTTTTTTTGAGTTTATACTATTTGGAATTTTCTAAGCTTCTGAATCTGGAAATGTAAGTTTTTAAGAAATGTGGGGAAGTTTCAGCCACTATTTCTTATTTTTTTTCCTGCCTTTATCTCTTTCTCTTATTCTGGTCCTCCAAAGAAATGCTAAGGCGCTGTTCATTTTTTTTTTTTAAGATTTTATGTATGTATGTATGCATGTTAGAGAGCAGGGAAGGGAGGGAGAGAAACATCAATGTGAGAGAGTAACAGTGATAGGTTGCCCCTTGTATGTACCCCATCTGGGGACCAAACCCGGATCCAGGCACATGCCCCGACTGGGAATCAAACCGACGACCTTTTACTTTGAGGGACGACACCCAACCAACTGAGCCACACCAGTCAGGATGGCTCTGTTTATTTTTTAAACCATTTTTTTCTCTTTCTTCTTCAGATTTGATAATTTCTATTAATATATCTTTAAAAATCACGAACCCTTTCCTGTGTCATCTCCATCCTGCCCATCAAGTGATTTTTTTTTTTTTTACCTCAGATGCTGTATGTTTCAGTTCTGCAACTTGCATTTGACTCTTTTTCAATAGTTTCCCTTCCTCTGCTGAGAACATCTATCTTTACACTTATTTTAAATGTGTTTATCTTTACCTCGCGGAGCGTAGTTCTAACAGCTGCCTTAAGGTTTGCACCTACTAATTCCAACACCTGGCTCACCTTGGAGTTTGCATTTGTTACTTATCTTTCCCTTATTGATTGGGTAGATTTTTTTTTTCTGATTCTTTTAAGTCAAATAACGTTGGATGGTATTCTAGATATTGTAAATTATGCTTGTGTGTACTCTGCGTGCTGTTATCCTCTTGGGGATGTTATTGTTTTTGTTTGTTTGTTTTAGCAGGTAATAAGCTCTCTCCTCTCTGGCCCACAAGAGCACTGTTTCCTAGTTCTATTTTGTCAGAAATAGTAACTTTATCTACCTATGCCCTCACATAGCTCCATAGCAGGGACCTACCTTCAGTAAATCTGTCAGAGAAAAGAGTTTTTAAAAAGAGTAAAACTCTGGGTTTGTGTGTATGTATAATTGATTTAAATTTTTAAAGTTGCGGTAAAATATACATAACAGAAAATTTACCATTGTAAGTGTACAGGTCAATAGTGTTGAGTATGTTCACCCTGTTGTGTAACTCATCTCCAGAACCTTTTAATCTTAAACTGAAGCTCTAAACCCATTTAAAAAATAACCTCCATTTTCCTTTCCCCTCGGGCCCTGGCAACTACCATTCTACTTTCTGTCAGTAGGCACTTAACAGCGCTAGGGACGTCCCGCAGGGCTGAGGGGCAGTTACGCAGTGCAGTGCGTGTTCCTTTGTTTCCCAGAGGGGATGCGGACTCCCCGGTTGCCACGGGAGCGCTCCTCCGTGTGACCTTCTGCCTGAGCAATCTCCTTTGATAACTCAAGAACCCCCATAGACCCTCCAGTGTGCAAACGCGCTTCTTTCCTTGGCATCTGTGCATCCCCGGGAGGGATCTGTACGCTTGCCCGAGGCACAAAAGCCCTTCTCCACACAGAGGACTGACAATGTCCCTCTGGCTGAAGCTAATGGAGATTCAAGAGTCTGGCTATTTATCTAGGCCCCCACCAATGTCTCAAAATCCCCCTAGACCCTGAGAAGCAGTTAGCAAGCCCATGTTCTAGAAATGTGGGTATAGGTATCTTCCCAAATAAACTGCAAGCCCACGAAGGCACAGACTGGACCTTTGATTTCTCAGTCCTTTAGAAACAAGATATAGTTGCCCCTGAACCACTGCTGTTGAACTGTGTAGACTTGGAGTCTCCCTTTGGGATAAGGGCTTGTGTCCTCGCCCTGTATCTTGGACATCCCTCCCCTGCTCATTTCAGGTTACGCTCATCGGAGCTCAGCCTCCACCCCCAGCGGTGAGTACGCAGGGCGCTGATGACCAGGCGCTCCAGGCCCTGTGGACGGCAGCCAATCCCCCGCCCCAGGGCCTTGAGAGGAGAGGAAGCCGGACGACCTGGCCGCCTCACTCACCTCCCCCGCATCAGCGGCTTGGGCTGGACAGGAAAGATGCACAGAGTCTCTCGTGCCACACTCACAGTCTCCATTCTTACTCCAGGCGATTTCTCTTCAGCCGCTATGACCTCCAAGCTCTTCCCAAGGACCTCGCTGGCACCAGCCCCCTTCCCCAGCTCCACAGGTAGGTGGCCTCTCTCAGCCACCTCTGGGAAGCCCCAGAGCTGGAGCCCGGGAGTTGCAGAGCAAAGCTGCTGTTTAGGGAGCCTGGAGCGGCCACAGCACCCTCTGCTCTGCTCTGAACTCCTCGAGAGCAGAGATGTGCCTTCCTCATTGCTCCTGCTGCTGACCTTGGACAATGTACTTACCCTCTCGGTGCCTCAGTTTCCTCACCTAAAAAGTGGGAATAATACTTCATAAGGTCGTTGTGAAGGTTAAATGAAAATGTGAACAACAACACCTAGCACTGGAAGTATCAGAATATTTAGTTCAACAAATATTTTTGGGCACATGCTCTGTGCTCAGCAGAGGGAACAAGATGTTAAGTCAGGCATGGTCCCTCCGCTTGCCCAGTTTGCAGTGTGTTGAGGCAGATGAAATTAAACACTCAGTTACAATTGATAATAACTATAAAAAAAGAGCCCTGTTGTTCAACACTCACTACTTTTTATTTCTGAATTTTCATTTTGATACAAATGTAGATTCACAGGAAGTTGCCAGAAATAGTGCAGAGGTTCCTGTACCCTTCACCCTGTCTGTCCTCCATGATTTACATCTCACATGGCTACAGGCCAAAGCCAGGAAATCAACAGTGTCAGAATCTACAGAACTCAGATTTCAGATTTCACTATTATATGTACTCGTGTGTATGCATGTGTGTGTAGTTCTGTGCCACTTTATCACATATGTGGATTTTTGTAACCATAACCACAATCAAGATACAGAACTGTTTCTTCACCACAAAAATCTCTGTGCTTCTCTTTTGTAAGTCACACCCAACCCCGCCCAACCCCTGCAAACTACTAATCTATAAACTGTGTTCCTAGTCTTGTTATTTTGAGAATGTTGTATCAGTGGGATCAGATAACACGTGACCTTTGGTGACTGGCGTTTTTCACTCAGCATAATGCCCTTGAAATGCACTCTCATTTAACAGTCATTGAACCTCCATAATTTTCTCACAAAGTATGATTTTCCTCATTTTACAGTTAAAGAAATGGAGGTACACACAGGTTGAGTAACATGCCCCTGGTGTTACAATGGTGAGGGGCTAAGAGAGGACTTGAAGCTAACAGAGAATTTACCGTTTTAACCATTTCTGAGTGCACATTCACAGTGTTGTGCAACCACGGCCTTCACCTGTTTCCAGGACTTTTTCAACATTGCAAACAGAAACCCTGCCCTCATTAAACGCTGACTCCCTGCGCCTCCCACCCCAGCCCCTGGTAATCACTATTCTATTCTACTTTCTGTCTCTATGGATTTGCCTGTTCTAGGTACAGGAGAATTATACAAATACGTGTCCTTTTGTGTCTGGCTTCTTTCACTCAGCATAACGTTTTCAAGATTTATCTACAAGGTGCCATGTATCAGGAGTTCATTCCTTTTCATAGCTGAATACTATTCCATTGTATGGATGGACCACATTTGTTTATCCATCATTTTTTCATGGACACTTATATTGTTTCCACCATTTGGATATTATGTTCAATAGCTATGAACATTTGTGTTCAAGTGTCTGAGTCCCTGTGTTCAATCCTTTTGGGTATAAACAGGGGGGTAAAGTTGAGAGGTCTGGTAATCTTTGTTTAACGGTCTGAGGAACTGATTTCCACCAGTATTTCCACCAACAATGCATGAGTGTTTTAATTTCTCCACATTCTCAGCAACACTTGTTATTTTCCTTTTTAAAAATAGAACAGCCATTCTAATGGATGCACATGCTAGTACATTTAACAGCATCTTGCTTTGCTTATTCTATAGCCTTCTGTCTTTGGTCCAAGGTCACTTACCTGCCTACTTTAAACCCCCGCTTCCTCAGACCTGCACCCTTTATCTCAGTCCCCAGAAGTTGTCTGAGAGTCCAGCCCAGGCCAGGCTCAGGTGTGGCCTCCTTTTTCCTTCCCCCGCTGCAGCAGCTGCCCCTTCCCTGGTGCCGTTCACCCTCAAGTTCACCATCACCAACCTGCACTATGAGGAGGACATGCGGCACCCAGGCTCCAGGAAGTTCAATGCCACAGAGAGGATCTTGCAGGATCTGGTGAGGGGCCCGCCCACTAGCGTCAGCCCCACCCACCCGCTTAGGCCCCGCCCTCACCTCCTCTACCCTATTCACCTTACCAAAGCCCCGGCTCCTCCTGGCCTCCCTCAGTGGCTCCTTCTCACCTCCCCTCTCCTCCCTCGTAGCTCAAGTCTGCGTTCAAGAACAGCAGTCTGAGACTACTCTACGCAGGCTGCAGACTAGCTTCACTCAGGTGAGACCCTCCCCAAAGAACACAGCCCGCCTAGGGGATGGACCCTGACCTACGGGCTCCATGGCTTTGAACAGCTACTGCCCATGGAAACTAAGCATCGAAAATACTTACAACAACAATAGCAGCATCTAGAAATTACTAAGACCCAGGGCACTGGGCTCTTACTGTAAAATTAATTGCATCAGTCCCTGCAACAGCCTCGTGTGGCGAGAGCAGAAGGTGAAACTGAGGCTCAGAGGGATTCAGTAGCTGGTGCCGGCGTCACAGAGAAATCCCAGCATTTCGGGTTGTAGACCCCTAACACCTCGCCCCTAGGAAGCACTGTCTCCTCTGCCCACGTGATGACCTTGCAGGGTATGGAAAACACCAATCTGACAACCTCTCTAAAGGAACTTGCCCGGAGAGCCTAAGAGGGGAGAAAAGCTGGTGTTCCAGAGAGAAAGCGAGCTCCCAAATGGGCCGGGCTCAGCCGACGGGAGCCGGCCCTGCCCTGCCCAGGGGTGGCTGGGGTTCAGGCGGACACATCCCCTCAGAGGAGCTAAAAAGGGCATTGGGATGCTCAGGCCTGGGGTGAAAATGGGTTGACGCTGGTATAATGCACAATATACATTATCAAAATCGTAATCTATATAACTTAGTGTGTACACATGCATGTATGTATGTTAGGTATAGGTATAGCAGGTAAACTGTATAATTTATATATGGACAAGATATAATGCAATAATAAACTATAAGTAAATATATATCATTATATATTAAATATATATGTTTATTTATTATATATTTTATTTATTTGTGCTTTATATAATATATAATATATACTATACTTGGTATAATAAAGATTGTGGGAAATGAGCAACACAGCCCATAGGGATGCTTTGAGGATTAAATCACATGAGTACAAAATACTGGGCCTGCTGCACACTTAGTATTTAATAGATGGCAGTGGTTACTACGGGAGGCATTCCATCACGGCCCTGAGGCAGGGAGCCCCTTTCTCTCTGGAGAAGGGTGCTGCTACAGGGAGGCTTTAGGTTGGACGAGTCACACTTTTAGACACACCAACCAAAAAGGTATCTCTCTCTGGCCATTTTGTCCCTTGAATTGCTTTAAAAATGGCCCAGCTCTCCTGGTCCATAGGATCTAGAGAGAGTAACTTTAGCCCTCTGATCCCACCATTTGAAAACTCCTGCTCTCTGAAGGAAAATGTCACTTGCTGGCCATGCCAATGGTCATCTGTCCTGGGGCCACCTCCACCCATTACAGACTGACTCGAAGCACCTGGTTGTGTCTGCCAGGGTCTGCAACAGGACTTGGCCATCTTGGCTTCATTTGGCATCTCCCAGGATAGTCTACCCCCTTCAACAGTGCCTTCTCTGTCTGTCACACACCAAGTGCTCTCAGAAGCGTCTGTCCCAGGCCCTCAGGAGGCTTAGAGTCCCATGGTTTTCTTTTTCTTTTTTAAAGATTTTATTTATTTATTTTTAGAGAGGTAAAGGGAGGGAGAAAGAGAGGGAGAGAAACTTCAATGTGTGGTTGCTTTTTGTGTGTCCCCTACTGGGGACCTGGCCTGCAACCCAGGCATGAGCCCTGACTGGGAATCGAACTGGTAACCTTTTGGTTCACAGGCCAGCGCTCAATCCACTGAGCCACACTAGTCAGGGCCCGTGGTTTCCTAACTGTTTGTTTATGGAGGTCATCTTCCCGAGGCAGTAGGTTCCTTGTTAACTAGAGTCGCCCAAGCTCCTGTCTCAGGGGCTGGCAGAAAGAGGGAAGGAAGGATGAACGGTGCAGAGATAGTTGGACCAACCATGCGGAGTTTCTCACCCAGCCCTGAGAAGGAAGAGGCAGCCACCAGAGTGGACGTCATCTGCACTCATCACCCTGACCCTGAAGGCCCTGGACTAGACCGAGAACGGCTATACTGGGAGCTGAGACAGCTGACCCATGGCATCACCACACTGGGACCCTACATGCTGGACAGGGACAGTCTCTATGTCAATGGTGAGCAGCTGCAGCGTGGTCTCTTCCTCTTTGTGGGGCACTTGACTTGAGATTTTTCTGACCTGGCCCTTAGGGGCTTGGCCATGTGCGCTGAATGGACCTCATGGTTTGTCCTTCATCTTGGACTCACTTCACCCTGAGGGCCTGATGGGAAGGTGCTGAGGGAGAGCCCCTAACAGCCTCTGTCTGCCCCATGAAACCCCCTCCTTGTACCAGGGTAACCCTGACCATATCTGGTCCCCCACCTCTCCCTTAACCCTTACTCACTAGCCTCCCTCGCTCTTGCTACAGATTTCACCCATCGGAGCCCCACACTTCTCACCAGCAGTGAGTATACAGTTGATGTCCCAGTGCCACCCACAACACTGGCGGTGGGGGGCGCTCCTGGGAGGGCACAGGTTATCTACTCCCCCGCCCCCACCCAGCTCCAGAGGGACTCCCAGCTCCAGCCCCACATGCAGCGAGCCCAGTGATAAACCTCCTGCTGCGTTTCTGCCGTGGGAGCGCCTTTCTGCTTTCACTGACAAGGGCTTTTCTGCAGCGCCTGGGACCTCCCCGGTGGACCTAGGGAACTTGGGGACCCCATCTTCCTTCTCCAGCCCCGCAGGTAAGCGCCAGCCAGTGGCACATCTGTTAGAAACTGCCTGGTGGGTGTTAACGTCTCTGACATTATTCACTCAAATAAAGATGGAAAGTCATAGTAAATCGAATAATGAGTCAATCAACAAACTTTATGAGCACCTACTGTATGCTGGGTCCTGGGGATACATCAGGGAACATGAAATTTAAAAAAAAACACACCTGCCCTCCTAGATATTATATTCTTGTCATATAAGAATGAGTATTGTGATGATGGTGACAATAATGACAGCCATGACGGCGGCGGCGGTGATGGGGATGGTGATATGGCTGATGGTGGGGACGATGAGGTGGCGGTAATGATAATGGTGATGGTGACAAAGGTGGCGATGATGGTGATAAAGCTGGTGACAGTGATAATGGCGGTGATCGAAAGATAACATAGCATGTGACGTCTTTAAGTGCTGAATATGGACCAAGTGCTATGCTCAGCATCTAACTAGTATTATTTAATATGCCTTTAAAAACTTTGTATCATCACAGGCAAGGAAGGCAGGGAAACCTTTGATTTATCATTTTAAATCTTGTTGCTTATTTTTAAAAACAAGTATATTGCACACTCCTGCATTTTCTCTGTATTTGAACGTCATGTTTATTTCCGTTGACATCACTATTAAGGAAACCCGCCCTATGGAGCAACTGTGTCTTCCTCCTTTGTGCTCCTGAGTGACTACTGCAGTGACTTGCTCATAGTAGGTCTACAGGCAATACGTGGATTCTCCCAGGAAAGAAAGGAATGAAGTATGATTCCTTGTGATGTGTGGAAACACTCCTTTCCTTTCATGGTTCTCATCTTCAGTGACTCTGTCGGATTCTACCCAGGAAAAATGTACGGCCCCCTTCCCTCGTGCACGGCAGACATCACTAAATGATAATAGCATCCATTCTTCTGCACCCAAGACAGCTTCAGAATCCTTATTAACAAAATTCCTCAGGCAGTCGCTACCATGTCAGTGGTGTTGTCACAGGATTCTGGGGCAGAATTCAAGGAAATTAGGTCCTTAGATGATGTGTGAGTGGCTCTTTGGTCTTCCGGGGAAGGCATCTGTGTGTTGGAAGTTCTCAGCTCAGGCTCAGCTGGGTCATAAGTGAGAACACCAGTTTGGCCCAAACCTGCTCAGACTCGCAAACTAGCTGCCTGTGAGCTTCAGCCGACCGGAGGCATTGGGAGAGCAGTGGTGGGCAGGGCGGGAGATGGGCCAGGGCGTATCTTCTCCTCCCTCTCTGCTTCCTGTAGCACCTCCAGCGGGGGCTGTGTCCCCTCCATGGTCTCAGCTATCTCTGGTATGCCTCTCTCTCGTCCCTCTGTCCCGTTAGCCCTGTGGGGCTGAGGGAGTCTTGATTTTGTTAATCTCTGTCTGTAGTTTTGTATTAGATTCCTCTGTGGGAATACTGACATAAATTCTATTTTCCTAACTAGAAATATCTGTGCCCAGTGGTGATGGCACATATATTTGATGTGATGCTTCATGCATAGCTGGTGCTCAATAAACATTTGCTCAATGAATGAATGAATGAACTAAAATTGTAACTAGGAACCAGGGGCATGAATCTGGTCACATAACTGGGCCAATAAAGTCTTGGCGTCACATTAGGAAACTCCGAATCAGAGCTTCTTGGAGAAGAACCAATTCCAGACACCCAGAGCATCGGGCGTGACTCACGTGGTGGACTCTGCCTGCTTTGGATTAAGAACGAAGCCAGGGGGAGCCCCCTGGTGGAGAAGCCAGAGCCCATGTGTGTGAGGGTCCAGAGGCTGCAGGCTGGACTGGAGAGTCCTCGCAGGCTCAGGATAGGTCCTCTCATCTGCCTTCCAGTTGCAGCAACAAGCCCTACCCTGGTGCCATTTACCCTCAACTTTACCATCACAAACCTGCCATACGTGCCAGACATGGGACGTCCAGGATCTGCAAAGTTTAATATGACAGAAGAGGTCCTGCAGCCCATTGTAAGAGCCTTGAGATGCCTGCTGTTCACCCCTCTCCACCCCGGCTTTGCCCCCCTCCCTTCTCCTTACCTCCCTCTTATTTCTCCCCAGCTTGGCTCTTTGTTCAAGAGCAGCAGCATCGGCCCACTGTATTCCAACTGCAGGCTGGCCTCACTCAGGTGAGATGCTCAGGAGTGGATGCTCACATCCGTGCCTCCCGGTTCCGTTTCTGTTCTTCACCCTGTGCGTGCTCCCCACCTGCCCAGTGCAGCAGGCTCTGGGTACCTGTGACGCCACATCTACCGAGCCTCCTTCCAGTTCCTGTTTCTCAGGCTTCTGTTTTTTCTTCCGACGGGTCCTAACAAAGGTATAGAATCTTTCCCAGGAGTTCGAGCCTCCTAATTTCCAAAATTATACTGTACTGAGGAATGCTTAAAAAGCAAAAATGAATAGTCCTTTTGGCACGCCCATTTCTTAACCGACATTTAAGGTGCTCAAAGGCGATGCCAGATCTTGGGGCTGCCCCCGCCTGACTGTCTTTCCTCCTGGGCCTGTTCTGAGAGTGAGGCAGCAGGAGGCCGGCATGTGAAAGGTGAACAAACATTGCGCCAACTTGAGTTTTAATCCATCTTCTTCATCTCTTGATTATTAGTAAATGCTAGATAGTTTGCTTTTTTATTTTTTGCCTTCTCAGGAAGATTATTTCAGCTTTGTGGCTTTTCTAGACATTTCATCCTTGCAGCCTCCCCCATCACTAATCCTATACATGTTCCCATACCTAAGCTCCTCCCCACCCCCAGGCCCGCGAAGGACGGATCGGCCACCAGAGTGGACATCGTCTGCACCTACCACCCCCAGCCCACAAGCACTGGGCTGGACAGAGAGCAGCTGTACAGGGAGCTGAGCCATGGGACGCATGGTGCCACCCAGCTGGGCCCCTTCGCGCTGGACAGGAACAGCCTTTATGTCGACGGTGAGGCTCCGTTCCACTGTCCCATGCAGGCTGTGCACTCTGGCTCATGGCACGCACTGTGGACCCCCTGTCCTCCAGGGTGGCTCTGAGCTTGTCCCAAATTGGCTTACACCTTTGGTTGTTTCCCTCAGAAAGATACATACATTCACAGCTTTTCCAGAGATATATTGAGAGATCGGACAGAGAGGGGAGTTGGGTACAGGTGGCAGAGGGATGAAGATGTCAGATGCCCTGATAGAGAAATTCTCTCCTGTGCTCTAGTGACATTCTTTGAGGTTTGTCTATAGGGTCTGCATTTTGAGGGTGCTCCAAAACTATGGCTTAAGTGGATTCATAGACACTCAATGGGCCCCAGATTCTTGGCACTTTCTCCCAACCCCCATCCCTCTAACTCCTCACCCTCTTTCTTCTTCTGTTTCTGCAGGTTACACACCCCAGGCCCTGACCTCCGCCCCCAGCCGTGAGTAGTCATTTGGGCCCTCCTGTCGCTTTGCCTTGGTGCCCATCCCTTTTCTCTGCTATCCTTGCTGCACTTCTCTGAGAAAGAAACAGTCAGAAATCTTCAGTTTTTCCACACCTTCACGCTCCTGCTCAGGAAGGAGAAGCCTGGCACAGGCTTGAGGACAGACGGGGCAAAAGGTCTGAGGGTCCCGTGACGGCCCTGTTTCGCTGGAGAAGCCCTCATCCACCACAGTCAACCCGCTGTGTTTTCTTTTCAGCTGCTGTGGCCTCCACCATCGCCCCAGCAACTTCAGGGACCCCAGTTCCAGTCTCCATAGGTAGGGGCTTCCCTTGTGTAATGACCCAGTGAAGAGCCAAGACCGTTTCTTCATTCATTCAATAAGTATTCATTTAGCACTTACTGTATCAAAGGCCCTCCCATGTGACCCATGTGAAACAGATTACACCACTGCCCCCTCCCCTTACTGCATCTCCTGCCTCAGAGATAAACAGGAAATGATGCCCATATCAAGCCCCAGGCATGGGCATCCCGCCTTTGGCGTCCAAGCTGATGGGGTCCCTGGAGCAGGCAGGGGTTGTGTTCCAGTGACCCTTTGCCCCACACCTGGTCCAACACTGACTCAGGGCGTGGCCTCTCCTTCCTCTCCCCACTGCAGCTGCTGGCCCTGCCCTGGTGCCCTTCACCCTCAACTTCACCATCACTAACCTGCACCACACGGAAGACATGCAGCCAGGCTCTGCGAAGTTCAACTCCACACAGTCATTTCTACAATATCTGGTGAGAGCCTCCGCTACCCACTTTTCTTTCCAACTTCCAGCCCACCTCTCCTTGCTACAATTTTGGAGGCTATGAGGGCTAGGGAGGGAGCAGTTCCAGGTTCAGGTACAAGTGATGTGGCTTTGGAGCAGTGACTAGTCTTGTGATATTGTCTCCTCACCTATAAAACTGAGACAATAAAAGCACCTATCCCACAGGGTCCTCTTGAGAAGTAAATGTGGTATGAGAAGATTAGGGTGCTCTTGTTTTATTTTAAAATATTGCATTTTAAATGATGATTAGTTTTATACTTATTTTTTATCCACCCACTCTTTCCTCCTCAGCTCAAGCCCTTGTTTGCCAACAGCAGCATTGGTTCACTTTATACTGGCTGCAGACTGACCACACTCAGGTGAGACCTCCTCTTTGTCTTGCCTTTGGAGGTATAGTAGGTGTGGGCGGGTTGGGTTGGCCAGGGCCTAGACTAAGTCAAGGGAAACCAGGCGCCTAGAGCACAATATTTAAGGAGATGCTCACCTTCAGGTGCTAATGCTATGCTTGCACAGCACTGAGAGTTAGCGCATCATTAAATGTTGTCTCTGGGTGCCTTGCTTGCCTCCCGCTATTCCCGGCCCTAGTACTAGTGCTGTGCCCTGCCCACCCTAGATCATCCCATCAGACAACCAGATTTGCAAGATCTGAATGGGAAATACATGACTACACTCCTACTTTGAAGGATGTGGACGGAAACAGCATGCCAGCAGGCAGCACTGGGCATTTATTTTTTTGCAAAAAAAAGCTCTTGGCAGTAGAAGGGCTATTCTTTTGGCATTCCAGACAACAGTCCACGTGCAAAGAAATGATGCCTCAAAAGATAGATGCTGAAGTCACCCTGGCTCAGATGTCCCATGTCCCACAGCGGAGCCATATCTCTTATAATAGTGCTACCCATTTAACAGGGTCACCCCACACCCAAGAGCGCTCAAAACTGTAGCTTCTTTCTGGGTATTTGATGTCTGTCCATTTAAGGTCCCCCTAGAAAAGATGCAGGTCATCTACCAGGGGTCATTTTCACCACCAGCAGCATTGCCAGGCAGTGCAACTGACATTGCATCTTTGTCAAGTTTCTAGGAGACCAGAGCTAAAAGCATCTTAGATCCAGGTCACTTAGATCCTGTTGAGTGCAAGGGGACCCTGCTTCTCCCCAGTAATGCTCTCTGGCAGTGCAACTTGCTGGATCTCCCAGGTTATCCCTTCACGCCTAGTTTTTCCTGTTGTCTTAGAGAAATGATAACACAAAAAGATGGGCAGTGTGTGGGCGTCTCTGCTATGCAATGTCTTAAGCTCGGATGCTAGACCCTTGGGCTGGGCCCTGGCCTATGTGGCTCAATGGGTTGGACATTGTCCTGCAAACCAAATGGTCGAGGGTTCAAATCCCAGTCAGGGCACATACCCAGGTTGTGGGTTTGGTCCCCAGTCACAGTGTGTGCCAGAGGCCACTGATCGATGTTTCTCTCTCACATTGATGTTTCTTTCCCTTTCCTTCTCCTTCCCTTCCCTTCTCTCTGGAATCAATAAAAGAAAACAAAAGAAAAAATCTTGGATTGGACCAGCTTTCTAAAGGTTGATGAGTCTCTGTCTAGAGCTGCTTGCTATCCAGTTTCCCCAGGGAGTGTGGGTGCTTTGTAAAGATTTGTTAACTTAAACAATTAATTAATTATGAGCACTTCTAATGTACCAGGCAGGAGGACTGTATATTTTATATCGATCATTTCTGAATCCCAACAAAGATGTGAGGACTGAGTCAGAGAAGCCACATACGTTATTTGAAAGGGCTGTAGTTGAACTGATGGCTGTCTGACTCATCCACTCTGGTCCTTTGTGACTCAGAGATGACCCTTGTTTTGTGAGCGGCTCTTGCCTGAACCAGGAGAGCACATAAGCCAGCATTCACATACAAGAGGACTGAGAAAGAATGTCCTACCAGGATGTCTTGGTCCTGTCCCCATATCCATGTCCTTCTCTCCCCAGGCCTGAAAAGGGTGGAGCAGCCACTGGAGTTGATGCCATTTGTACACACCATCCTGACCCTACAGGCTTCGTACTGGACAGGGAGCAGCTCTACTGGGAGCTGAGCCACCAGACCCATGGTGTCACCCGGCTTGGTCACTACATCCTGGACAGGGATCGCCTCTATGTCAATGGTGGGCGTCTCGTGGTGACAGTGGCCCTCTGCAGCACCAGGTGGATTCCTCTGTTGATGCTCTGAGCTCTGGCCAGAGGATACACCCATGTCTGCTTCTAGATTTCTCTCTCCTCACTCTTCCTCTCCCGTGAGGTCTCCGTCTCTGCCATGTGTGCACATAGCACACACAGAGAGAGGTGGGGGGGTCAGAGAAAGGCCATAGGAGGTACAGCTCACTGCCTGTAGGGACACAACCTCTTGAAGGCCTCCGCTCTCTCAGCACGGTCCAATCCTTTCATCCCTTTCTTAATAAACTTTGAAGCCTCCACTTCACTCTTATCCACTTTGCAGGTTACACCAGCCCAGCCCGGACCTCCATTCCCACTGGTAAGTGTTCAAGCCTTAGGTGGCCCCATGGCCCGCAGTGACAGGTGAGGGCAGCTGGTTCCTCCTCCCTGTGGCTAAGGCCTCAATGGGGGAAAGGAAGCCATAGGGCCCTTATTACAGTCCCCCAACTTCTGCAACTCAGTTTGGGCATCAAGGCCCAAGTACCTCTGGCACCTCCAAGGTAAAGCTGCGTCATTCTCATTTCTGATACTTCCTCCTCAGTTTCTGTGACCTCCACACCCTCCTTGGGAAACTTGCCAGCTCTAACCCCCTCCAGTTCAACAGGTAAGAGCCTTCTCTCCATGTCTACTACCTTCCCACATATAAGCTGCTATGCTTTACAATGAGAAGTCAAGACACTAGGCATGGGCAGGTCAAGGCAAGGGGACAGCATGGGGAGGATAAATTTGGGGAGCCACACCCTCATCACAGACCAGCGCATCTCCATCCCTGTGTTTGGAGAGCTCTGCGACTTCAGGTTTGCAATCCCAGATTGAAGGCGTGGCTCCTTTTAATCCACCCTTTGCTTTCTACTAAAGTTAGCTTCTCCTATTTAACGAATGAGCACCAAATCCACTGGATTAAAACAATCATTCACTGCTGCTCGTGAGTATATAGGTCAGCTCTTCAGAGTGGTCTGCACTAGGCTTCCTCATGTGTCTATAGCCACCTGCAGGTTAGCTAGGGGACTCTGGAGGATGTCTGACTGACGGGTGGGGTGCCTCAGTTCTCTTTCATGTGGCCTTGCATCATCCAACAGCCTAGCTCCGGCTGGTTCATAGGGGGCCTTAGGGTTCCCAGAAGCAGGAGAGGGCAAGCCTCAGCACACGAGTGCCTTTCAAGCCTCTGTTTGCATCATTTCTCTTGTCTCATTGTCAAAGCAAGTCATGGCCAAGCGAGAGTCAAGAGATGGAGAAATAGGCTCCCATTTCTTGGAGGAAGGGGCTGTAGCACCACATTGCAAGTGTGTGGGTGTAAGGAGATGAAGAATTGATGGCCATTTCTATAATCTACCCCAAGTGACCTGCCAGGGGACTCAGAGTGGGGGCAGGTGGTGGTCACTTGGTGAGATCAGATCCAGCAGTGCATTCTGGAACCATTCCCAAAATTCTACCTGCTGCTAGAATCGAATAGAAAAAGTCCAGAGCAAATTCAGGTCTAGTTCCCAAAGGGCAGAGACTAACGGGGTCAACAGAGAAAGCAGACATAAGTAATAGTAACAGTGACAAGAAAATAAATACCGCAGCATTCGCTGATTGCCACATAAAAGGGACCCTCATATATATGGTCTTCATCTTCTACAGCTAGATGCTGCTTTTGTCCATTTAAGAGAGGCATAGACTAGGTCTTCGAGGAATCAAAGTTTTTCTGAGATCACACAGCCAGCAGATGGTCGGGACTCAACCCTACGTTTTTCAAACTCTAGAGCCTGAGCTTCTTCCCTAAAATAGCTGTGTGGTCTTGGGGAAGTGCCTTAACCTCTTTGAAACTCATTTTTGTCTGTCAGTAACAAGATGTACCCCAAGGGTTGTGTGAGGATCGTATAAGAAACTGCGCAGAACATGCTTAGCACAGGGTAGCGTAGAGTAAGCTATTACCAAACATCAGCTGTCATTAATGCTGCTATTTTCATTGCCATCATTATTATTACTGCTATTATTGGTGTCATTCAAAATAAAGCTTCCTATCCTGGGAAGAGTCATTCTGAGCTCTTATAGTAGATGTGAACACCAGGCTCACCCCTGACCCAACCACCCTGACCTTTAAATTTAGCTCAGGCAGTGATTCAGGGTGTGACTTCCTCTGTCTCAACCTCACTGCAGTCTCTGGCCCTGCCCTGGTGCCTCTCACCCTTAACTTCACCATCACCAACCTGCACTACATGAAGGACATGCAGCTTCCGGGCTCAGTGAAGTTCATCAAAATAGAGAAGATCCTGCAGCACCTGGTGAGCCTCCTGCCCATCACACTCCTGCATGACCCACCGATGCCCACCATGCCCACATCTATCAGTCACCCCACCGCACGCCGGCCCCCGTTCATATATTTCTGCCTCCCGGTTGATACCAGCCCCCGTACCTCATCCCAGCCCTGCCCCTGTCCTTCCCTATTGGTCGTTGTACTCACTTCTCCTCCTCCAACAGCTCAGACCCTTGTTTAAGAACACCAGTATTGGCCTCCTCTACCCCAGCTGCAGACTTGACTTGCTCAGGTAAGACCACTAGAGACGTCCCAGCGAGGCACTGTGGAGATTTTTTATGCGCAGGCCTCTAGAGCTGGCTTCTCCCTTTGACCTCAGCCCTTTCAAGGTCCCCACATGACAGAGCCACTATTCTTCCTGTTTCTGGTCCCTGGTCCCTTCGCTGGACCTTCCCACCCTTAAGAGCTTCAAATCGCACATACAATATTTAATAGGAATAAAATGATAAAACATAATAACCTGAAAGTATGTACCAAATTCCTCATTAAGGATGCATCCCCGATCCTTCACAAAGAATGAACCTACAGCTTACCATGCCCCCAGTGCACACTGCATATACTTATTTATTTAATTTAATTCATTGGGGTGACATGGGCTAATAACCAAACTTACATGTTTCAAGTGTACAGTTCTATCATATATCATCTCTATGTTGCATTGTGTGTTCACCACCGGAAGTCTAGTCTCCTTCCATCACCATAGATTTGATCCCTTTACCTTATTCCACCTCCCCTCCTAACTCCCTTCCCTTCGGGTGACCACCATTCTCTTGTCTGTGTCTGTGGCTTTGTTCGTTTGGGGTTTTTTGTTGTTATTGTTCATTTGTTGCTTTCTGTTTTATATTCCACATATGAGTGAAATCATAAGGTTCTTATTTTTTTTTTCATTTGGCTTATTTCACTTAGCATGACACTCTCAAGATCCATCTAAGTATTTTATCCTTTCTTATGACTGAGTAGTATTCCGTTGAGTGTGTGTACGCGCGTGCATGTGTGAGTGTGTGTGTGAGTGTGAGTGTGTGTGTGTGAGTGTGTGTGTGAATGTGTGTTTGTGGGAGTGTGTGTGTGTGCGTGTGTACACACCACGTCTCCTTTATCTCGTCGCTCTTCGCAGGGCTCTTTGGTTATCCCCATGTCTTGGCCACTGTGACTAATGCTGTGATGGACATAGAGGTACATATATATTTACAAATAAATGTTTTCCCAAAATTTCAGGTAGATATGCAGAAGAGGGATATGGTAGCTCTATTCTTTTTTTTTTCCCCCAGAAAACTCCACACTGTTTTCCGTAGTGGCTGCACCAATTCATCACGTTCCTACCCGCAGTGAACGTGGGTTCCTTTTTCTCTACATTCTCCAACACGTGTCATTACTTGTTTTGTTGGTAATAGTCATTCTAACAGGTATGAGGTGATATCTCATTGGAGTATTGCTTTGCATTTCCTTTATAGCTAGCAAAGTTGAGCATCTTTTCATAAATCTTTCTGTCATTTCTTTGTCTTCTTGAGAAAAGTGTCTCTTCAGGCCTTCTGCCCATTTTGTAATTGGATTGTTTGGTTTTTGTTGTTGAATTGTATGAATTGTTTATATATTTTTGGATATTAGCCCCTTATCAGAGGTATTGTTTGCAAATATTTTCTCCCATTCAGTTGGTTGCCTTTTTGTTTTGTTGATGGTTTCTTTTGCTTTTTGGAAGCTTTTTAGTCTGATATAGTCCCACTCATTTATTTTTGCTTTTACTTCCCTTGCCTTTATCATGTATGGCCTTTATTATGCTGAGGTACTTCTATACCCATTATATTGAGTGTTTCAATCATAAATGAAGTTTGTGTCTTGTCAAAAGCTTTCTCTGCATCTATTTACATAATCACATGATTTTTGCCTTTTATTTTATTAATGTGGTATATGACAGTGATTGGTTTGCTTATGTTGAACATCCTTGTGCCAATGGAGTGAACTGCACTTGATTGTGATGTATTATCTTTTTTATGTATTATTGTATTTGATTTTCTAGTATTTTGTTTAGGTTTTTTTGTACCTATATTTATCAGACATGTCAGTCTGTAACTTCTTTCTTGTGTGTGTGTGTGTGTGTGTGTGTGTGTGTGTGTGTGTGTGTGTGTGTGTTGTTTCTTGCCAGGTTTTAGTATCAGGGTAATGACTGCCTCCTGAAATGAGTTAGGAAGTATTGCCTCCTCTTCAATTTTTTGAGAGAGTCTGAGAAGGATTGGTGTTAAATCTTCTTTGACTGTTTCGTTGAATTCACTAGTGAAGGCATCTAGTCCTGGACTTTTAATTTGGGGGAGGCTTTTGATGACTGTTTCAGTTTCCTTACTGTTGGTTGGTCTATTTAGATTTTTCAGTTCTTTGTGATCTGCTGAGTGAGGATTTTACCACCCTGTGGGCCATGAGGAATGGGGCGGGTGGTTTCCTGCTGATGGTCTGTGACACATTGTGACTTTTTTTTCAAGTTTTATTTATTTTTAGAGAAAGGGGAAGGGAGGGAGAAAGAGCAGGAGAGAAGCATCAACATGAGAGAGAAACATCAACCAACTGCCTCTCTTATGCGCCCTGACTGGAGACTGAACCTGCAACCCCGGCATGTGTTCTGACCAGGAATCAAACCAGCAACCTTTCGCTTTCCAGGACAATGCCCCACCAGAATAGCCACACTGGTCAGGGCACACTGCAACTTTGTACACCGTTCTCTGCCCCTGGCGCTGGGCCCAGCCTCAATGTGTGTCAACCACCCAGACCCAGTTGCTGCCTCTGCCCCTCTGACTTGCGCTGTGTTGGTTGCATTGGTTGCACCCCAACCCTTACTGGCTTCTGTGTCTTCTGAAGCCTTGGGGAGCACCTGACTGTGTGTGGCTTCTGTCTCTGTTCTTTCTCCTCCCTGCCCTATCTCCACTGTTCATTCAGATATGCCCACCTTTAGTTGTCTTGGTGTTCTATGTCTCAGATGTGTTTGTGTGTTGAGCAGGGAGTTCTTTGTTGAATTATAATGGTCCAACTTGTTGTAACTTCAAGGGGAGAGACCTGGACGTCCACTTCTGCTGCTGTGCTGCTGATGTCACCCCTGAATATAAATATTTCTGAAGGCTATCGCAGAGCAAGCACTTAGTGTGCATCAGCTATTGGGGTTCTTCATGTATGGTCACTACTGATGATCCTTGTTGTGAGTGGCTCTACTCTGCTTTGGTGGATTTTTAGTACCATCTTAGCCTCTACCCACTAGATGCCTGTAGCACCCCAACCCCCCAAAATTGAACAACTAGAAAGCCCCTGCAAGACAAATTCACGGTGACATTTAAATGATTTCCATACATCATCTCCCCAAACTCTTCGATGAGTTTTACGGATGAAACATCAAGGCACACATAACTTCAGGAACTTTCCTAGATCCAACAGCCGCCACGTGGTGGAACGGCGCTTCGAGCCCAGTCTCCTCAGAGCCCAGGCCTTTTCTCACTAAGCCTGCTTTGCTCATTGTCTTTGTGAAGAACCATCCATTCACTCTCACTCACGTCATTTCTGCCTTTGACTCTCTGTTCCCTTCCAGTGGCGGTGGGGTGGAGGCGGTGGGGGTGGGGAGGCAGGACTTGGCCTGAGGTCAGCTAGTGATGGGGGTTTCTGAGCATGGGTGGCCCACTCCATTCTGACGTCTTTTGGAGGGTTTAGCCTCAGTGGCCATCTCCCCAGAAAACTCTCCAGACCCCCGAAAACAGAATTCAGGAAAATGTTTTCTCCCTGAGGCACCAGAATAGAGAGGGATGGAATGAAGTCACCTTCCTTAGAGCCCAGCCTGGGGTGCTGATGCACCCAGAGCAAACACAGCCTCTCCACTCCTCTGACCTGGGTTTCCACAAGTTCTCTTGCCATCCGCAACATTGCCCCTGGTGCTCACCAAGCTCAGTGCTCTGCTCCAAAAACTTGATGGGGGTCAAAGCATAGAATCTGCCATCAAGAAGTGTGTATATATATATATATATATATATACACACACACACACACACACACACACACACACACACACATATATATACACATATATATATACGCAAACATGTATACATATTAATTATACTATTCTAAGCACATACTAATATCCGCATGTTTAATAATCACACGATACACCTGGATACCATGATTATACCCGTTTTCTAGATGAGAAACAGAAGCCCAATGACACCATTGAAGTGCTGAGATATGAGGAAAGTGTAGGATCTAGAAAACCCGAGATGGAACCTCGTCCTTGGAGAGCGATGAGTGCTGGCCAGGAGACACAGCCCTGGGCCCAGAAGCAAGTTGCCGAGAGAAGGGCTACATGTGGGGAAAGCGGGGCCTAAGGGAGAGAGGACGTGCAGAGCAGACATACTCGCCTGCAAGGAGGAAGGCAGAGAGGTGGCAAGGCAGCCCTGGGTGTCCTGACGGGCATGCTGGGATGTGGGGGCTTCACGCACAGGCAGCAGGGAGTGAAAAGTATTTCAGCAAGTGTCTAACAAGGACAGGTTGTCATTTGAAGTGAGAATTGGCTGCTGCGCGTAGAGTGGATTGTAGAGGGCAAGGAGGCCAGTGAGAGGAGTCCCAGACTCAGGGGCTGGCCTCTTATGGAACTGTTTTTACAGTTTAGAGCAAATTCACTCAGTGGTGGGTGACACAGCATCCCAGGTCCTGCTGACCAGAGCTGCACAGCACTCTCAAGGACCTTCCGCAGATGGATCCTCATTGTCTCTGCCTCTGTCTCTTCCTCCACAGGCCTGAGCGCGATGGAGCAGCCACCAGCGTGGACATCGTCTGCAACCACCGCCCTGACCCTGTAGGCCCCGGGCTGGACAGAGAGCGGCTCTACTGGGAGCTAAGCCAGCTGACCCAAAGCGTCGCCAAGCTGGGCCCCTACACCCTGGACCAGGGCAGTCTCTCTGTCAACGGTGAGCAGTGGCCCCGCTGCTCTGCTGTGCTGCTGAGCCCTCCTTCCCCCCTGCATGCCCCTTTAATGCCACCCCCCATCAGCCAGCACCTTGTCTCTCTCTTGCCCCCTCTCCGCAGGCTACACCCAGCAGACTTCAGAAACCACCCCCAGGGGTGAGTACTGCGTGGCCTTCAGAAGCCCCCCTACCCCACCAGCAGTGGGAACAGCAGGCCCCCATCTACATCTTCAGCTCTCAGGGAAGGAAGGGGTCAGGGACACAGGCTGGGGAGTCATTGCAGGGCAGCTCAGCTGTGAATCACCTCTGTGTTGTTGGCTGGGCACGGAGAAGTGGCCACTGAATCTTGACTGGATGGGTAAATGGAGGAAAATAAGTTAGCAATTGAACTGAAATAGCTAATACGCTTAGGTTGCACACTGGCTCCTTCGAAGCTGTAAAGCTTCCAAATCATTCCCTCCTTCACCTGCTGCATGTGATGGTCTGACACCCACACTGGTGATTAGATTAGACCACAAGAACCATCAGCCATCACTGTGTTCCCCGTGCGATGGGGCTAGGGCCCAGGCTCTGCCCCCCTATCCATCCCGGGCCTGACTCAGGGTGGGCTCTCCTCTCCCTCTCCTCCTGCAGCCACGGGACGACCCCCGGTGCCATTCACCCTCAACTTCACCATCACCAACCTGCACTACGTGGAGAACATGAGGTCTCCAGGCTCCTTGAAATTCAACACGACGGAGAAGTTCCTGCAGCGCCTGGTGAGAGCCCGGCCTCCATGCCGGACCCGCCCACCTAACCTCTGCCCAGCTACTGCTGCCAGCCCCACCCGCTCACCCTGTGCTGCTCACTGAAGCCACCTACCCACACCCCTCCTGCCCGCTGATGACCACCCCTCCCACTCCTGCCCTGTCCATCAGCCCCAGCCCTGCCCATGTCGCTCTTGTCCCGACCATACATGACCATCTTGCTCCTGCCCCTCAGCCCATCTATTTACTTCCCTTGTCTTCACCCACAGCTCAAGCCCTTGTTCCAGAATACTAGCGTGGGCACGCTCTTCTCAGGCTGCAGACTGACCCTCCTCAGGTGAGGCCTTGAATAGCCGGCCGGAGCTGCCTCAGGTGCTTCCAGATTGAGGAGTTTGTTCTGCTTCCTTCCTGCCTTCCCCATCCATGCCCTTAGAAGAAATGGAAGTCAGGAGGCATTTCTCCAGGACCAATGCCTCTTCTGATGGTCCCCCCACCACCCCCACAACTGTCCCCAGATTATGCAGAGCCCATCAGCAAGATTGAACCCCTAGCCTGGTCATTCTTCTTAGTTTCCTCCTCCCTCCCTTTGACCCGCGAGGGCATTTCCTTTAGGTTTTCAGTTTAGTTTCCAGCATTTTTCTCAAGACAAATGTGTCTTTTCCACTTGCTTTAATCCCAGATTCCATCTCCCTATGTGCCTCAAGTATGAGCTTTCCTATTCCCATGTCTTACGGATGCAGGTTTCTGCCTTGCACTATATTAATAATCCTCTCACCCACTGACAGTTTCTGCCTTGCTGTTTTGTAATTTCTCCACCCATTGACTCCACTCACAGTGTGAGGCTGGCCAGAAGTTGGTGAGCTCAGAGATCTGTCTGACTTCTCAGCTCTCTGACAGCCTCCCTATTTCCTGTGGCCTCTCCCTGTCCTGGCCCAGGAATGTCAGGACCCTCCCTAGGAACTCGCTTCATTTTTTGTCATCCCCTTTAACCACCTTTGCCAGGCCCAAGAAGGGTGGGTCAGCCACTGGAGTGGACGTTGTCTGCACTCACCATCCTGATCCTGTGGGTGCCGGGCTGGACAGCGAGCGGCTATACCGGGAGCTGAGCCAGCTGACTCGTGGTTTCACCCATCTGGGCCCCTACACCCTGGACCAGGACAGTTTCTACATCAATGGTGAGGGGCTGCTATCTTTTCTGCATCTCAGCTTGTCCCACATCCTTCCTCTCCATTGTCCCCTTCCCTAATCCCTCCTCCTCCTCATGTTTCTCCACCTTTGCAGGTTACACCCACCAGACCCAGACCAGCACCCCCAGGAGTGAGTATTCTGAGGTTCAGGAGTCTCTACAACCCTGTAAGTCCCAGCCCATAGGAACAGAGGAGACCAGGAGCCCCCTGCCTCTGTTCTCCAGCCCCACCTCATCTCCAGCCTGGGGAGAAGGGGGACCAGTACCCACAGAGCCCAGAAGTGGGCGCTGCCTCCCTGGCGTCTCCAAAACGATGAGGTTCCCACCCAAGCACTTGAGGTGTTTTCTCCCCAGCTTCCATGATGCAGGTGCCAACAGTGAGGGGCTGTGTGGGGGCTGGGCCTGCTGCCCAGTGAGCGGCTCTGCGGCAGCAGGCTCCTGGCCCGAGCTCAGGCTCTCCTCATTGGGGCCTCACATCTGAGAGGGGCCTTGCAAGGCTTTTGCCCCTTTGGGGTGGGGAGGGTGGATTCTGAGTCTTCCAGGTGAGCTCTCTGTCTTCCTTTTACTGAATTCCAGTAGTGAGTACAGCTGCCATCTCTCCAGTAGCCAATTTGCCCTTTTATTGAAGAATTCTCCCTTCCCCCTCCCTCACCATCTCTCCCTCTCTTTACAGGTTACACCCATTTGGTCTCAGCCACCACCCCCAAAAGTGAGTATTTCAGATTTCTGTGTACCTGTGACCACCGCCCTGACCCTAAAAATAGGAGCCATTCGTTCTAGACCTTTCAGGGCCTGACAGGTTGACGAGATTCAGTCAGACAGAAGAATATTCATGGAGCCGTTGGGATATCTGACATGTCTTTATTCAAGAGTCATGATCCACGCACGCTGCAAGCTGCGTGTCACGTTGCATGTCATCTGTCCCCTCTGCGTGGCACCCAGCAGGGAGTCCTTACTCCCTTAAATACTAGAAACAAACCAAGCCGGCAGGGTACCAACAGATCTTACGATCGGATCTTCTTGCTGAGCTTCTGTCACCTATTACTCCTGCTTTTGGAGACACAAGAAATGATGTTTCCTCTGGGAAGCTTTCCCCAGTCATAGATGGCCTGTCTCTCTTTGAATGGCACCTCCTCTGGCTCCCTTGCATGATTATGCTCTGGTCACGCTCCTGGTCACAACATTGGAAGGCTATGCCCTATTATCTTTGAACCACAGAGTCCAGCACAGAGCCTCTCACACAGCAGGCACTCAATAGATGCTCATTAGATGAATAGATGAGTGTAGGTTCCCGATGCCTTGGAATTCCAGGTTGTCCTCTCTTTCAGCTCCTGCGGCCTGTGGCTATACAGAGTCCACTGCTAGTGCCCCACAGGTAGAGCCCCAGGCACTTGGTCTTCACTCTGTTCCCAGCTGAACGTATTTCTCTTCCTCCCCCATGGCAGCCACTGGCCCCACCCTGCTGTTCTTCACCCTGAACTTCACCATCACCAACATGCACTACACAGAGGACATGGGGCACCCAGCTTCCTTGAAGTTCAATTCCACTGAGAGGATCCTACAGCACCAGGTGGACACCCCTTGATGACCAGTGTCAGCCCCACCTAGTACCCACCCACAGCCCCTCAACCCTTCTCCTCACCACCACTTTCTCCCTTCCAGCTGCGGCTCTTGCTCCGTAACAGCCGCGTCGGCCCCCTCTACTCTCGCTGCAGACTGGCCTCGCTCAGGTGAGACCCCCCAGATAGAGTGACTTATCAGGTCAAGTGGACCCTCACGCACTGGCTAGCAGGGCTCAGTTCTTGGGCATGACCCTGGCGCCGCTCCCTTTACATGAACCCTGCATGATGCCTTCACACCTTCTTCATGCCCAGAGGTGGTGAGAATGCTCAAGGCTTAGAAATGAGGCATCGTGTTCATATAGTTTATGTAATTTAAAGAACATTCTGTTTTAAGGGAAGACTCTTCTATTAGAAGAACTATTGCATCCTGTCTGCGAGTTCTAATTAAGATGTTTTCTGTCCCTAACGGTGACTCGGTTGTCTCAGGTGAGAGACATTGAGGAGGGCCCCCACATGGCTTCAGAGCTACCCCTTGAGCATTCTCTTAGCCGCACTCCCTTCCACTTTCTTGCTTTTCCCACCCAGAACAACCCCCTCCAGTCTTCCTCATCCCCGTGTCCTGCTTTCCCCAGGCTGGAGAAGCACGGAGCGGCCACCAGGGTGGACATGGTCTGCACCTACCACCCTGACCTTGCAGGCCCCGGGCTGGACAGGGAGCAGCTGTACTGGGAGCTGAGCCGTAAGACCCGTGGTGTCACTCGGCTGGGCTCCTTCACCCTGGACAGGGACAGCCTTCACGTCAATGGTGAGGGGCTTAGCTGCAGCCGTGATCTCTTCCCCAGGTGGGGTTTTGTGCTGCCTCCCTTTCTCTGAAGTGAGCTTTGATCCATCCTTTCCGCCTTCTGGTCTGGGTCTGGCCTTCCTTGGATCGAAGTGACCCCTGGGCCCAGCCACCTGCAGCCTCGTTGCCTGGTTGCCTCCTCCTTCAATATTTCTCCACTTCCTCTTCCCCCTGCTTGTAATCACAAAAACCCCTTCCCCTTAATCTTTTATGTTCACCCTAACTCTCGCTTGGCTCCCCTCACCTTCTCTCTGCAGGTTACACCTACGGGGCCACAGCCTTGATGCCCACTGGTGAGTGTTCCTGGCCCCAAATTCCTAGATCTCATTCCCAATTTAGTTTTAGGAGCAGTTGCTTTTCTTTACCTTCTGTTCTTGGTGAGGGAAACATCTGGAAGGGCCCTTAACTCATCCTTTCTCCTTCTCTCGGGGTTCCTGTGGAGCGTTCCGGTCCGGGGTGAGGAAATCTTAGACAATGGTATGTTGTCACACCATGTCTCAGCCTCCTATGGTTTTCCTGTTAATTTTTCTAAAACTCTGCCTTTGGTACTCCTTTCTTATCATTTTACTCTTATCTTTGTTAATTGTTATTATAGTTTCTCAACTTCAGTCTTACATCTGTTGTTTTGTTTTTTGATTTTCAGTGAACATTTATTTCGACTCAGTCCCTTCCAGCCCAGTCCCTCAGGCTGCTATAGCAAAATGCCATGGACTGGGTGACTCAAACAACAGAAATTATTTTCCCACAGTCCTGGAGGCTGGAAGTCCATGATCAAACTGCAGGCAGGGTTGGTTTCCTCTGAGGCCTCTGTCCTTGGCTGGCCAATGGCGTCCCTCTTGCTGCCTTTTCATGTGGTCGTCCCTGTGTGTGTGTGTGTACACACACACACACACACACACACACGTACGTCTCTCTGTGTGCCCTAATCTCCTCTCCTTATAAGGACATCAGTCAGATTGGATAAGCACCCCGCTCTACCAATGGCCTCATTTTAACTTAATTACTTCTTTAAATGCCCTATTTCAAATACAGTCCAGTCACCTATGGAGGCTGTAGTGATTAGGGTTACAACCTGTGGATTTTGACGGAGGAAACAACTGATTCCAAAACATATACACTGTTCTTTAATTCTCATTACAACCATATGATTTAGCTCCATTTTAGAGATGAGAAAACTCAGGCTAAGAGAGCCTGCCAGCCCAAACAGCAAATGCATAATAGAACCCAGAGCTCCTGTGGCTCCAAAACTTATGCTCCAGCTCTCCATCATGAGTTCCTTTATTCCCCAAGGCATGCTTATTCTTGGTGCACACATACTATGTTTCAGTGTACGGGCCAAACTCTTTTTGTCTCTGAAGCACTGCAATGAAAACATCATAGGTTTTCAAGAATTAATTGCTCTTGCACTAGGGGTATGTTTTCTCACACTGTCCTTGGGTCCATCACTGGCCACCTTCACTTTTTCTAAACCATGACAGGGTTCTGGATTTCTGAGGTCCAGTAACAACTATCTTTTTCTAAATTATATTCTAAAAAATAAGTTAAAGACAGCTCCATTGACTGTGTTTTGTTCCTCACTATCCAGTCCGTGGAATAGTTCCTGGAGCATTATAGGAACAATTCAATGCACATGGAGGGAACGCAAAATGGATGAATGGAAGGAAGGAAGAGGTGAAGAATGGAAGAAGGGAAGGAGAGAAGATGGATGAGCAGATGGAAGGAAGAAAAGATGGATGGAAGAAAAAAGAGGAATGAGGGAGGAAAGATGTATAAAATAGATGGGAGGAAGAAAAGAGGGATGGGAGGAATGAAAGATGGATTCATAGATGGAAGAAGGAGAGGATGGAGGGAGGCTGCAAGGGAAGATGGGTAGATGGAAGAAAGGGGGATAGGAGGGAGGATGGGCAGAAGAAGGTATAAATGGGAAGAAGTAAGAAAAGCAGTGAGGTAGGAAGGAAGATGGAAGGATGGATGGATGGATAGGCAGTTTAGATGGTTGGTCGAAGAAAGAAAGGAAGGGATGGAGGGAGGAAGAAGATGGATGAATGAAAGTAAAGAGGGAAGGAAGGAAGAAAAAGGGAGGGAGGCAAGAAGGGAGGAAGGAAGGATGGAAGGAAGGAAAGGAGGGAGAAAGGGAGGAAGGAGAGAAGGAAGGAAGGATACATAGATGGACAGAAGGAAAGATGGATGGAAAGGTAGAAGGAAGTATGGACAGAAGGAAGCTTAAAAAGATGAACAGAGTAGAGGGAGGGAGAAGAGAGGAAGTAAGCTTATTCCCCCAGAGTTTTGTCTTAAATAAACATTATGCCCTGCATCACTTACTGTTCAAGAGTCAAGCCCTGGGCCCGCTGGTCTCACCTGCATCATATGTTTATTTATTGTACTTCTATTGGGGTCAACACAAGTCATCCCAACTATCGAACATTGTACCAAATGCATGAGTCTGAGAAACAGCACAACAGGGGTGGTCACACGGAAGGAATGGGGTCCAAACCAAACTCCCCCTCCCTCCAGCCATGTGACCCTGGGCAGACGACCATTTCCGTACTTTGGTTTCTTCCTTTTTTAAATATGGGTAATTCTAGTACCCAGTTTATGTTATCCATGTAAAAATCTCCAACATTATAAGAAAGTATTTGCTTACTAATTTTATATAATGAATCCTCACATAGTATTTACCCTGGGCTCAGCACTGTGTTTAAGCACATTACAAAAACTCACTTGTTTACACCTTTTAACAACCTTTGAAGTAGGAATCATTATCTCATCTTATGGATGAGTAAATTGAAATGCAGAGAGATTAGTTATAGCTGCTAGGACTTTTTAACCTTTTTAAATCAATGCATAGAAGGTTGACATACCTGGTTATAATAGCAGGAAAAATAGATAGATAGATAGATAGATAGATAATATAGATATATAGAGAGATAGATAATAGATAAATAGATCTATCTCCTGCCCTTACAACCAGGTATGCCGATCTTCTATGCAGTGGTTTAAAAAGCCAACAATTCTCGTAGAGATATATATAGATTTAGATATCTATCTATCTCTATCGAAAGGAAGAGAGAGAGATTGATGCACACAGAGACAAAGATAGAGATGGGGAGCAGAGATAATATGGATAAAGATATCAGGGGTCATCAGTTCCCCATCTGCATGGCAAGTTAAAAACTTCTCCTGAGAAACTATTGTACAAAGCCACCGTGTTTTCTCAGATCCCTCCACTCCTGCATCTGGGTGGAAACGGCCCTTCTCAATGCCCTCAACTCATTAAGCTTGCTCTTACTCACTGCTGGAGTTGTCTCCACAAACAAGTGACCAGCAGGCTTATCAGGAGGAGCCCATGGGCCCTGTGAGTTCCCATTCTCAAGTGGACATTGGGCCCCCCAACCTCCCTGCGAGCCCTGGCTCTCTCCGCACCCACCATAGCTGCAGAGGTCAACGAGGAGCCTTTCACGCTGAATTTCACCATCAACAACCTGCGCTACTCAGCAGACATGGGTCATCCAGGCTCCCTCAAGTTCAACATCACTAACACGCTTATGCAGCATCTGGTGAGAGGCCTGCTTACCCCTCCCACCTCTGCATGACCCGTCACAGAGACTGTTGCCTGCCTCTGACCCACACTGGCTCTCTCCTTCCTCTCCAGCTCAGCCAGTTGTTCTGGAGGAGCAGCCTTGGCCCCCGATATGCAGGTTGCAGAGTCACCTCGCTAAGGTGAGACCACACTCCCCTCCGTAGCCCACCGCCAAAGGACTTCTTACTGTGGGGGCTGCCCCTGATTGCGGCAGGCTATTCTTGGATGTTCCTTTTCTGCCTCTGTTAAAAAAAATACATTATTAATTTTTTTATATTATGATAAAATATATATTGGCACAAAATTATCCTTTTAAGTACACAATTCAGTGACATCAATTACACACATAATGTACACCCGTCGTCACTCTCTAGTTCCAAAACTTTTCATCACCCCAAACAAAAACTCTGTACCCTTTGGGCAATTATTCTCATGTCTCTCGGTCAGATTTTGTTCTGTTGGTATTTACAAAGAACTTCTCGATTTGTATTTTCATTCATCTGACATGATCATACAGCACCTCAGAGCGGGTGGCCAGTAGCACAGTGACAAGACAGGCACTATCTCCGCCCTCATCTAGCAGAGAAAACAGCCAGGAACCGGGGAGTAAATGCTGAAGTAAAGCGCTCTCAAACGTGATGAGACGATGCAAAGCATAAGTAGAGAGCGATGGGGAAGGAGCTTTACCCAGGGGGACAGGGTGGCCTCTCTGTACAGGTGACTTCTGAGCTGTGTCCCAGGGAAGGAGAGAAGGGGAGAGACTTCCAGACAGAAACCATTGCAAGAGCAAAGTCCTGGGGTGGGAGGGTGTGGCCAGTGGAGACACTGAGAAAGGTCCCTCCAGGGTGAAGCACAGGGTCTGAGGTGTGCAGTGCCTGCAGGTGGAGAGGTGCCCAGTGAACTGCATCCCCCAAAAGTCAACCTCTTCTTCCCCAGGTCTGTGAGGAATGGCGCCAAGACGGGGGTGGACTTTCTCTGCACCTACCGGCAGCTCCCCAGTGGCTCAGGTCTGCCTGCCGAGCAGGTGTTCCGTGAGCTGAGCTGGCAGACCCGGGGCATCACTCGGTTGGGCCCCTACTCTCTGGATAAGGACAGCCTCTACCTCAACGGTTAGCAGTTGTCAGCCCCTTTCACTGGGGCCACCCCCTAACTCCAGAGGGCTCCCATTTACTGTCCTCCAGGAAACTCAGGGGTGAATCTCTACTCCACACGGACTCTTCTCCTCCCCCCACCAGCTACCCCATAAGGCTGATCCTTGATTAAAGCTATGTTGCAGATGAATAAACTGAGGCTTAGAAAGGTTAAGTAATTTGCCCAAGTGGTTGTAGCGTGAGAGTGGGTGGAGCCAGGTCACAGTCTCCAGTTGTTGGCATCTAGTGCCAGTCCTTCTAGGGGAGACTTGGGGAAAGAAAACCCCACATCCCTTGCCCCACCCTGATTTCTTCTGACCCTTGACCAAGGATAGACTTCTCTCTTGGGTGGGGCCACATGCCAGGGAGGAAGGCAGGCCTCTGAACAGCCAGGGGGCCCAAGCTTCGGACACACTGGCCATCAGCCTAGAATCCAGGAAGTGGCATCATTTAAATGGTGACCCTCATCCGGGGTTCTGAGAGACACGGCATGGCCGTGGTTGGTCAAATGAAATAACTCAGCTTCCCTCCTCTCCATCTACAACCTAGAAACCATATTTGGCAGCTCACACTTTCTTGTCTGGCCCCACGGCCCCATCAGGTGGTCAGGGAGACCATCTGGTCCTTTATGACTCCCATTTTAGCAAGGAAGGAAACAGAGGTACAGGGGAGGGGGAGACCAGCACACACCCACAGTAGGGTTGTGGCCAGTCTGGGTCTTGATGTTCTGAGTTCGCATCTGTCCCCTTCCCCTTGGCCGTTGAAGGGGCCACTTTAGGATTGCCCCTCTTGCAAACTGCAGGACTTATATGCTTCATTTTGTTCACTCGCTAGTGCTTACCAAGCATCTACTGTAAACTGGGCCTTGTGCCTGGCACCAAGGACAGAGATAGGCTACCCGATAGGCACAATCGGTCCTCATGTCAGCTTCAGTGGGACAGAGACTGTTTTGTTCAGTGTGTATTCCCCGAATGTAATGGAACTTGGCACTTGGGAAGTCTCAATAAATATTCACTGGATGGAGGGATAGAGTGAATATGGAGGGAGGGTGGAAGGGAAGACGGTGGATATGTGGAGGATAAAAGTATGGGCACAAACGTGTGGCAGTCTCTTGCTGGGGGCATGCTGGAGGTGGGTAGGAAAGGGTCGTTCTTAATGGAAAGATCAAGGAAGTCTTTACAGTGGATATGGCATTTGAGTCTCATCTTAGAAGATGCATAGGAGCTCACCTGGTACGCATAAGGAAAGGAATCCAGGCAGAAGCCCCACATAGTCAAATGCATGGGACATCTGGGATTGTTCTGCCACCTGCCCTTACGTGGGACTTGTTTGTTTCCAGGTTATAATGAACCCGGTCCGGATGAGCCTCCTCCAAGTACGTGTCTTTGCCTCCAGCGCCCATTTCAGCCTCCAAGGGTCTTGAGCCCAGCTTTTCTCCCCACTGACAAAGGGGGCTTGCCCCAAACTCAGGCTTTCTTCTGAGTGGGGCCAGGGTGTCCGTGGGAGGAAGAAGGCTGAGTCCTTGGCCTCTTTTGGAACCTGCATCCATGGTATTGGCTTTCTAAATTCTCCACATCCCTTTGGGTTGGAAGGAGAAATTTGAACAAGCTGTTCCCCACAGGAACAGATAGGGGTTGAGGTCAGATAGTGACTTACGGTCCATGCTTCCCAACAACAAAATCTCTAACAGGGGCCCCACAAGGGGCCTCAGAGTCAAGCCACAAACTCCGGTGGCTCCTCAGGGGTTAGGCGACATTGGCCCACGCACTCATTCAGTGGTGCTTTCATTTCACCTTTAACCCATCTAGTCTCCCATTACCGCGGTTACCCTTTCAGACGTCTTTTTCCTCCCTCTCTTCTCTCCCCCTCCCCATTGTTCCCTTCATCCCTTCCATTCATCCTCCCTCCTCTCTTTCCTTCCTTCTGTTCATCCATCCAGACAACCATCCTTCTGTTTATTTATGTTTGCCTTCTTTCTGTCCTTCCATTCATCTTTCCAACTTTTCTTCTATGTGTTTATTTTTCTCTCCTTTTTGACCATCTCTCCACCCATCCTTCTCTCCATTCACCTGTCCGTCCTTCCCGCTTCTGTCCTTCCCTTTCTTCATTTCCTTCCATCTCTCCAATTGGTCTGCATTTTTCCTGCTTTCTCTTCACCCTTCATTTATTCATTCTTCCTCTGTCCATCCAGTTACCCCATTTGTCTGTCCATTTTTCTGCCCACTCCTCTATCTGTCCTCCTTTGTTTAATCTCTCTCTCTCGTTCTCCCACTCATTCTCTTGACTTCATTTTACTTACAGGTTTGCTTACTCCCCTACTCACACAATCACTCCTTTCCTCATTCTCATGTATGATACACCTGTGAGTGGTTTTCCTGCGAAAGCCTCTGCTGAGGCCCATGAGAACCTGAAGGGACTTTGCCCACTTTGCGGGGGAGGGTCTCTCTTCCTCCCTGATGACAGCCGTCTTCACAGCTCCTGAGCCAGGCCCCGAGCCAGCCCCCACATTCCTGCCCACCTCGTCATCCCCTGTGCAACCAGAAACAACCACAGGTATTTGCGGGGCCCCTTTTCCTTCCTAAGAGAAGCTCACCAGCCCCAAGCCTCCGCCGGAGGTCACACAGGAACTGGGAAGTTAGAGTGTGAAATTTCTAGTTGTAGGGCAATCATCTTGATCTCAAAGATATACCAACAATTCAATATAATGCCTGCCTTTGGGGAGCCTCCTGGCTTCAGAGATTAACGGGCCATTACAACACAATGGGGGATGGCTGGGGAAGAGGCGTCTGCATACTCTGAGTGGGAAGAGCTTTCTGGTGAAAGTTTCACCCAAGAGCCTTTAAGAAGAATGGGAGTGCTCTAGGCAAACGCACGGTGAGGGGATCCCCTGGCAGCGGGGATTCCATGAGCAAAGGGTCAAAAGGCACAAGCAGCTTAGTGTAGAGAACTGGGAGAAATTTGGTTTGCTTGAAGCATAAAGCTTAATAGGGAGTAGATGGATAAATGAAACTGAAAGACTAGCCAGAACAAGGTTGGGAAGGAACTTGAGTGCTAGGTCAATAAGCTTGAACTTAATGTAGAAGACCACAGAGAATCATGGATGATAAGGAGAAGTGGTGACTATAGTGAGACTTTCATTTAATAAAATTTCTTCGAGTATTCAGTGTAGAGAACCTCTTTGAGCTGGGTTGTCCGCTGAGCCTGCCGGGGTATTGGTCCAGATGGGATAAGGTAAGAACGGGGCTAGGAGAGGGATGGAGAGAGGTGACGCATTGAGGATCATCCCGTATGTGGAGTTGGTATGACCTGAAGGGGAGGTGAGTAATACTCATATTACTGAGTGGATATAACAGTGTGGACTTGACCACATTGGTGTGGGGTGGCTGGTGCCCCTGGAAAAGACGACAACAGACCATCATGATCACAGGGCTGGATGGGGACTCCGGCCAGCTCTCAGTGACTGCCATCTCTCCCCTTCTCTTCTTTCAGCTCTGTTGCGCAACCTGGAGACCCTCACACTCAACCTCACCATCTCCAACCTCCGGTATTCACCAGACATGAGCAGTGGTTCAGCCATATTCGGCTCCACTGCGAGTGTCCTGCAGCACCTGGTGAGACCCTGGCCCCAGCACCTCCTGGTGGGATAAATCCCACCCAGCCTCTCACTCTCCCGATCCTCCTCCTGCTCCTTCCTCTCCAGCTCAGATCCTTGTTCAAGAAGAGCAGTCTGGGCTCCTACTGCTTGGATTGCAGACTGACCTCCCTCAGGTAAGATTCTTTCTTGAGGATTTGTCAGTAATGGCCACTTTTGGTGACCACCCCTTTTTCAGTCTTCCCACTGACCTCACATTTGATTCTCCCTATTTCTGGACCCCACACCCAGAGGTTTCAGAATCTCTCTCTAGAGTCCCCACATCCCTCTTTCCCCAGGCCTGAGAAGGGCGGGGCAGCCACCAGCATGGAGGCCGTCTGCACCTACCACCCTGACCCCCTGGACCACGGGCTAGACAGAGATCGACTTTACTGGGAGCTGAGCCAGCTGACCCACCGTGTTACCCAGCTGGGCCCCTACATGCTGGTCCCGGGCAGCCTCTTTGTCAATGGTGAGTGTTTATGCTGAACCTGGATTTACAGTGATCATTACACATCTTTGTTTTATTTCTTTAAGAAATAAGTCCAAGTTCAGTCTGGGAGCTACCTCCCCAACATCCATGGGGAGAGCCTTTCCTATTATTTCAGGTAAATAACATAAACTTTTTAAACCAAATTAATGTAATGAATTTTAATTCAAAACCAGAATTACAGTCACGTTACTCTTGGGCCAGGGCTTCCCCTAAGCTAAGCCCCTCTATGCCGGTTGTTCTCACCCAGGGGCAGTTCTGTGCCCCCACCTCCCACCTAGACACTGGGTAATGTCGGAGACATTATTAATTGTTACTACTGGGAGACGGTGCTACTGGCATCTAGTGGACAGAGGCTGGGATGGTGCTAATATCTTTAATGCACAGGAGAACCCCACCGCCAAGAATTATATAATTCCAAAAAGCACTAATTCTGAAGATGAGCAACCGTGTTGTACATGGTCCATAGCCCCAGGCACCACACCAGTGCTTACCACACTTTACCGCTATTACTTGCTTAATTATCCAACTTGGCAAAATCAGGTTTTGTCTACTGTGGCACCGGATCCTCAGTTCTTCACAAGTTGGCACATTATAGTACTCACTGGGTGAATGAATGAGTGAACCAATCAAAGATCAGAGTCTCAGCTCCTCATCTGTCATCGTCGGCTGCGGCTCCCATTCATTCACAACAAACACATATGTATGAAAATTCTGTCCCAAACCATGTGCTGGGCAGATATGGGGATAAAAGACACAACCTCTGACCCTGAAAAACTCATAATCAAGTGAACTGATTACTTAGGGACACAAAAATTGCAGCAACACTATAGAACTGGTTGCTATGGGATCAGAGATGGTGAGCAAATCAAGGGGAGCTTCCGGAAAAAATATTTTGTGCCCGGACCTGTGTTAGGCACTGGGGCATGACAAGAAAAAGATAGATGGGTGTGTTCCTGCCTTCTGGAGCTCTGTATATTTGGGCTTCTGAAGCATGAATAGGAGTTTTCCAGAGAGAGAAGAGGATGGAAAAAGCATTCCACAAAGTAGTCACTGCATAAGCTCAAGAATAGAAGCCTAGCTCAGGAGAATCCCTGTAAAATTCCTATCCCCACCACCCACCCCGCCCCCGCTTTGGGTGACTTTCCATTTGGGAATGCCCACAGCCCCTAGGGTATGGGCCTGATGTTGGCCGATTCTGACCCCTGTCAGGGCCTGCCGTGATACCATGCCTCTGAGCTAAAAGCTGAGCATTTCCACCTGTCTTCTCTTCCTTTTCATGGCCCAGGCTACGCCCCTCAGAGTGTATTTATCCAGAGTGAGTACCAGCTAAATTTCCGCATCATCAACTGGAACCTCAGCAACCCAGACCCCATGTCCTCCGAGTACACCGCCCTGCTGAGGGACATCCAAGACAAGGTGTGGTCTCTCTCAACCCTCTCATCTCTCCTTGTCCTGGGTACCCCTCTCATTTATTAAGTGATTTACATTTATTAAGTGATTCACTTCACTTTATCCAAGTTTTCTGAGTACTCTTAGTTTCCAAAGGCAGAGCCATGGCTGCCTACCCCATTTCCCGGATGGGCAGAGTGAGGCTCAGAATGGGGAGTTATGTGCCTAAGGTCACACTGAGTTGGGAGCAAAGCCAGGATTTGAACTCAGGTCTCCCTTTCTCTAAGGCCTATGTTCTTTTGCTGGCTCCAGTGGCTGCCTCCATCCCCTAGAGACCCCCCGCCAAACACCCATTCTCCCTCCCCTTTATTCTAGGTCACCAAACTTTACAGAGGCAGCCAGCTACGAGATGTATTCCACTCCTGCTTGGTTACCGACTTGAAGTAAGTTGTGGAAATTGGAAGCATCGGCTGAGCTGGTGGCTTGTGACTCTGAGATCTTGTGGCACATCTTGGATCTGAAAGTACTGTACTGACATGGTGCCCATTCTCCCCACATCCCTGTCAGCTAATCCTACCATATCCTCCCATAGGTGGGAAAAGGATGAACCTCATGGGGCCACCACCCTCAGCATCCACCACCTTCTCCTCTTCTGGACACTTTCAACCAATATCGGCCCAATAATAAGATTTACCATGGTCTGGCACCCTGATGAGCACTGTCATGCATGATCAACTCATTTAATTCTCTACCCGTGGGGTGGATACAGTGGTTGCCCCCATTGTTCAGATGGGAAAAGTGAGACTCAGCACAGTGAACAGCCCAAGAGCTGTTCAAGCTGGGTTTACCCCCAGGTCTCTGAGGGACGGGTGAAGGAACTAGGACACCTACACTGGAGAGGAGGATCATGGGACACATTGTTTTGAACATTGAAGCTGAATACTGAACTTCAAATATTTCCAAACTTCTTCAGTTTCTTTGTGTTTCACATGGTGATAGTTGTAATAATACCGTCTACCACAGTGATGGTGAAGGAATGTGTAAGTCACTTCTTAGGGGTGTCCAGTAGATGTTCATGATTATCACTTTCTCAGCTCCTAAAAACCTTCCCTTCTTGGTCAAGAGAAGGCTATCCTGAGGGAAGAGCCAGCCAGATGATCTCCCACTGTTTGCCCTTAAGTGTTTGACTCTGTGAAGCAAAAACTCGGGGACACTGCCGATTTTGGATGCCGGCTGAGTCCCCCTGGCCTCTGACTCTAGGTTGGGCTCCATGTCAGTCACCGTCCAGGAGCTGTTCTCCTCCAGTGTAGACCCCAGCATGGTGAAGCAAGTCTTTCTGCACAAGACCCTCAATGCTTCATCCCACTGGCTGGGCGCCACCTATCATTTGGTGGATATTCAAGTGACAGGTACAAGATGGCGGACTGGTTTCCCCTGGAGATGGGGCTTTGATAAAGGATGGGTCTTCTCAGCAGCAATGGAATGGATGTAGGCTCTGGGGGGAAAAGTATTCATAGCAGTGGGTCATCCGACAAGAGGCAGGAAGAGAATATGCAGCAATTGCCCTCAAAGGAATGCTTATTTTTACATGTAAATTTTTGCAGCCCCCAAATGTGGAGGATCCTGAGTTGCCTTCTTAGGCCCTCTATTTGTGGGTCATTCACTTATTCACTCAGCTAATATTTAATGCAAGTAAATAGGTACGGATGATACACTGAAAATTCCCACAAGGAGATTTCAAGAGCCTGGAGAAACCTCAAGGAGGGACACATATCCCTGCTTTAGAATATTTTCATAAGGAAATAATGAAGAAACTAAGATGTGATGGAGAACATGGCCTAGCCCACAGAAAGAGATAGATAATTGGGCTGCATGTGTCTTTAACCTAGAAGATATAAAGAGCGTGGTATATTTGGGAAAACTCTAAGAAGTATGTTGTGGCTGGTGCATGCACTTTGATATGGGAGAGGTAAGAACTGAGGTTGAAGAGGTGGTCAGGGACTTTCTTGGGCACTGGAATGGTGTGTGGAGGAACACAACGCACTCTGATTTCTGCTTTCAAAAGCTCATCCTCTGGGTGCTGCACAGAGAATGGATTGGGAGGGGGAAGAAGACCAGGGGCAGCAGGACATGTTAGGAACCTAGGTCAGCAAAGGTGTGTGACATGCCCGCTGGGGTGGTCAGCACCTGCACGTGCCAACTATGCCTCAGCCCCGTCTCCTCCCCCAGACATCCTGGTGAACTCTCACAATCCTTGATGGAAAGGGGGCTGGACAAGGAGACAAATGAACAGATTCAGGGTGGACAGGTAGATGGGGGGGTCTTCTATAGCCCACCTATAAAAACCCACTTCAGGTCACATTACCAGAAATAAGTAGACTGACTTGAATAGCCTCTTGTTAAAACCTTCCCCAGATGCGGTAATTTTATACTTTCTTTTTATTCTAGAAGTGGAGACATCTGTTCATCTGCCGACAGACAGACCAACAAGTGGTCCCAACCCTCAGCACTTCCAGCTGAATTTCACCGTCACCAACCTACCGTATGTTCGGGATATAGCCCAGCCAGGCACCACCAAACACCAGCGGAACAAGAGAAGTATGGAGAATGCGGTGAGAATGGAGCTGTGTCTACTCTGTTCCCAAGCAGTGACTGATCTATGGATGCTAGATAGTCAGATGGTAACTTTCATAACAATTCATGAATGCAGGTTCTTATTTCCTTTCTACAAATGAGGAAACAGTCACAGAGAAGTTTGCTGGCTGTCCCAGGGTCATACCTGGGAACAGGGCTTTTTATTTTATTTGTTTGTTTGTTTGTTTGTTTGTTTGTTTGTTGTACACATACATACACTAATCTTTGTTGAGCCAAGAGAAAAATAGATGGAAAAGTTTGCTCAGTGGCTGAACATTCTCTGAGGTCACCCATCCTGGGATTCTGATGAAAGAAACATTACCCTGTCTTTCAGCTCAACCATCTCTTCCAAAACAGCAGCATCAAGAGTTACTTTTCTGACTGTCAAGTTTTAGCATTCAGGTGAGTTCCAAACCAGGACCCAATGACGCTGTAAACTTCTCTTGTATATAAAGGACACATGGTCTTTTTTTAGTTAAGAGTATCCTTATGTTACAATCTCTCAGTTCCTAGATGTTATAGAAGAGACCCCTAGGAATATATAAACCTCAGCAGAGACAGAGGTGCTTGGTTTTGGGGTTCATGGGAAATGGATTGTAGAACACATGTCTTAAGAGATCGGCTCCTGGATCCACCATCTTTACAAGATGGGGGCTCTCATGAGATGACTTAAAATTCAGCAGTCTAATTGTGCGTCCGGTAACGTAGCCAGTGACCTTGTATGGCGGTTTAAATTTTTTATACACCTACTGAGATATTATTCACATATTGTGTGCATATGTTTATTTATCAGAATTTTCAGCATACATACATACATATCCTGTCATCTGCAAAAATAAATAGTTTTACATCTTCTTTTCAAATCTGGATGCCTTTTATTTCTTTTTCTTGCCTAGTTGTTCTCATTAGAACGTCTAGTACAATGTGATTAACATGTGTGTTGAGGGCAGACCTCATTGTCCTGTACCTGGTCTTGGGGGAAATTTTTCTGTCTTTTACCATTGACTATAACATTAGCTGTAGGTTTTTCTTTGATACTGTTTATCAGATTGAGAAGGTTTCTTTTTAAAATCTCCAAGTTGTTGAGTCTTCTTTTTAAATCATAAGAGACCTATTTTGTGAAATTCTTTTGTATGTGTGAATTAAGATAACATGGTATTTGTACTTTATTACTATGGTGGATTACATTAACCAATTTTTTAATATATTAAGCTAACTTTTCAGGTAGAGATGAGCTGTTGAGACATTTTCAAATCTTTCCTGGACATGCACACAGGCCTGCACTCTCCCGGCCTTCTGGATCCCCTCAAATACACTGGAGATTTTCAAAGCCAACTATGAACATCTCATTCCTCCAACTTTTAAGTTTTTGGTTCTACTCTTGCCTGCCTCAGCTAATATTGCTGCCTCATGCAGCTACAATGCAAAATAGTTTTAGGAAGTTCCCTGGCGATAGGCTTTCCTTGCTGAGCAAGCTCTGAGGCAAATAAAGAAAAGCCCTGAAAATGGGGATATTTTAGGAAGCTGTTAGACAGGTCAAATAGAAACAAATTGAGATGCATCTTTGGGGGAAGCTCCAAACCCACAATGGCGACTCGGCTGCTATTTTCCAGTTACCATGGTTCTGAGACCGATGGTTTTCAAAGTTCCTGAGGATGTTATGAGAACAGAATGAGAATAATGCAAATTATAATATCGCAGCACACGCTCCCTCTATCATGATTCAGCTGTTTTTGTTTTTTTTTTAACTAAACACTCCTCAAAATTATTACAAGCCTTTGGCTCATTTCTGGACTTTTGAAAAGTTGATTTCAACCATTTTTATTGGGTTTTTTTCCATCATTTTTATGGATTTTCAAAAGTTCTGACTCCAACATTTCAAATATGTTCTCCCTGCAGCTATTGATTTATAAATTACATTACATTACATTTGCTCACACACACTAGCCACATTTTAAGTGCACGGTAACAACTTGTATCTAATAATGATTATGTTGGACAGCGCAGACATGAATGTTTGCATAACTGCAGGAAGTTCTCTTGGGTAGGACTGGAACGGGGAGCCTAGAATCAGGGACAGAATCCCAGGTACCCCTGTTTATCTATCCCTCGTGCACTTCCAGGTCTGTCCCCCACAGCAACCACACTGGGGTGGATTCCCTCTGTCACGTCTCACCATCAGGACAGAGAATGGACAGAGTTGCCATCTATGAGGAATTCCTGCAGCTGACCCGGAATGGTACCCAGCTGCAGAACTTCACCCTGGACAGGAACAGTGTCCTAGTGGACGGTAAGTCTTCTGGTCATTGGGACGGAAGTCGGGTGTCTAACTTCCACACCTGGGGGCTTTCCTGGGAATCTGGTGGCCTGGGGATGAGTCAGCATCAAACTCTCTCAGGCTGGCAGAGTCCCCCAGCTTTGCCCACTATGGAGGGAGAAGAAAGGACACCCAGTGGGATATAGGAGGCATTTGCCTTCACCTAGACAGCCCTGTGCCCCAGGCTAGTCCTTTTCTGCCTCTGAGCTTCTGTTTGCTAATCTGTATACTGAAAGCCAGTTGGCCAGATGGTAAGTGGGGGCTTTCAGCAGCAAACTATGTGTGAACCAGCCTTGACAGGTGTGATGGAATAGACCTGCTTTCTGGTCCACAGGCAGTGGACCTGATTTGGTCCACAGGCTGTCTGCCTAGTACTACTGTAGCTCATCACCACTTAATAGAACTTCTTGCAGTGAAGGAAATGTTCTCTCTGTGTGCTGTCCAGTACATCAGCCACATAGAGCTACTGAGTCTCTGACATGTAGCTAATAGGCTGATTTTTAATGTTATTGATTTTTATGGTTATGAGATACCAGATTTTTAATTTATTTAATTAAAATTAATTGTAATTTAAGTAGCCCTCTGTGCGGTTCCATATTGGACAACACATCTTAAGAAGTTGGCTGGGGAAAAGCTGTAGAACTAGGGGAACTGCAACCCTCCCCTCATGCCCACTGGACACAATTTGTCCCTACCCTCATGGGGTTTGTGTTGTAGTTGAAAATAACAAGAATAGGCAATTGTCAATGATGTGACCAATCCATACCTGGGAGTGGTAATCAGAGAAGGCTTCCTGGAGGAAATTATATTGTAGGTGAATCCTGGAAAATGAGTATAAGACAACTGGGTAAAAGAGAAGGGGGTGAATGTGTTTCTAGGCAGAGAAGAGAGACTGTGAGTGGGAATTTAAATATTTAGAGAGATCCCATGTGCTTGCCCCCTGGGATGGGCCATTCTCCCCTGACGATCATAAGATAATCCAACCTCCTTTAAGTCCTCCTGCCCAGAGGTATGGATCTGATTTAATTTAATATACTCTTGCAGTGTGATAATGGCCTTGGGTTATGTAGCAAAGTGTCCTCATTTTTCAGAGATGCAAACTGAAATGGAATGAAACATCATGATATCTACTTTGTTATTTCAGTGAAAATAGGAGATGAAACAAGAGTGGCAAGTGTTAATAATTTATGCACTAGATGAAATATTATTTTAATTAGATGAAATATACATTGCTAAAACTAGGTGATGGATGTTTATGATATTGTTCTATTTTTCTCTGTGTTTGAAGGGTTTTAAAAAAGAGTAAAACACACTCACATGCACGCTCCATTATATTCTCTGCTAGGCTATGCTCCAAGCAGACACGATGCCCTCACTGAGCATTCGGGTAAGCCTCCCAGCAGCCCCGAGGTGGGAGGGATTTCCTTGATGCTGCACCTCATCCAAGAGAACCATGCACACAAGAACTTGCATGGTAACAACGGTTGGCCAACCCATCTCAAGGACTGTTGGGGCACCTGTGGTGGTGGCGGGGGCAGGAAGCAAGATCCCTATGGGAATGAGAGAAGGTCACTCAGATCAGCACTTGTCTCCCCAGACCTCCCCTTCTGGGCCATCATCCTCACCTGCTTGGCTGGACTCTCGGCACTCATCACATGCCTGATCTGCTGTTTCCTGGTAAGAGAGGAAGTAACGCTTGTCTTCTTGTTATTGGGTAGTAAGCATTTTTTATATACAGTCCTGCATCGCGTAACATTTGGGTCAATGATGGGCCACATACATGAAGTGCTCGCATAAGATCATGAAGGAGCTGAAAAATCCCTACCACCTAGTGGCAAAACACATTACTCAAGTGTTTGTGGTGATTCTGGTGCAAACAAACCTACTGCATTTCCACTTGTATGAAAGTATAAATTGTGTATCATACATAATACTTGATCATGATAATAAAGAATTATATTACTGGTTAGGCATTTGCTATACCACTCTTCTTATCATCATTTTAGAGTGTACTCTGTAGTACACTCTAAAAAAAGTTTGCTGTAAAACAGTATGCCGTCTTGTGTTGGTAACAGCCTCATACATCTCATGTTTACTATGTCTCTTGATAGCATTACTTTCCCTTGTGCTTGATTTAATCATGTGTTGTTTTATACAGTAAATCCCTTGACAACACATTTCTCAGAACACACCCTTGTTGTGTGGTGTGTGGCTGCATTATAAATACAAGTCCATTGATGGGCACATATTTGCAAATATTCCCAGTCTGTGTGTAACTTGCCTGTTTCTTTTCTTAACAGTAGTCATTAGGGAACTGTAACAAAGTCACAAGTCTATCTTAGTGGTAGAGTTACCACCACATATAAGAAGGACTAAAATATTATACAGACTGATCATAACAAATTTTGATGAGTATGTGAAGCAACTGTAACTCTCATACAGTGCTAGTGAAAAGTAGGTTGGTTGTCTTTTTAAAAAAAGTTATACATACCTACCAAACCATGTCACTCCTAGGAATTTACCCAAGGGAAATAAAAACATATATCTATACAGAGAGGATTATACACAAATGTCCACAAGAAGTCTGTTTGTTCTAGCTCAAAGTGGAAAACCGCCAAGATGTCCACCAACAGGTGAATGGACAAACAAGCTGTGACATAGCCCCACAATATGATATTCTTCAGCAATAAAAAGGAAAGAATTATTAATACATGCAATTACATGTATGTCTCTCAAAATAATTATGCCGCGTGAAAGAAGCTAGGTAAAGAAGAGACTGTATAATCCCATCTATAAACAAATTTTACAAAATGCTAGCTAATCTGTAGGGACAGGGATCCGTGCAGTGGTTGCCTGGGAACAAGAACGTGCCTGCAACGGCAGGTAAGGAGGGACGCAGAGGAGCATGAGACACTTTGGGGGATGATGGGCATTCCTTCTCTTGATCGTCGTAATGGTTCAGTAAGTTATAATCGGAACTTATCCAATCGTTCGCTTTAACCGTATGCTGTGTACTGTATGTCAGTTACACCACAATTAAGTTACAGCGTGGAGAGAGGGGAGGAAGAAATGAGGGAGGGAGGCAAGGAGGGAGGGAAGGAGGGAGGAATATAAGTGGTTAGTAGGGGGGAAATGGTAGAACAAATGAGAATGAGAAGGAGGAGGGAAAGAAAATGATAAAAGAGGAAAAAAGGAAAGGGAAAAAAAGACCGAGGGAGAAAATGAAATTTAAAAAGGAGAGGGACGCTTCTGGTCTCTGTGGCTTTGGCCAGTCTCCCAGACTTGGGCTGGTGAGCAGTCCATTCTAAGGTCCCCTCCTCATCTTCACAGGTCACCATGTGCCGGAGGAAGAAGGAGGGAGATTTTGAGATTCAGCAAGGACGCCTGGAGCCCGCCACACCCAGACTCGAGGACACTGCAAGGACGAGACCTGCCTGAGGCCCCAGGGTCCAGAGGAGTTTGGCTGGAGCAGAAATCCACGGCACGGGCCCATCATCATAGTCTCTGGGCCCTTCTTCACACGGCCCTTGACTGATTCACAGGAAGCGAAGATAAAATCCTTCCCCTTCATCAAGTCCTGAAGGCAACGACAAGTTTTCACATCACTCCTGTGAACACCGTGGGGGCACCAGAAATGGCGAAGCTGGAGCAGAAACTGCCGTCATCTAAAATCGCACCCGCTGCAGCGTGAGGTTCCCCTTCTCAGGAAACCGTGGAACACACCTCCCCTGACGTGTGTCAGCCACCACTCCTACCTCTGTTCCTCCATCTGCCGCCCCCCAGAGCCCTGGCGGTCTCAGGCTCCCCACCCTGCAGGACTTCCTTCTCTGAAGTTCACGTTCACCAGGACTTCCAGGTCAACCTGCCTCGGTGGCACCCCTTCCCTCATGGTTCTCCGAGACGGAAAATAGGCCAGGATGGAAGGAATGGATTGGGCATAACTCTGCCTTCAGCCCTGGGACTTGGGAGCTGAAATGACTAGATATCTAGGAAGACTGAATCCAGGCTCTAGAAAGGTAGTTTTTTTTCTAGAAAGCTTTGGATGTATAGATGAATAAAACTCGGGGTGGGGGGAATATGAGAGAATGAGTCTTTTTTAATATTTCTCTGCACAGAATCCAACCAGACAGCTATAGCAGAAGCTCCCTAATAAAGCAGCTCAAAGCATTGCAGGCATGAGGCGAGCAGTGCAGTCCTGCGTTGGGTTTGCAGAAACAAGAGTGTACGACCGCAACACATTTTGCAGATGGCTGCAGCTGAAGATACCAAAGGGCTAAAAATTAAAGTCCTTGTAACACCAACCATTCCGTGTGTGTGTGTGTGTGTGTGTGTGTGTGTGTGAACCTCTGCTCCTTAGTCTTAAGCAGTCATTCTCTGAGAATACACATTCTGAAGATTATAATACCGATGATAATAGCTATCATTATCAACAACTTCATATCTGCAGAGCAGCATGATTGACAAGCTCAGAACGCATTGTCTCAATTATACTCACCAGCCTTAGAGCTTGATCCCCATTGTATTCCCATAAAGATATGGAGGCTAAGAAACATTAAATAATAAGGAATGAAAAATAATTACTAATGAACTAAACACCTAGCCATGCAATTTGTCAAAGAAAGATATAAAGACATATTTCTGACATATAGACCGTCCCAAAGTTGACGACCCCTAGGGCTTTACTGAGAGAACCAGTAAAGCATGTCCATCAGGAAGAAAAAAATGTGAAACCAGAAAACCATAACAGGGGTTGTGAGGAAAAGGGAAAATAGTATGTGAAAATTAGTGTTAATTTAAAAAAGACATTAAAAACATAGTCTACTACAATTCAAAATGATGACATGGGAGAATAGAGAAGGAAAGATTCCATTAAAAGTGACTAATTTTTTGTCCTGCTGCCATCTGGCCCTCCCCACACCAGGCATGGAGCACCGAGGCCGCAGGGCCCCCTCCCCCGGGCCTGGCCCAGGAGTGGAGCCAGCCAATCAGGGCCCCTCCTCGGGTTTCCACAGGGACACTGGGGGAGAGAGGCCTTCTTTTTCTTCTCTGCTTTCTAAGACGGCACAACAAGCCAATAAAGCCAGACAGGGCATTATTTCCATTTTAGGACCTGGCCTCTTTGTGATCTTCTTTAGAGAGGACTACCCAGCTCTTGTTTATACACCTCTGATGGTGAGGGGCTTATTCCACCCCAGCTCACTGGGCCCTAACCCACCCTCACATGGAACTAATGGGAGACAGATTCCCCTCCACCCCCACCCCACCCCCATGCCCCTAGATCAAGCTGAGCCTGAAGCTCACCAGCTGTTTTTCTGAAACTGTTCTTCCCAGCTCTGTGTTCTAATTAATTCCTGTTTTTTCACTCCAGATAACCTGAGATGGACCCTTTTACTTGCAACCAAAATATTCTCCATTAAATCTAAATCAAAAGAAATCCCATCTCCTTTCCAAGTCTTTGTGTACTCGTCTACGGAGGGGGCATGTGACTTGGCTGAGATCCAGTGTCCTGAGCCAGGGCCCGCTGTCCAGAACCCCACCCCTATTGGGTGTCTGTGCTCTCAGGCCTGGGGGGAGGGCCCCTGTGAGCTCAGGAAGCCCGGCCTCAGCAGGCGGGGGAGTGAGCTCTGTTTGGAAACCAGATGGCAGCATCCGGGCAGTCAGGGCCCCGGGAGCAAGGCTGAGGGCACCGCCAGTTGACAGTGAGCCTGGCAGCAGGCCTGAGTGTGCAGGAGCAACTCTTCCCCCGGGGGTCTGCTCCCAGAGCTGCCGTCTGACCGCCAGGCTCCTGCTGGGGCGGGGCGGTGGGGTGGGTCTGGCCCTCTGGTTCCACCGTCCTCAGGTTTACTGCTCTTGGCTCTGGCTCTCAGGTGACCCGTAGCGAGGTTGGGAGCTGAGTGCCCTCTGACCTGTGGGCAGGGGATAAGACAGGTGTTGAGAGAGAAGAGGGGGTTCAGCTCATTTCCTGCAGGAGTGTGGGATGTGGGCCCGCCCTTTCACTCCTTATTCCGCACAGGTAGGCTGTCTCTGTAGTCCCTGAGGAAGACCCCAGACCGGCTGTGGCTGACCCTGCTGGCTCCCTACACAATGGCCAGCGTGGCAAAGTCGGCCTTCCTCAGTGGACACTCATGATCCCAGCCCCCTTTGCAGTTAGGTGACCCTATTGATGCAATAGGACCAAAGGCAAAATCTTCTCAGGAGCCTCTGGAACAGAATTTTATCCCCTATGTAAAAAATACCCAGAAAAGGAAATGTCCTTTCTTCCCGCCTTCGGACATTATCGTGTGAGGAAGTGATGTGTGGGGCTGCAGCAGCCGTCTCATGACAACGAGGGAATGGCTGAGAATGATGGAGAAGCTGAGAAAGAGCCCTAACTCTTTTCAGTGCTGAGTTCATCACTCCTGGAGCCACACATCTATGTATTTATTTGGGTGAGATTTTTTTCTTTTTATTTTTTTCATTTAGAGTTTGCAGTCAATGTTATTTTGTATTAGTTTCAGGCGCACAGCAGAGTGGTTAGACAATCACATACTTTATAAGTAGTCCCCCTGATATTTCCAGCACCCATCTAGCACCATTTGTAGTTATTACAGTATCATCGACTATTCTCTCCATGGCTGTTCTGTAACTTCCAATCTGCACTTCTCAATCCCTTCATCTTTTTCACCCAGTCCCCTGACACCCCTCTGATCTGGCAACCATCAGTCTGTTCCCTGTATCTATGAGTCTGATTCTGTTCTGTTTGTTCATTTATGTTGTTTTTAGATTCCACATGGAAGTGAAATCATGTTATTTGTCTCTCTCTGACTGACTTATTTTACTTCGTATAATACCTTCTAGGTCCATCTATGCTGTAGCAAATGGTAAGACTTCATTCTTTTTTATGGTTGAGTAATATTCCATTGTATATACATACCACAGTTTTTTTATCCACTCTTCTATTGATGGGCACCTGGACTGCTTCTATAGCTTGCTAATGTAAATAAAGCTGCAATAAACACAGAGGTTCATATATTCTTTTGAATTAGCATTTTGGGTTTCTTCAGATATATATCCAGAAGTGGAACTGCTGGATCATAAGCCAGTTCCATTCTTATCTTTTTGAGGAGCCTCCACAGTTTTCCCCAGTGGCTGCACCAGTCTGCATTCCCACCAACAGTGCACGAAGGTTCCCTTTTCTCCACATCCTCACTAACACTTATTGTTTGTTGATTTATTGATGACAGCCATTCTGACAGGTGTGAGATGCTATCTCATTGTGTTTAATTTGCATTTCTCTGATGTTTAATGTCATTGATCATCTTTTCATATGTCTATTGACCTTCTGTATGCCCTCATTGGTGAAGTGTCTATTCAGGTCCTTTTCCCATTTTTTAGTTGGATTGTTTGGGTTTTTGGTGTTAAGTTGTATGATTTCTTCATAAACTTTGGATACTAACCCCGTATCAGATGTCACTGGTGAATATGTTCTCCCATTCAGTGGGTGTCTTTTCAATTTTCTGATGGCTTCCTTTGTTGTACAACAAATTTTTAGTTTGATAGAGTCCCATTTGTTTATTTTTTTTTCTTTTGTTTCCCTTTACTGAAGAGATGTATTAGAAAAAAATATATTACTAAGAGGAATGTCCAATAAAACATAGAGGAGTTACTCTATGGAAGTTTTATGGTTTTCATGCTTATATTTAAGTTTTTAATCCACTTTGAGTTTATTTTTGTATATGGTCTAAGAAGATGGTCTAGTTTCATTTTTTTGTATTATGTATCTAATTTTCCTATCACCATTTATTGAATAAACTGTCCTCACCCCATTTTATGCTCTTGCTTCCTTTGTCAAATATTAATTGACCATATATGTATTGGTTTATATCTGGACTCTCTATGCTGTTCCATTGATCTTTGTGTCTGTTTTTATGCCAGTACCATGCCATTTTGATTACTACGGTGCTACAGTATAGTTTGCTATCAGATAGCATGATTCTTCCAACTTCATTCTTTCCTCTCAAGATTGCTGAGGCTAATTGAAGTCTTTTTTGCTTCCATGTAAATTTTTGAATTATTTGTTCTAGTTCTGTGAAATACACCATTGGTATTATGATAGGTAGGGAGGGGGTGCAGAACCCCCAAGGGCTGCCTTCCCCCAGCCTTGGGGGACCCCCACCCCCTGGGGAAGGTAGGGGGTCCCCAGTGGGCATGGTGATGGTGGCCCAGGAGCCGGGGTTAACCATCTTGGCAGGAAGTTGTGGTGGCCGGGGCTCCATGTGCAACCAGCTATCCAGCGGGTAGGGAAACCCCACCCTGGCTCTCAGAGAGAACAGTCCCCTGCATGGAGGTTCAACTCCCTGATTTTTGGCCCCAAGCAAGACACAGGGCCACCCCATATGTAGGTAGTGGGTGCTGTGGGTTGGCCCACAGCAAGCCTCGGAGGGATGCTGCTACACTGTCGACACTTCCCTGCAGGCGTGGTGACAGTCACCTAGGAGCCAGGGATGACCAGCTGGCAGGGGCTTAATTGCAGAGCCCAGGGTTCCAGGTGTAACCCGTTACCCAGTCGTCAGGGCATCCCCTTTGGGGCTTTCGAGGACCATGGTTCACAGCAAGGACATAGTGACTCCTGAGGGCCGAACCCTGGCAAGCCTCGGAGGACTCCCCCGGTAAGCCAGTCCACCACCATCTTGCTCTCCACGCTGAGGTCCAACCCCTAGTGGTGTGCTAGGACGCTCTGCAACTACTGGGTGTGCCCCGCAAGCTGCAAGTTGGTAGTATGAGTCTCCGGCTCCACTGTCCACGCCAGCCTCGGGTGCCCAGGCCAGTGCGCCCCCTCGTTGCCTCCTCTCCTCGGTCTGCCACTTCCAGAGGCAGCCTCAGAGTTTCTTTAAAGACGGGACATGGTGTAGTAACGCTGTATCAGTTACAAGCCTGGGTCTTAAGAGGCCTTGCAGCTTCTACCTTTGCCCTCTTGGAACCCTGCCCTGAGAATGCCATATGAGGAAGCCAGTTCAGCCTGGAGGAGGACCAGGGGCCACGTGGAGGGTAAATGAGGTGCCCCGGCCAATGGAACCAACTACAAGACATTTGAGTGATGCCATTTCAGGCTTTCCAGCCCTGTTGACCCTCCAGAGGAGTACAGCCCAGTGAGTAAGCCCAGGCAACACCAGTAAACCATTCAGATGATCCATAGACTTTTGAAGAATAACAAGTGGCTATTTCATGCCCCTAACTTTGGTACGGCTTGTTATGCAGCAGTAGACAACTGAAACAGGTGCCCCCTTTTGCTTTGACCTTGTCAGCCCTGAAGCCATCTTTCTAAGGTGAGGTTATGGACCCACCTCTTACACCTTAGAACCGTTGCCCTCATCCCACCCATGATGCCCTAGGTTTTGACCTGGATACCACCTTTCCCGGGGCAGTGGTTCCAAATCTTAGCTGTGCAATAGGTTCCTGGAGGTAACTTCAAAGCATATGAGTGTTGTTCCAGCTACTTATTATCATGCAACAAGTCATCCCCAAACTTAGTAGTTTAAAATGACAATAATTTACTTGGGGCACAGTTCTGCAGTTTGGGGAGGGCTTGGTCGAGGCAACTGGTTTCTGCTGTACCCAGGGTCAGCTGGGGCAGCTCGAAGACTGGGAGCTGGAATCACCTGAGGTCTGGCACTGTCGTCATGTCTGGTCACTGAGCTGGTCCCTGGGAACAGCTGGGCTTGTTGGCCAGAACATCTCCATGTGCCTTTTCCATGTGGCTGTCTGTGCTTCCTCAATAACATGGTGGCTGGATTTTTTAGGATGACTGTCCCAAGAGAAGAAGGTAAAATTTGATCAAGTCTTCAAATAATGTCTTTTTGCTGAACATCATTTCATTATAATGTCGATGAGATGCCATAAGGGCTTAACTGTTCTTTATATCAATTAACCTATGACAAAATTGTTTTTGGTATATGTCCTTTCACTTAAAGTCACAGAACCTATTGATGATATAAAGTGAGGACTTACTATACATGGTAGTTGTATGACCTGGCTTTTGAGGTCACATAGTGTTATTTTCACTAAACTCTATTGGTTGAGGTGGTTACAAAGTCTATCTGGGTTCAAGGAGAGAAGATTATACCCACCACCACATAGAAGGAGTGTTGACATCACACTGTAAGTAGAACATGTGGAAGGAAATGCATTCAGGGGGTTGTCTTTGGAAAATACAACCTGTTACCAGTTCCTAAGCTCCACCTCTGGATAATCAATTCCTCAGGTCTGTAGTGAAGCCTCAGAATTAAAGTTTTGAAATGTTCCTGGATGATTCTTGTGCAAATCTAGGACCTGGCATGTGGCCTCTCGATCCTGAGCTCAGGGCTATCCCAACAGGCAATGCTGGAGAGACTGGCTGCTGCTTGGAGGAAACCAGCCCCAGGCCAGCAGGTGGGACCTGAATAGCAGGAGGTCAGTTGTCTGTTCAAGGTGTCACTGATTTACCCTTGTTAATGGCACCTTTCAGGAGTTGTGTATCCTGTAGCCTTTTTTTTTCCTAAAACCCTCTGTGCATCTCTTTACACTTCCTAGTTTATAGATGTTCATCTCCAGGCTGCTGGTGGTACCTTATGGTGTGGCATTCAGTGGTGAGAGTTTAAGGTCCAGTTTTGTTTTGTTTTTTAGACTGATTGAACTTACAGGATATTAGAGGGCCCTGGTCAGGGGGCAGTATTCTGGAAGGAGCTGCTTTTGGCCCCTGGGAGTGATCTAGGGAGACGGACACTGGAAGGCAGGGGACCTGGGTGCCACAGCTAGAGCTCTGCCACAGTTTTGCTCTTTGACGACGGGTAGGTCATATCTCAGCTCAAAGCCTCAGTTTTCCCAGCAGTTAAGCGCGTGTGGAGTGTCAGCTCCCAATCTCTTGAACCAACTACCACTGAGTGGTACTACTGTCACTGACCAGAAAACCTAATGTGACTCCCTATTGTTCACAGCCTTAGTGCCCTGCCCGCCCTCCATGGCTGTGGACCAGGAGCCCTGCCCACCGTTCCAGCCTCATCATCCCTTGCCTGAATTTGCCTTATTCCTTCTCACCTCTGGGCCTTTGCATGCGCAGTGCCTCTACCTGGAAGGTCTTCTCTTGCTTTAACTGCCTGGCAAACCCCAAAGTTTGGCTTTTGTCTCCTCTTTCATGAACCCCTGATCCTTCCCCTTAGTCACCTCTGCCATGTGTCCCTCTGCCCATCCCCTGGGGTGCTCTGTAGCCTTCTACAGAGGGAGCAGCAGCCAGGACTCCGGGAGGGGGTGGATTTTGCAGTTGAGACCAGGATTTAGAGTCAGTCTGGATTTCAATCCAGTGCTGCCACACACTCCCTGTGTGACCTCAGGCAAGTCACTGCACCTCTCTCAGCCTGTTTCCTCATCTCTGGTTGGGCTCACGATCACTAACAGAATTTTCGTGAAATTTTAAAGACATCAGGGACAGGGGCAAAGTCTATGTGAGAGAGGTTTGATTGGGCCGGAGGTGGGGGTGGGGCGGGGGGAGCTCAGTTTGCAGAGCCCCTTGCTTGCTTTGCCTTTATCCCACATTGTATGTAATGGTCAGGAGTATCACAGGTGCTCACGTTCAGAGCAGAAATTTTTTTAAAAGACTGAATGAGTGAGCCGGGTGAATGAGACGACCAACTGGTTTCCGAATTTGGTTATGCCAAACCTTGTCTGTGCACGGGACCGGAGGCCACTGGCTGAAGCAGGAAGTCCCGCCGGCAGGGGAGACCGCCCCGCCCCCGGCGTTGTCCCTCCGTCTCCTAGCAACTGTCAAACACAGTTGACCGGCTAGTCCCGCTGGCCTCCTCGCCCAGGCAGCTGGCTGTGCGGTGGCTGTGCGAGCCCACTGACGCCTCGGCCGGAGTCCGGGCCGTTGACCAGGTCATCCACGTGCAGGTACCGTGGGAGCCTTGAGGGGGCCGTGTTTCCCACCTGCCTCCATCCCCGCCCCCTCGCTGCATCCTTTTCTTAGCTTTAGTCCAGGTTCTGCTTCCTTGTGTCTTGAACCGCCCCCCCCCCCCCCCCCCGCCCTCAATGCCCTTCTGTGCCTTGCCTCGGGGTTCTCGCCCTCCTTTGCCTGGCCAGGCATTTGCACATGCTACCTCCTGGCCTGGCTAGCGGCTCACCCCGGGCCTCTCTGAGCAGAAGCAGGGGAGATTCTGCTCCCTCCCCGCGTGGTTCCTGAGGAACTGCACTCCCTCAGTTTAGGCATTCCAGAAGTGCCAAATTATTGCAGCTGGGGCCAGGAGAGGGCAAAAATTCAAGTTGGAGAAACTGGGGCTGCTCATTATCAGAATTACTACCAGGACCATTCTCTGTGGTTCATCCATTCATTGACTAACTTTATTGAGTGCCTACTGCATGCCAGGCAGTGTCTGAGGCCTTGGCCATTCAACGGAGAGCAGGATGAAGGGAGGGAGGAGGGAGAATGGTGTTCGTTCCTGAAATAGGCCGGGCTGAACTCCTGGGAGCAGAGGGTGCTGACAAAAGCACCTTGTCTCTTCCAGCAAGGAGTGCCGGGCGAGGCGAGGCACTCTGCAAGATGTCACTGAACGCCTGGGACTGGGAGGATGAGGACACGATGAGCATGGGGCTCGTGTCCTCCATGGGCAGCTTTTGCCCGTCCGTGAGCGAGTGTGATGTGGAGGACTACCTGAAGGTCCGGGCCCAGGCCCAGGAGTCAGATTCTGACCAGCATTACAGCAGCATCGAGTCCTCAGACGGGGCCACCAGCACATTCATCTCCGACATGCCTCAGGTGGTCCCCTGCAAATTCATCATCTCACTGGCCTTCCCAGCGAATGTCGGTAAGTGCCAGGGCAGAATCCCTACACTCTCTGCAAAATGCAGGTGGACTTTTTCCTGGAGTTAAGGCCACATGCTCCCTCCACCTATTTTCCCAAGTAGGGTGCTGGATTCCAGGAACAAAGTTTAGGCAAGAAACTGCAATTTTAGGGGGCCTACTGTGGGCCAGGCAAATAAGTGGTTGTGTGATCTTCACACACTAACCCTAAGAAGCAGGTCATGCTATTTCTGCTTTTTGCAGATGAGGAAATGGCAGAGAGGTTAAGGCCTTGGTTCCCATCTGCTAATTGTGCATCCCCTCTTTTCCTGATTTAAAGTACAGATTCTCAGGTGTATTGAATCTCTGGGTATAAAAGTATATCGATGGCTCATTAGTGCAACAATGCCGTGTAATAAACCCAAAACAGCTCCCCAGTTCATTGGCATCAAGCAGGAATCCCTCCTTCTCCTGGATGAGCCGGTTAGAGAATCCAGCCTGGGCTCCTTGCACTGGCTCTTCTCTGCTTCCTGTGTCTGTCACCCTCCTTCTGGGCATGTGGGCAATGCAGACACTCATATTATGGAAAAGCAGAGACGCAGCAGAGGACAAGCCCAGTCACCGAAGCACCCCTCTTTTGGCACCTCCCACCTGCTAACATTTTATTGGCCAAAGCAAGTCATATGGTTGAACCCCAAGATCAGGAGCAGAAGAGTATTCCCCTTTTATATACTTTTTTTGTTTCTTTAAACTACCCCTTCCCCATGATAATTAATTTTAGCTTCTCTTTGTATCTATCTGTCAACAGTTGCTTCACATGTTTTGGATGTTATTTGTGTAGGTGTATACCATCTTTAGAACTGACCAATCTTCTTGGTGAATTATCTTTTGTCCTAAATGGTAACCTCCTTTATCCATGTTTTCTCTTGGGTCTATGCATATCAAGCAAAAGACTTCTGGCAAACACCAACTAAAGAAAATTGGTGCTTACTCTATCGCGTTAACTCTCACATCTCTTGCAGCATCTCATAGACTGGTTTTTCTTACTTTGGTGCGTCTTCCAAAGGTATTTACAAAATATATCTCTGTGCAGCAGAGGTTTATGAGGCCTTGCATTTATGAGAGTCATTTTTGTTAATTTATTTTCCAGTTACTCTTGGCACACAATATTACTTAAAGAGTAGAACATAGTGATCAGTTACGTACTTTACACAGCGATTATCCCAATAGGTCTAGCAGCAATCTGACCGCATCCATACATAGTTATTACAACATTATTGACTATTATTTCCTATACTTTACATTTTCATGACCATTTTTATAACTGGCAACCTGTGCTTCTTAATTCTTTTTACCTTTTTTATCCATCCCTTCAACCCTCTCTCATCTGGTGACTATCAATTTGTTCTCTGTATCTAGGAGTGTATTTCTGTTTTATTTATTCATTTATTTTGTTTTTAGTCTTCTTATCATGCCAATATCTTTGGAGGACATGTCTTTGGCTGGATATAAAATTCTAGGTTCAATGTTTTTTCCTTCAATATCTGAGTATGTATGGATTTGTTCATAAATGTTTGTACAAATTGTTTATTTAAGAGAAATGAGATTCTACCCATTCTATTCTAAAATTTGCTTTTAAAAAATTTGACGTCTTAGATGTCTTAAGGGAAGTGAGCATATTTGTTTTACTTTGCTGATGTTTTATTTGAAACATCTGTAGAGTATGTTTCTACTTTATCCTGCCTCTTATCGGTGGACATTTAAGTTGTTTCCGAGTTTTTTCTGTCGCCACCCTGGACTAGCCCTCCTAGTGTGCACATCTCTTCGCAGGTGTGTGGGCGTGTCTGCAGCCTGAATCTCAAGAAGTGGAACTGCTGGGTTTGAGGTATAGCAGGTCCTTGAATAATGTTGTTTTGTTCAATGTCATTTCATTATAACATTGATGAGATGCCATAAAAACATTAGTATATCAAGTAGCCTATGATAAAATTTGTTCCATTATAGTCATGCCTCAGTACTCACTGTCTCAAACCCTGCACTCGTCAGATTTTGACGAGAAATGTGTACTTCAGCACCCGGCGCTTGCTCAGTGCTCGTCGCACTTGCTAGAATTCGCATGAGTCACAACACCACCCCACAAGAGAAAATGCTTTGTCATTCGGAACTCAGAACTTTCGGCACCCGGCACGAGTCCTGGAACGGACTAATGATGAGTGCTGAGGTACCAGTGTATGTGGTTGCACCCAAAGTCCAAAGCCTAGCAATGATATTGAGGACGTTCTGTGTGCATTTACATTTTTTATAGATATTGTCAAATTGCCCACCAAAGGGGTTGTAGCAATTTTTCCTCCTATTGACCGGAGGGTCTATATGTCCACCTGCTGACCCACTTGGATTGAATCAGAACAGCCCTGCGAGGCGCAGCGAGCAATCTGATTAGTTGCACCTTCACAGGAAAGTCTAATGCTTACCCACGGCTGGCTAGAGAAGCTTTATTCCCAGCTCTGTACACAAGCTAACTCTTCTGGTGGTGCAAAATTAATACGAAAGCAGTCTCCTGGATGTTAAAAGCTTGACATTTTAAAACCACATCTTTAAATATAGAATGAAATTTGTATTAAGTATTTATGGAGCTCCTAAAGCATCTTCTTATGGTCTGCAAAGCCCCAGCCTGTGGGGGGTTCAATTTAAAGCCCTGGTCTTTGGCTGAAGCCCAGCCTTACTCTGTGCAGTTTTTCCCCATTCACCCCACATTGTGCAGCTTTACTCCTGAGGCTTTGCTGGGCTCTGCCCTCTCTCTGGAATGCCTCCCAGCTCTCCTCCTACAAGACTCTGCTGAGGTTCCCTAAGGGCTTCCCCCGACCCCAGGCAGAGTTTACCCCTGACTCCTCTGTTGTTCTTCAGAGTCTTATTCATATTGCTGGTACTACACAAATCACAATTGCGCTGTGTTGTTTTTGTTTTTTTTTTTAACCTGCTCCTTACTGCCAAGACTAGGGTGAGGCAGATGAAGTGCCCAAGGTGATACATATAAAGAGACCATCATTCCCAGAGTCATGCACTGAAATTTTGCGCCCAGGTGCCTAGTCCTAGCCCAGCGGAGCCTCCTACTCTGCTGGCTGGAGGGCTGCACCTGCCTCTTGTCCCCCAAGCCAGGCAAGCGGTGCAGCATCGTGCAGCCTCCCGCAGCATCTGGCTTTGGTTCCAGGCAACTGTGGGACGGCTCTGCTTTCCCACGTGAAGTTGAAGCAAGACTTTTTAAATCTATCTCTTCTAGGTCATAAAGGAAAGTTTATAAATTTGGTCGAAAAATATAGGAAACACCTTAAAATGGACAAACCTGTTGGAAAGGGCCACCATTTTTACCACCTTGAGTATTTCCTTCTGCCTGATGATAAAGAGCCTAAGAAAGTCGACCTGGTGGTGCTTCCAACAATCGTCAAAGTGTTCCTGGATTCGGGACTAAAGGTGTGTAGCCTTGCATGTAGTGTACAGCCTAATATTCACCACGCAAAGTGTCCTCGCTTCCCCTGGAACTTGCTAGAAATGCAGGACCTTGGGCCCCACCCCCGACCTGCCGAACGACAATCTGCACTGACTTAATAATACAATTCAATGATTTTTTATTTAGATATTTTTACCTAATAATTTCTTTGGTGTTTCAAATGTTTCTGTAGCTCTCGTGATTTCCTTCTGTGTTTGTGAGCCCGCGAGCCCGCGAGTGTGCACAGCTGCCGGCGGCGCGCGCACGCACTCCTGCCGTGGCCCCGTTCGCCCAGGGCCTGGGATTCTGGAAAGGACACTATTTCCAGATCATTGCTCTAACTTGATTTTTTCCCCAAGGGAAACCAGAGGGGTGACAGCACCCAGTCCATGACTCCCATTTCCAGATGTGAGTTGGAAACTGGGAGAGAGACACAGAGGCCAGGCGGGGAGAGCGGCACCCGGCTTCCCAGCCCACGGGGCGAGGCTGGCAGTGGCGGGCGCTCCTGGACCCCCCCAGCCTGCTAGCAGCCCGCCCTGAAAGTCTCTCGGTATTTTTTTTTTTTTTTTTTTTTTTTACACAGACGGTGAAGCCATGGCATGAAGGGGACAAAGTCTGGGTGTCATGGAGCCAAGTTTTTAACATCAACATGACGAAAGAATTACTCAAGAAATTAAATTTTTACAAAATAACCTTGAGGCTCTGGGACACTGCAGACAAGGTTTCGAAAAAAGTCAGGCATCATCGATTAAAAGCTGACGGGCATTCAGAAGATGCAGAATCGTTGGGTAAGTCAGGTATTGGGGTTTTATCTGACATGTTTCTAGGGGCTGTGGCTTGTCACCAGTAACAGGAGAAAGCCGGCGTCCCCTTGATCTCATTTTCCTGGGCCCGCCCGGGCTTCAGTGTCAGTGCCACGTCCCCCGTCCCGAGGCGCGTGGGCCTGAAGGAGAGCCGTGCCTGTCCGTGCCTGCACGTTAGGCTCCGCCTTTTGGGACTCTCTGTCCGTCAGCAGTGCTAACATGGGCACCCCTGCCAAGCCTGACTCCCTGGATAAGTAATGTGTGTTCACTGGAGGGAAAAAAAAAAGGATACTGAAAAACAAAAGGTAAAACTTAAAAAATCCCACTACTCTGAGATACCATGTTAGCATTTTCACATAGACCCTCTAGACTCTTACCTGTGTCAATATTATATCAACCCCAGAAGGTCTCCTTTTAAAGTCTCCTTTTAAATTCCCCTGAAGGAGGGCACTGGGAGGAGTAGAAAGACCCAGGCTTGGAAGTCATACAGCTGAATTCAGTCCTGTCTCCCTGCTGAAGCTGGTGGCCTCGGGCAGGTGCCTGCTTCCTCTGGTCAGATTTATGGAGGCAGCAGTGGAGTGTCCCTCCCCCACCCCCCAGGCACGAGCCATTTGTCTATAAAGAATTTTAAAAAAATAATAAAACACTGTCCATTAAATTATGCCATGGCATTCACTATAAAGATGCATCCCCATTATAAGAGCTGTTAAAAGGTGAAAGCAACATGCATCTGCGAACACGTTGTGATATTATTGCTGTTGTTAGTGGCTTTCAGGTAAGTACGATCATTCTCATTTTATAGTAAGCATGGTGACACTGTCATTTGCTTGAAGTGAATATCAGTGCCACAATCAGAACCCAGTTTTTTGTACCTTGAAAACCTGTCCTCTCTCTGGGTCCCCAGCCTGACTTCTCAAGGATACTTTCTGACATCGGGTGCTTAGGACTTCTAGCTTTTAATCTTTCTAATTTATATCCAGGGTTTTGTTGTTGTTGTTTTTTTTGTCCTCGGCTCTGTCGCCATTCCAGGTCTGATCATTCCTGGTCATGGGACTGTCCTGTGCACTGTACAGTCCTTGGCAGCATCCCTCCAGCTGCCAGAAGTAGCCTCCCAGGAGTGACCATCAAAAATTTCTTTAGACATTGTCCCCTGAGGAGGTGGGAAACAAAACCACCCATTGCTGAGAATCACTGGTTCATATCTAAATGGCTAATCGTAGGGTTCCTGTGTGAGGAAATGGGATCCAGGTAACGTTTCTCACCTGTACCAAAGGAAAGACCCAAGCCCTCAGAGTGTGGGCTCCAAGCCACTTGCATTAGATGCACTGGGAGGGCTGCCTAAACAATGCAGATTCCAGGGCCTGTCCCAGAGCTGCTGAGCGAGAATTCCTGGTTAACGTCCGCCCTGCAGTGGGCTGGCATTGGAGCGGGGGGCTGGGGCGTGTGTATCAGGAAGGCTTCCTGAAGGAGGGGCCATGGGTGCCAAGGCTGGCTGGGTCAGTGGGATTGGCTGGCCAGAAAATGAAGGAGGAAGGGCGTTGAAGGCCCTACAGGGGGGGGCCCACGGCCTTTTTGCTTAGTGTCCTTGACATAAGGGCACCAGCCCTTCCTCAAACACTGGCCCAAGCTTAGCATCACCTGCATCTTACGTTAAATGATTTTTTCTATTAGAAAAATCAGTGTATGTTCGCTTCGTAAAAAATTTAGAAGTAGACTAGCTAAAAGAAGAAAAAATTGGAATCACATGATGCCTGATCAGAGATAGCCGTTGCTAACATTTCCCTGTCATTTTATATGTGGGTACAAAATTTTAACAAAAATGCATTTATTATACATGTTGTCTTAAGTCCTTTTTTCACTTAAAAATGTTTTTCTTAAAACTCTTGCTTTGGGGGAGTGCGGAAGCACCCTAAGAGGTTTGTTATAAAGGAGAGGTGAAATTGTGGGGTGCGCGGTAGGTCGTGTGCCGGAACCCGCCCGCCGCCAGCCTGCTGCTGTTGCAGGGGGCATCCCCGTCAAGGGTTCGCGCTTCTCCCCTGTGAAATCTGCTCGGCCTCTTGGTGTCTCAGTATTGGAGAAAAACACCATCATCCTGGAAGCCCCCCCGCCAAGTCATAGTTGACTCCTGCTCTGTTCTCAACTCTTGGCCACACCCCCCCAGGTGGCTCTTCTCCGTGCACCCAGCTTTTTTTCTGTCTCTGCTCTTCTGTCATTGTTCCATGGTCTTTCTCTACCACCTTTTATCCTGGCTGCCTGGTGCCTTCGTGGGGACCAAGCCTGACTTCTGGGTCCAGCCTTAAAGGCCTCTTGTACTTTGTTTGCCAAGGCTCCTTTCTCGTTGTCACTCCTGCCTCACACCTGGCCCGTCCTCTGATCTCTGAAGACATTGGGCTTTTCCTCATTGTAGGCATTTGGCCATACTTAGGGGGCTCTTAGCCTCATCTCTTTCTCCAAACTTTTATTCTCTCCTTCAGCACAACCTATTTCACCTCTTCTCCCCCACACCAACACATTTCTCGTGGCTTCCATCGTCTCCATTCGCCCACTCACTCCCTTGCTCATTCATCACACCACACATGCTGGGTGCAGCCATGGGCACGCAGAGCCCCACGTTGACAGGAGTGAAAGACACGCATGACAGGATCATCCCCACAGCTGGGGACACAAAGCTCTGGGTGTAGTCCTGGCTTTGCTAAGGCTGTCTGTCCACAGGAAAGCTACTCACATGTCAGATTCCTCACCTGTAAAATGGGGAAGCAGTAATGCTTTCCTTACAGTGAAGTACATGATTAAATGCAGTAACACACATCAACTACGTAATGGTCTTATCTGGAAGAAGCCCTCGCCAGTGGAGGTTTGAGTTTCCTGGTGTCCTGAAGCAGCCCCTTCGGCGACAACTCCAGGAGGCCAGGAGCCCTGCCCCTCTTACCGGTTGCTCCAGGCCAACACCAGGAGAGCGACTGCCACACAGCGGGCATTCCATAAAGAGTTCTGGTTGAGTGAAGCCACGATTCTTTTCTTTTTTATCCTGCATTCTAGAGGAAGTGAAACATCTGGTTTTAAATCAGAGAAGGTTGTCTGAACAAAGCGTTCACACCCAAGAGGACTGGAACCAGCAGGATAGCTCAGGAAAACCAGAAAAAGCAGAGAAACCCTTGAAGTCCCTGCATGGTGAGTAGAGATGACCGTGGCGGGCAAGCTGAGCAGAACCCGCGGCAGGGCAGTGACTGCCGGGCGGTGCGGCGTAGTGCGCGCCCCGGTGCTCTCGGCATCCATCCGCGGCTCCTGTCGGCGCTGAATCGCCGTCCCAGGCCTAAGCAAGCGTGGCCCTCTGTACCGCTCCCTTCTCGTTGTTGATGCTTTTTCTTTCTTTAGTTTCTATTTTTGTGGCTTCCAAAAAAAAAAAAAGACTCTTTAACTATAGAGGTTATATGTGTGTTTTTTCGGAAATTCAGTGAATGTAAAAAAAGTATAGAACAAGCAGGGAAAATAATCGATAATTCCATTATCAGGGACAAGCATTGTACTATTTTGGTTTATCGTATTATGGCAAATTTCTTTCTTTTTTCCTAAGATTTTTCTACATAGAATCCTGAACACATAATTTTGTATTCTGAGATTAATATGTTATTGCATATACTTTCCAATTTCCTTCAGGACTTTCCATAAACTTTATTTGTGGTGGCTAAATACTACTTCATCTGCTGGTAACACTATAATTTGCATAATCATTCCCTGTAGGTGGGAACTTAGGAACCTGGAAGTGCTTTTAGTATTCTCTAATGTAAACAGTGCTGAAGTGGATAGTTAAATAGATAATCAGTGTTTCTTCTTTTTTTTCTTTGTGGGATATTATATAAAGGATGAGAGGCCCCCTCTTGCCTCCATTTGTCCAAATAATTATAATTAGTCTCTATATTCAATCGTTTACTCACTTAATTTTTTAAAAGATTTTATTTATTTATTTTTAGAGAGAGAGAGGAAGGGAGGGAGAAGAGAGAGAGACACACATCGATTGGTTCCCCTGACCGGGACTGAACCTGCAACCCAGGCGTGTGCCCTGACCGGATGTGGGGTGATGCCCGACCAACGGAGCCACACTGGGCAGGGCTACGCACTCACTGCTAACAAACCTTCTTACTGAGTGCTCACCACATGCCAAACTTCTGCCTGGGGCTGGCATTACAATATGTGAAAAGGGCCCTCATTTCTTAGTGAGCTAATACGGAACAAGATGTCAGGAGATATTTGTTAATACATATCAGGGTCTCACTCAGCAGAGCTGGAAACTTCTTCCAGGAGTACCAAGGAAGATGAAAAGCTCCTCAGAACGGAAGACCCTGCCACAATTGCATAAGGAAGGACCGATGATATTTGGGGGAGTGGGAGTGGTGCCCTGTCTTGTACTAATGCTGCAGGCTCCCCGCCATGAGCCATGTAGCTTTTTAGTAAACTCAGTTACATTGCAGCTCACGCAATCCAGGTGAAGTTAAAGGAATGCTTGTGTTTATGAGCACGTGTTTTACATCAGGCTGTGTGCTTTGGCATTTATTACTTCATCTCGTTTAATATTTGTAATGATCACTGTGAAGTGGCAAGTGATCGTTTTCTCCATTTTCCACACTAGGTGACTGAGTGGTTAAGTAATTCGCACAAAGTTCTAAAGCCAGAATCCTTGGGGATTTGAGGAGTGTTGGTAAAGCCAAGGTCCCAACCCACACCTTCGGACACTGAGCCCACAGCCCTCTCTGGCTGAGAGCGCACCTGCCCTTGGCCCCTTGGAGCCTAAGGAGGGCCTGGGGAAGGCGTGCCCTCGGATTCGGGGGGGACCATGGTTAGAATGGATGTCCAGCCGGTGGCTGGGGGAATGGGATGGGTACAGCCAACAGGAAATGTTATTTAAAAATCTTAATTTAAAAACATTGTTTTTTCATTGAATTTATAGATTAATTTTAGGAGAAATTGACATTTTTTACCTTGAGAAGTTCTCTCGTCGCTGATCATGCTGTATCTTTTCACCTAATTCACATCCTCCTTTATGACTTTATTAATGGAGTTAATTTTCTATTTCTTCCTGTAGGTATTGTGCATAATTCCTATAAATGAATTCCTGGATATTTTAGAATTTCAGTTGCTTTTAATTAGAAACTATTATTCTCCATCACAGAGGTGTGGCTGGAAGCGGGTTTCCCCGGTGGCAGGCACTGCTCATGCAGAAGCCTGCGCTCCTAGGGCGGACGGGGGAGAGGCAGAGGCCCGCAGAAGCCAGTCAGGGGCCTGCTTGCTGGTTCCGATTCCTGGTCGGGGTGCGAGCATCCCATATGCTTCTTTGGTCACCCTCTTTCATAATTTGCCTATTTGTCTATCTTTCCCTGTTTTTCTGTTGGGTTTCAAGGTTTTCGTATGGATTAATAAGCTTTATTTTTTACATCGTCTGGATAATTATGCATTGTCAATTACAGGCATGATAACATTACAGACTGAGCTCTGAGCTCTGTTAACTTAGCCTTTGACTCTATGCACAGTATTTTATTTGGTAAAACACTTAACTATTCCTTTCTAGATTGTACTTTTGGTAACGTTTAAGAAATCTTGCCTCCTCTGAACGTCAGCAGGGTCTCCTATGTATCCCTCTAATAATTTTGAAGATTTTGTTTTTCACCTTTAATCTGCAATTTATTTTGCACATGGCATAAGATGTCCAACAGTTTCATTTGCCACCGAGTGGGTGGTCAATGTAATTAATTGACCAGTCCATTCCTCCACACTCTTTTGAAATGCCACCTCTGGCATCTATTTAGTCCCCTTACGTGTGGCTCTGGTTTGGGGCTTCCTAGTTTATTCCATTGGCCTTTATACAACGGAACCAATAGCTCAGGGTAACTTTAGCCCCTTCTGCCCATGTTCTAGGGAGTAGCAGGTGGGGAGTCAGAACACCCTTCAGTTTCTTCCTGCATGTAACTGACAACTGGTCAGCTACCCACATCTAGACATTCTGGCTCCTGGGAAGGGGCAGCAGGACAAAGAACCATCTGTGACTTCACGGAGCTTCCAGAACCTTCCTGAACCCTGCAGCATGTGTGTGTTCACGTGTGGCAGCTTGAACATGAGCTCTTCTTAAGGCTTAGCTCCCTCTTTTGATTTCACAGTTAAATGGAAAGAATCAGACAGGGAAAAGAAAAACCATAGAAGAAGGAAGAAATATTCGGCAGAAGAGGACACAGAAGACCACCGAAGGCGGGGCCGAGGCTTCTCCATCCAGCTGGCGGTGATGCCGCTCCTCGCAGGTAGCCACACCGGTTCCTGACAGTTTCTGGTATTTGTCCCATGTGACCACAAATCCATAAACAGGATGCTCATGGTGACCATGTGCTCTATGCTACCTAACTTCATGCTCAAAGCCACCTTAGCAAAGTGGGAATGTCTCTATTATATATTGAGGAAATGGAGGCACAGAGAAGTTAAATACATTTTTTAAAGATTACATAATGAGTCAGTATGAAGCATGGATTTGAACCCAGGTCAAATTTCAAAGTCTAAGAAAATCTGTGAAAATAACAAATCCTGCCGTTTTGCTAAACAAGATGCTGCTTTTTATAAACATGTTTCTACAGATTTTTACAAAAACATCTAATAACGGAAATTAGGAAAGGGAGCTTGTATTTATGTTCCAGCTTTTACTTCTCACAGCAAACTCCGGTCTTGCCAACGAACGTGTGGTGGTGGTGTCAGGGGTGCTTGCCATTGTCACCAATTTTTTTCAGTGAGGAATCAAAACTCAGAGAAGTTAAGTAAGTTACCTGAGGTCACACAGCTCAGTGACAGAACAAGGGTTTGATTGTTTTGCTTTGTAAGATCTATCACAAGTTACAAAGTAGGTTTTCCACAGTTTGATGACTAATAAATAGGTATTAATTAAATTCATATGTTTTGATGATGGAAAGCTCAGGATATATTTTGGGTAAAATTATGTGACTTTGTCTTTAACAAAAGGGGGTAACGTGGCCAAAAGAACCCTTTCGTGTTTCTCCTTAAAGAATAGCTTCACACCTACTTCACTGTGGGGTTTTTTTCCGGCGGAGGCCATTGTGGTGCATGTGCTCCTTCTACTGGCCACTCTGCAGAAGTGCAGGCCTAGGTCTTCTCTGAGACGGACCCGGCGTCCAGTTCCACAGGTGCTGGGAAAATGCTAATTCTCACAGGCTCCTGGGTCGATATGGATGCATTTTGAGGAAATTCTTTTCACTTTTTATTTTTCACTTTTAAATGGATTTATGAACATCAGCTCTCACGTCAGGTTGAGCCTGTCAGACTGACTACCTCAGCTTTCCCCTCTGTGTCCGAATCCTTTCTAGAGAAGTGATATCTCAGGGACTCTCTCTCCAGCTCTCGTACTGTGTTCTGGAAGGACCGGGTCACCACATGGTCGTCACATGCTTCTGCTTGGTGGAGACATCGGGGGACATGACTCACGGTCCTTGAGTCCCCAAGAGGAACCAGTGGTTCTCTGGGTGGCTGAGCTTGGGGTGACCTGCCTGACTCTGCTCGCTCAATTTGCTGTGAGAAAAACAAATTCATGTGAGCTTGGCCTGCCTCGTGTGGCGGTTTCCAGCAGAGTGACAGTAGCCAAGAGGGCCCTGTGCCTCCCCTGCCTCTCACCTGTGCTGTCATGATTGTGTAATGTGACAGTTATTACAAGAGCTTCGATAACAAATGGGCCAAATCTTGGCTCAACCAATTACCTGCAGGTTACCTGCTTTCTCTGAGTCTCAGATTCCTAATCTGTAAAATGGGAGTGATCATTCCTGCCGCCGAGGGCTGTGGTGAGGATTATCTGAGATGGTGTGTGTGAACTGCTTGCACACAGTAGGACCCAGAGAGATCGCTGGCGTAGAGGCGGCAGAGGCATCTGTCACCACACGGGGTGGCTGGATGCAGGCGGGTGGCCATCCAGCTAGGAGAACAGTGGGATAACCTCCCCTTTGCCCTCACATCATGGCTGACGGCGGTACACTGAGGATGCTCTGGCCCGCAGGCCAATTGTATGTTTGTCTTTGCTGTCATAGCGTAAGACGTATTTCCAAACCAGCATGATTATTTTTAGTAATTACCTTCAGTTTCAAAATAGCCCAAGATTTTGCATACCTTAGAGGTAAATACTGGCTAGCTGGTAACCCAGCAAGATTCTAGAAAGATTCTGTGTTTGAAATACACTCTTATTTTCATTGTATAATGGAGGGGCCAACCTTAGCCAAGCAGGACTGCTTTATACACTGGTTCCAACAGTAATTAGCCAAGAGACCTTGGACGATTACTTAACATGTCTGGGCCTCAGTTTCCCCTCTGTCTCAAAGCAGAGCTCACAGAAATCACACAGCGTTGTTTGAGGATTAAACACGTGGCACTAACACGTGTTCCAGTCTAGCAGTTGTAAGTGTGCAAACCACACAGCGTCCAGTCCCTGGACCTTTCCCCTTGTCCCGAGACAGTGGACCACAGCTCAGGCGCTTGTGCCCCGCAGGGGACATTTGGCAGTGGGTGGAGGCATTTTTGGTCATCACAAATGGGAGCCAGGTGCTGTTGGCATCTAGTGGGAACTTGCTAAATGTCCCCATAACAAAGAATTATCTGTCCCCAAATGTCTGTAGTACTGAGGCTGAAAAACCTTGCCCTAATTATGGTTGACACCCTCCTAAATTTCTGAATGATGATTTGACTACATATTTGTTCTGGAGATTTTTGCCTAAACTGGCCAATCTTCCATATGAAGAAGCTTACAGACTTCCAGAACCCAAACCATAATAAGTCACAGCCTTACTGAGTTGGCTCTGTTGAAGAGAATCACGGGGGAGCAGGGAGGGTTTTCCCAGGAGATGCTCGGTGCCCATGCAAACAGCTGCACACGCCGGCCTGCGACTGATTCGGAAGTGCCTGCTCTTTCTGAGCACAAGGGACTGGGTTTTTATGGGACCTAGAAATACATTTACAAGCATTTTGAAAAGAATAGAACTGATTTTTTAGCATATACTATGTGCTGGACAGTCTTCCTGGCACCTTCACATGCCCAACCCTTGGAAAGGTGGTGTCTGTGTCCGTTTTGCACATGGATAAATTGAGCTTCTAACTTGCTGTGGGTCATGTGACTGCTGACAGTCAGCCCTAGAACCTCCCTGCTTGCAAAACTGCAGCTTTTTGCATTTCTTTTCCCCCTCCACCAGTATGGTTCCAGCTGGTGAAATGAGTGGACACCTTTTATGAGAAAAGCATTCCCACAGCTACCTGTGGGCCACGCAGCCGCTCAATTCTGGTCACACTATTGCAAAACCAACATAGTGGGAGGTCTGCCATGCTTGATGTGGCTCAAATGCATCAGTTATGTTGTACCTCAATATGCTTTTCTCAGTAGACCACAGCCATTAAAGCGACACCAATGGACACCAATAAAGACGTTAGCCTGATTTGTTCTTGAATGTGTTTACTCTAAAATGATAGCCTGGAGCATAACTCTCCCACAGAGCTTTCTACAGTGATAGAGATATTCTGCATTGTCCAATCCAGTAGCTCATAGCCACACAAGGCTACTAAGCATGTGAGATGTGACTCATATGAAGAAAGAACTGCATCTTAAATTGTATTTAATTTTAGTTACTTAAAATTTCAGTAGCCGCATATAGCCAGTGGCTACTCCACTACACAGCACAAGTCTAGGATGGTGGGTCTAAGTCACCTGGGGAGCTTTCAAAAACCACAGTGTGAAGTCCAGTGTTCTGGGTGGCACCCAAGTATCTGTATTCCTTATTGTATCCTGTAGGTGATTCAGGAACTGCTTATCTTACAAGATGGTCATCAAGATTAAATTACAAAGATTAAATCCCCTTAGAGAATTTATGGAAACTTAATTAGAGAAACTGATGTATAACATGCTGCCTGCATGTGTTTCCCAATTCATTTTTTTTTTAAGATTTCCTTTTTGTTGTAATTTTATCATTGGCTCTTCTCGGCTTACTAGTCCCTCTGTGCTTGTCTTGGGAATGTCATGAGTAACCATCTCATGCTGTGTGTATCGTGTATCCCCTCCCCCACCCAGGATGCCAGACTGTTGTGAGTCGAAGCAGCGAAAGGTCTGCCAACATTCTAGATTGTATTTTGACTTTAAAACCAGAAGGTCCTATCATGACAGAGGAGCAAAAGCAGGACTTAAACCCCCTGATCATAAAGATCAAAAAAGCTTCCTGCCTCCCATCGCAACCCGTGCCCTTCCATGAACTAGAGGTAAGAATGACCCAGATAAACTGACGCAAGGGCTCCTTGTCCCAGCCAACGCCCCGCTGCGGGTCCTCTCGTATCCCCCCAGGGGCCCTACCGGAGATGTATAATCATCCCCGTTTCCCCGCTGAGGATCTCAGAGCAAGACATAAAAGAGGTCGGGCTTCTGGGATGAGGAGCTAGCACGTCTGGTGGTCTCCCACTGCCCCCAGGAGTCCCCGGCGACCCTCCCCTCAGCAGGAGCCCCAGGCTTCTTGTGGCGGAAGCAGGGCCCGCTCACGGTGAACAAGCCACATTGGGCACTGCTGTTTATCTTGGAAATGCCCTTTTCCCTCTCTTGGTGGGATCCCTGTCCCTGGATTCTGTGTCTTCCTGTTGCTTCGTTTGCGCTCTGGTTTTGCTGGAGCACATCCTCCTGTAGCTTCTTGAGAAAGGCTGAATGATGGGAGGAATAGTTGGGCATCTTCTGCCTGAGGATTCGTGTCTTTGATGTGTTCTTAAATTCCCTATCCTTATCTTTTTTAGATTTACCTTTCTGTTATTCTATTTGTACAATAATTGTCTTCTGAAACTCCAGTTAGGTGTATGTTAGATCTAATCTCATTCTCTTCCATTTCCTCTTCATCATTCCTTTATATTTTTATATCTTTGTCTTTTTTTGTGTAAACATGGGTAATCCATTCAGCTATATATTTCAGTTCACTAATTTTCTCTTCAATTTTTCACTTTTTAATTTATTTTTCAATTACAGTTGACATATAATATTATGTTAGTTTTAGATGGACAAAACAGTGATTAGACATTTGTATGCCTTATAAAATGATCGTGACCCAGTAAGTCTAGTACCCATCTGGCACCTTACATACTTACTACAACATTATTAACTGTATGTCCTGTGCTGTACTTTACATCCCATGGCTATTTCTATAACTGGCAATTTGAACTTCCTCATTCCTCTCACCTTGCTCACCCAGAAACCCAACCCCCTTCCCTCTGGCAACCCCCAGCTTTTTCTGTGTATCTATGAGTTTGTCTTGTTTGCACATTTATTTTGTTTTTTGGGATTTCACATATAAGTGAAATAATATGGTATTTATCTTTTTCTGCCTTACTTAGTATTTTACTTAACACAATACCCTCTAGGTTCATTCATCTTTTTGCAAATGGTAAGATTTTATTCTTCTTATGGCAGGAGTAATGTTCCATTACATATATGTACCATGTTTTCTTTATCCATTCATATATCAAAGGATGCTTAGGGTGCTTCCATATCTTGGCTATTATAAATAATGCTAAAATGAACATAGGGATGCCTATATTTTGATGTATAGATTTTCTTCAACTTCTGTCTACAGTGTATTACAGATTTCAGTATATGAGTCTTAACTTAAACATCTTCCATTTAATTTCTTAAGGATTTTATAAAAACTTATGCTATTGTAGGTAATGTTTAAATTTTTTAAATTATTCATTACTAGTAAATAGAATTCTAATAGATTTGACCTTCATGATTTTTAAGTTTTTAAAAACATAACAAATATATTTGTTTTATGCATCTATTTTAATACTTTAATGCCTTTGTGCATCTGGTTTTGCTAGTAGTCCCTTTTTCTCTTAGATGCTTTATGATTTTTACTTTGATCTCACATTCAATGAAACTTTCTCTGTGGAGTTCTTTGAGGCATAGGTTGAAAGTGGATTTCTCCAGAAAGCTTTCTTAGTAACTTCCCCCAGGTACCTGGGAGCACAACCAACCCAGGATTGTTTTAAAATAAAATTTCAGCACCAGCATAAAGTAACTAAGACAGTTGAAGTATGAATTTGGACCACAAACTTGTGCAATGGTTAGTTTTTGATCATAAAATCTTAGCACCATGATCCAGACATGCAGGGCTCCCTATTTTCAGCCCCGCCCCTCCTTCCATCTCATTTTCCATGCCCTCTTAAGCCCCAAACCTCTCTGAGTCTTTCCTCCCCTGTGGCAGCCTTCCACTTGGATGCTTACCATGGTAAAGGTGAGCCTATGCCAGTGGCCCCAGATGTATGCCTGGAAAATATGGTTCACTTGTGTCCCCCTTTTCTTTGCCTGGCCTTGGGCTAAGAGCAAGAAATATAGATGTGGAAAAGGCACATGCCCTGTCTTGATGGCACTCACGGTTTGGGAGGAAGACATCGTGACAAATATTTCTGAGCCCTTTTCTTGTGCCAGCCACCATCTTGATGTTTGGACATATGTCGCTCAGTCCTCTCTCATTGGCATGAGGAAACCCAGACTTCAGGGGCTGGGGGCGGTGCGGGTGGCCCTGGGATTGGAGCCCCCTGCAGGGGGAGGCTTCCTGCAGGGGAGGGACAGAGTGACTGCCACTGCAGCCCAGTGCCCTGATGTCTCCCTGCTCTCTCATAGAGGCTCTGCACCCCCGTGTACTGCAGGTACCAGTTTCACAAGACTCCGGTTCACCAGACTGAGGGGCAGCCTCATGGAAGCCATGTCTCCTTCCAGGACATCAATGTCATCTTCCTTGGGGCAATGCATCCCAATGACCTGAGGGAATACCTGGAGGGCCCTCCTATGGTGGTAGAAGTTCATGACCGGGACCGAAAGTCAGAGGAGTATTCCCGGAAGCCCACTCTGTTTGGGGAGGACCCTCTGGATTCATACATTAACTTTCAGGCTCTCATCTCTCCCAAAGAGACAAAGAACAATCCCTTTGAATCCCAAAACAAGATGTGGGACCCTTACGGAGTCGCCCAGGTCAGCTTTGCTGACCTCCTCCTCGGCCACAAGTACTTGAACTTGGCTGTCCCCATCCACAGCTGTGAGCCCAAGCACATACACCAGGGCCAGGACAGCAGAAGCAGGAAGGTCATGGGGTTTAGTGTCCCTACAGATGCCCTCCATCACGGCCCAATGCCCATGGGCAACTACCTAGAGGCCAACTCCCTGCTCAAGCTGCGAGTGGACATCACGGTGCCCCTCCGGGCCGTGGCAGAAGCTGCCAATCCAGACCTCGCAGGCACCCAGTTTGGCCGCATCATTTTCGTATTTGACTCCAGGAAGGCCTTCCTCCTGTACAGCCTGCTGCAGGACATCACCCTGATCAATGCCAAAGCCCTCGATCTGGACTCCTGCCCTATGTTGAGCATCCAGCAGATCCTGTCAGCCTTCAAGGTGCGGGCGAAGATCCAGGAGAGGCAGGACCTGGATGTGCTCACCGGCTTCCATCTGCTGGATGGGAAAGTCCACCTCCTCATTGTGGAAGGCGTGGCTGACCAAGGCTTGAAGCGGCTGTGGGAGAGCCACCAAAGCCGGTAGGTGGCATCGGGGGGCTGTGTGGAGAGATCTTTCAAAGCCAAGCTGACATTCCCTGTCCTGCTCCGTGAGAGGGATTCGTCCACTCATTTCCTCTTCGGGTTTATTATAAGGTGCTTCTCAGGGCTCAGGAGTTGGATTTTATAACGAAAAGAACTGCTTGCCTTTAGGTGAAGGAAGGACTATAGAGAAGGGGGTTCAGGACTACAGGCTTCTGAGGGGCCCAGTCGGTTAACAGGGAGCAGAAAGTTTTGTATGGTCCTGGTCCAAGTTTAGGGGGCCAGTAAACTGTGAAAGGGGGGAAAAAAAGAACGTGTTTTAGGGCTTTAAGGTAGACACCGCAAAGAAATAGATTTCAACTCCCCCAGGTGAGACATGACCTATTGTTTTGAATCTAGAGGGGCTGCCTAGGCTATAGAAAATGCCTCTTCCCTTCAGGAGCACCTGCTGGCCACTCAGCAGGGACATTGTAGAGGCAACTAAAGTGTCTGATTCTGAGCTGGGAAAAGTGACCCTTCATGGTCCTTCCATTCTTTAGTTTTGATGGCACAATGATTCTCTTTTCCTTTCATGATTTTCAAGTATCCCGGTTTGGATAACTACGACCTCCCTCCTTTAGTCTGCACGTCCCGTATTTGTCTTCAGAGCCCAGACACCCCGGAGCCCGGATGTTGGTAACAGCAGAAAGTTTGGAAGTTGAGTCTCTCTACCCAGCAGGGGAGTGCGTCCCTGCAGAGGCCCGTTTTGATGCACTGATGGGCCAAGAGACACCGGGGAGAAGCTGGCCTTATGGCTGGTTATCTGCCCAAGAGAACTGAAAACATATGTCCACACAAAAATATGCATGTAAATGTTTATAGCAGCATTATTTATAGTAATCAAACTGTGAAAACAACCCCTATGTCCATCAACCAATGAACAAAATGTGATATATCCATACAATGGAATGATATTCAACCATAAAAAAGGAATGAAGTACTGATCCACATACTTCAACATGGATGAAGCCTGAAAACATTATGCAAAGTAAAAGAAACAAGACATAAAAGGCCACATATTCTATGACATGTCTGCAATAGTCAAATCCCTGGAGCTAGAAGTAGATCAGTGGTTTCCAAGGTCTCAGGGGAGGCATGAGGGAGAAGTAGGGAGTGACTGCTAATAGTGCAGTTTCTTTTGGGGGTAATGAGAATATTCTGGAATTAGTGTTGATGGTTGCACAGCTCTGAGCATACTAAAAACCACTGAAGTGTATACTTTAAAAGGGTGAGCTTCATGATGTGTATTTGACCTTGCCCAAGAGAGATCAGACCTTTGCCCTTGCCTTCTGGAAGGTGATCTATGTTACGGATGTTGTTAAGGTTGGGAGGTGACCGCACCGGGTCTTAGGTGTAAGCAGCCTCACTCAATAGTCATTACGTGAAGTTTGGCTGTGCCAAAGAGACCAGCAGCGTGATTTAGGGTGGGAGCTTTGGATTGTGCCGTGTCGGTTGACCTGGAGACTGAGATTGCCTCATGGGCCATCAAGCAGTTAATCAGTCATGTCTCTGCAGCGGAGCCCCAATAAAATTCCATGACACCAGGCTTGGAGCAGTTACCCTGTGATATTGTCTCTCATCCATGTCATAAGGACAGCACATCCTGGCTTCATCGGGAAAGGCCAGCAGAAGCTTTGTGTTTGGAACCATCCCGGACCCTGCTCCATGTACCTCTTCCCTTGGCTGATTCTACTATGTATCCCTTTCTCTTCAAAAAGTGTGTGAGCATAACAAATTTCCGTGAATTCTTCTAGCAAACTGATGAACCTGAGTGTGCTTTAAGGAACCCCCAGAACTTGCCGTTGGCATCGGAAGTCAGGGCAGTTTAGGGGACTGCGCTTTCAAACTCTGCAGTTTAGCTAACTCAGGTCATGTGGTATGTGAATTATATCTCAGTGCAGAGTTTTTCCCAGTGGCAGAAATAACGTAGAATATGATCACTGACCCCCAGTTCAATTAAACTAAAAAATTTTTAAAAATCATTGATAAGAAAAAATTCAAATGCCTAAAACTTGACAGACACTTCCAGATAACCCATGGGTCAAAAGAGAAACTGTAATGGAAATTAAACATAGTGAAAATAGTAAACTATCTAAATTTGTGGGATGATAAAGCATTATTTAGAGGAAATTTTATAGTCTTAAATGCTTATATTTAAAAAGAAGACTGAAAATTACTGAGACATTTACTGTAAATCACTGAACTGTTGCAGACATTGAAATAAATGTTTTAAACTATGTTTTTTAGGTTTAAAATTTATTAGAAATTTTCAGGTTACATAGTTTCATGAGGTTTCTCAATACAAAAATTCATGTATTACTCTACTGAATTTCTAAGTACCATGTACACTAAAAAAATTTTAAAGAGAAAATTTAAAAGTATCGTAAAATATGACATTATAGGAATAAATTTGACAAAAAGGAACAAAAAGCCTCTGCCATGGATATTATGGAACTTTAGAAACATTAAAAAATACTGACATAAGCAAAGGGAGTTGCCATGTTCAGGGGTTGGAACATTCGACATTGTAAACGTGTCCATTTTTCCCAGTTGGACATATAGAATCGATGCAATTTCAATTTTAAAATAACTTTTTATAAAAAGTGTGGAACTTGAGAAGCTGATTTTTAAATATGCATCAGCATGCAGATGTGTAAAATAAAGACATTTTTCAATAAGCACAAAATGGGAGAACTTGCTCTACTCGACTTCAAGTCTGATTATGAAAGTATAACAATTAAGACTGTACGGTATCAGATCAGGGACAAAAAAGCAGATATATGGAATATAACAGAAAATACCAAAATAGACATACATGCAAATGGTCACTTGACATATGACATTTGTAATATTGCAAAATAAGAGGTAAATGAATATACTAAAACCACTAAATTATACACATTTTAAATTTTCCATTTATTTATTATTAACTTTTTTATTTTTCAACTACAGTTGACATTTAATATTATATTAGTTTCAGGTGTACAGCGTAATGTTTAGACATTTATACACTTTACAAAGTCAATCCCCTACTAATTAGAGAATCTACCTGATACAATACATAGTTATTACAATATTGTTGACTATATTCTCTACCCTGTATTTGTAACGGCCAATTTGTTCTTCTTAATCTCTTTCACCATCTCCCTAATGCCCCTCCCTTCTGGCAACCATCCGTTTGTTCTCAATATTTATGAGTTTCTTTCTGTTTTATTTGTTCATTTATTTTGTTCTTTAGATTCCACATGTAAGTGAAATCTTTGTCTTTCTATGTCTGACTTGTTTCATGGAGCATAATATCCTCTATGTTTACCTGTGTTGTCACCAATGGTGAGATTTCATTCCTTTTTATGGCCAAGTAATATGCCATTGTGTATATGTACCACATATTTTTTATCCAGTCATCTGTCAATAGATGCTTAGGTTGATTCCATATCTTAGCAATTATAAACAAAGCTTCAATGAACATAGGGAAGCATATGTCTTTTTGAACTAATGTTTTGGATTTTTTTTTAATTTAATTTATTGGGGTGACATTGGTTAATAAAATTACAAAGGTTTTCAGGTATACAATTTCATAACACATCATCTGTATATTATATTGTGTGTTCACTGCCCCAGGTCAAGTCTCCCTCTATCACCATTTACCCCCTCTTTATCCTGTTCTACCTTGCCCCACCCACTTTGCCTCTGGTAATCACCATATTTTTGCCTAATCCCTTCACCTTTTTCAAACCCAGCTTTCTATTCTGTTTTATACCAATACCACACTGTTTTGATTACTATAGTTTTATAGTACTGTTTGAAATCAGAGAGCATAATTTCCCTAACGTTGTTGTTATTTCTCAAAATTGCTTTGGTTATTTGAGGTTGTGAGGGTTCCATACAAATTTTAGAATTATTTGTTCTATTTCTGTGAAAAATGCCATTGGAATTTTGATAGGGATTGCGCAAATCTGTAGAGTGGGTAGTGTAGACATTTTAACAATATTGATTTTTTCAATCCCTGAGCATGGAATATCTTTCCATGATTTTCAATTTATTTGATTGATATCTTATACTTTTCATGGTACAAATCTTTCACCTCCTTGGTTAAATTTATTCCTAGTTTTACTCTTTTTGATGCAACTGAATATGGAATAGTTTTTTCAATTCTCCTCTCTAATAATTCATTATTAGTGCATAGAATGGTATCCTTCAACTTTTCTGAATTTATTTATTATATTTAACTGTTCTTAGTGGATTTTTTAGGGCTTTCTATGTAAAATATCATGTCTGAGGATAGTGACAGTTTTACTTCTTTCTTTACAATTTGGGTGACTTTTATTTCTCTTTCTTTCTTTCTTTCTTTTAACCAATTGTTCTGGCTAGAGCTTCCAATGTTATGTTGAATAAAAGTGGTGAGAGTGGGTATCCTTGTCCTGTTTCTGATCTTAAAAAAAAAACCAAAAAACTTCTATGTTCACCATTGAGTGAAATGTTAGCTATAGGCTTGTCATGTATGACCTTTGTTATGTTGAGATACATTCTTCTATAGCCATTTTGTTGAGAGTTTTATTATAAATGGATTTTGAATTTTGTTATATGCTTCTTCTGCATTCATTGAAATGATCATATGATTTTTATCTTTTATTTTGTTAAGATGGTGTATCCCATTGATTTGCAGATGTAGAACGATCCTTGCATCCCTGGAATAAATACCATTTGATGATGGTTTACGATCCTTTTAATGCATTGTTTACTAAGTTTGGTTTGCTAATATTTCTTGAGTATTTTTATGTTCATCAGGGATATTGGCCTGTCATTTTCCTTTCTTGTCATGTCCTGATCTGGTTTTGCCATCAGGGTAGTGATGGCCTCATAAGTTGAATTTGGAAGTGTTGTTCCCTAACTCCTAGTTTTTGGAAGAGTTTGGGAAGGATTGGAATTAATTATTCTTTGAATGTTTGGTAGAATTCATCTGTAAAGCTATGTGGTCCTGGACTTTTGTTTGTTGCGGGGTTTTTCATTACTGACTCAATGTATTATTAGTAATCAGCTTGTTCAGATTTTGTATTTCTCCATGATTCAGTCTCGCTAGGTTATGTTTCTAGAAATTTATCTATTTTCCCAAGTTGTCTAATTTGTTGGTGCATAATTGTTCATAGTCTGTTATAATCTTTTGCATTTCTGTTGTAATGTCTCTTGTCTCATTTCTGATTTTATTTATTTGACTCTCTTTTTCTTGGTGAGTCTAGCTAAAGTTTTGTGAATTTTGATTATCTTTTCAGAGAACCATCTCTTAGGTTCATTGATCTTTTCTAATTTTTTTTTTTTTTAGTCTCTATTTCACTTACTTTTGCTTTGATCTTTCTTACAAGCATAGTTCGGAGATATTGTGCGTTTGGTGGGTTTGGTTCCAGACCACCACAATACAGTGAAATATCTCAGTAAAACAAATTACATAAAATTTTTGGTGTTCTAGTGCATATTAATGTAATGTTTACTAACGTAATCTTTACCATATATGTAGTTTATTAAGTGTACAATTGCATTATGTCTAAAAATATGTATATAATTGTAAAAGCTTTTATTGCCAGAAAATTCGAATCCTATTCTAGTCTTCAGCAAGACAATATTTTTGCGGGTAGAGGGTCTTACCTCAATGTCAACATAAATTATATATAAAGTGCAATAAGGCAAATACAATACAATAAGATATGCCTTCTGCTAACTTTGGGCTTTGTTCATTTTCTTTTTCCACGGGTGTCAAGTTAGGTTTGACATTTTTCTTGTTTCTCAAGTTAGGCATTTATCATCATGCCCTTCTCTCAAAGAACTGCTATTGCTGCATCTTACGAGTTTTAGTACGCTGTGTTTCCATTTTCAATTCCTCTCGAGGTATTTTTTATTACTTTTTTGGTTTTTTCATTGACCCACTGGTTATTCAGTTGTATGTCATTTAATCTCCACATATTTGTGAATTTCCCAGTTTCCTTCTTGTAACTGATTTCTAGTTTAATATCGTTGTGGTTGGAAAAGATGCTTGATTTTATTTCAGTCCTCTTAAATTTATTGACTTGTTTTGTGAGCTAACATATGATCTGTCCTGGAGAATGTTCCATGTGCACTTGGGAATAATCTTCTTCTATTGATTTTATATATTTCTATATTGATTTTCCATCTGGAGGACCTATCCATTGATGTATGGGGGTGTTAAAGTTCCCTCCTATTATATTGCTGTCAGTGTCTTCCTTTCTGAGAAAGGCTGGGGGTGTGTTTCAGCTCTGCTGTGTGTGCAGCGCCCTGGGAATGGCAGTCTGCCAAGAACTGTCTCTCTCACCATTAAAGCCCATGGGGTCCAGGAGTGCAAGCTCCGCTGGCCTCCAGAGCCAAACAATCCAGGGATGGCAGCTGCGAAACCGGGATCACCAGGCTGAAAATCTGGGGCACCAGCCACTCGTAGAAAAGCCTGAGGTTCTAGATTAGAGCAAATGGAGAACATAAAGATGGAGCCTGCTGGCTGGAGCAAGGCAGAGGGGAAGTGCGGAGATGGCACCCAACAAAAAAGAGGAAAAAAAGGAAAAAATGAGGGGAAAAAGGTGGTACCTGCCGGTTTTAAGAAGGCAGAAGGAGAGCAGGAAGATGGTACCCCCCCAGCCTCTGTCTCTGGAAAGTATCCCCGCAGACCCCTGCTTTAAAATGAGCAAATGAGTCTATTTCACATAAAGTCTGGGCACTTCTCAAAATGCTGCCTCTGTGCTGGGCCCTGGGCAACTGAGTCTGGGTACTGGCCCTTAAAGAGCCATTTCTCAGTTTGTCACAGCCCCACCGATCTCGTGGAGTGAGTCCCACTAGTTTTCAAAGCTAGGTGTTTTGAGGGCCCATCTCTTAGGTGCTGGCCTGAGAAGCTGGGGTGTCCAGTGTGGAAAAGGAACCCTTCCCCCCTCAGGGCAAAGTTTCAGGCCATTTTGAATTTCCTTCCGATTGTGGGTCATTGTGCCAGGTGTGGGGTTTATGGTGAGATTGTACCAACTTTTTCTACTTCGACGTGGCTTTTTTCTTGTTTGCTCTATATGAAGAGGTCATTCTGCTAGTTTTTAGGGTTGTTTTTTTTTTTCTCGGAGAAAACCATTCCACATGTAGCTATAGATTTATTGTGTCTGCAGAATGAGGTGAGTCTAGGATCTTCCTGCATTGCCATCTTCAGCAGGAACCTAAGTTTTGGTTGTTCTGTTTTAGTTTTAGGGTTATTTTTTTTCCCAATGCACATCCAATTACTAAAACACCATTAGTTGAAAATAGTATCTTTCTTTATGGAAATGCTTTTGCATTTTTACTAAGAATCAACGGGTCATAAATGTGTGGATGTATTTCTGGGTTCTCTATTTTATTCCATTGATCTATGCATCTATCCCTTAACCAATACCACACAGTCTTGATTGCTGTAGCTACATAATGAGTCAAGTAGAGAGATTCCTTCCCCTTTATTCTTTTTTCAAAATTATTTCAGCTATTCTGGTTTCTTTGCCTTTTCATATAAATTTTACAATAAGCTGTCTATATTTATAAAAAGTCTTACTAGCATGTTGATAAGAATTGTGCTAAACCTACATATCACTTGGGGGAGAATTGATATTGCTATGTCAAGCCTTCAATGAATATGGTATGTTTCTCCATTTATTTAGATGTTTAATTTCTCTCATCAGCATTTTGCAGTTTCCAACATGTTTTGATAGATTTATATCTAATTCTTTATTTTTTGAGTTATTTTAAAATGGTATGGTATTTTTAATTTCAGTTTCCAAGTGTTTATTGGAATAGCTTGCATATAGAAATACGATTGATTTTTCTTCTTTAAGATTTTATTTATTTATTTTTAGAGAGAGGGGAAGGGAGGGAAAAAGAGAAGGAGAGAAACATCAGTATGTGAGAGATACAATGATCAGTTGCCTCTCACATGAAACAGTGACCTTTCAGTTCGCAGGCCGGCACTCAGTCCACTGAGCCACACCAGCCAGGGCGATTTTTCTTTGTTGATCCTGAAGCCTTGCTAAACTTGTTGGTTTGAGGAGTGTTTGTTTGTTTGTTTGTTTTTGGTAGATTCCTTGGGATTTTCTACATAGCCCACAATATCATCAGCAGATAGGGATAGTTTAGTTTCTTCCTTTCTACACTGCGTGTCTTTACGTCCTTAGTGTGCTGGCTAGGACTTGCAGTATTGTTTTATGTCAGAGTTGGGACTTCCTTGCCTTGCTTCTGATCATTGGAGGAAGGCATTAGGTCTCTCTCCATTACATATTGTGTTTGATGTAGGGTTTTGTAGATGTCTTTTGCCAATTTGGGAAAGTTCTACTCTGTTCTAAATTCACTGATGGTTTCCTAATTTGCTGACTTGTGTAATTTATAAAAATCAATTCCAGGTCGATTAAAAATCTATTTGAAATAATCAGAGGCAGAATAGGTCACCAAAATGTTATAAAGAAGTCCCGTGTACCCAACATCCCACTTCCCCCAATGGTGATAGCTGACATAAAGTGTCCTATTGGCAGACACAGTGCAATTAATAGACTACAACTACCTGGTCTTATTCATAGTTCACCAGAAAAATTTATTTATGAAAATAGTACTATAATGGTTTAAATGATAATAAAGGAGAACATATGCATGACCTCAGAATAAAGATAGATTGTTTGAATAAGACAGAAGTACAAAGAATAAAGGAAAATAGCCCTGGCTGGTGTGGCTCAGTTGTCTGGAGCATCGTCCCATAGGCTGAAGGGTCATAGGTTCCCTTTCCAGTCAGGGCACATCCCCAGGTTGTGTGTTCAATCCCCAGCAGGGGCACATATGAGGAGGTAACCGACTGATGTTTTTCTCTCACATTGAAGTTTCTCCCCCTCCCCCACTTTTTTCTCTAAAAGCAATGAAAAAAAAAAGTCCTTGGGTGAGGATAAAAAAGAAAGAAAGGAAAATAATGATAAATTTGTCTACATTAAAATTAATAACTTCTGTTCATCCAGAGGCACCCTAATAATTATGGAAACACAAGCCACAAGTAGAGAAAAAAATATTTTTCAATGTGTGGAGCTAGTATGTTAAACATATAAAATGCCTGTGAATCAATAAAAAAAAACACACAATAAAAATATTCCAATGGAAGAACGGGCAAAATACTAGAACACATACTTCACAAGAGAAGAAACCCCATGGGAAAAACACACACACAGACCCACCAGCAGCACACGCAGGATAGATGTAGACTTCACCAGGTTCAACAAGGTGCGGGAACAAAGCGTGCCGCGCGCAGGGTGGCATAGCAGGGCATGCTTAGAACCCGCCAGGCTGGCGTGGTGAGGGCAGGGCAGAGGATGAGGCAGGGGCAGTGGGACGCAAGCAACGCGAGGCAGGTTTCAGCATTTTCACCGCCAATCTCCCCTTCAAGGTTTTAAACAAAGAAAAAATAAATAAATGTCAGCCAGAGCAAAGCAGCAGCATTCCAGGAGCCTGCGGAGCGGTGCTAAGGTCCTGTCCTGTGGCCTCCTCTTGCAGAATTACCAAATCGGAGCACGGGAAACACAAGGTGCTCTACAACTCGCAGCTGCTGTTTCAGCACCGCCTCTACGCAGACCTGGAGACCATCCTGTACCACGTGCACCTCTTCAAGCCAGTGCCGCAGCTCATGAAGCACCTGGCGCTCTACCTCCGCAACACCATGATGCAGAAGGCCTTCCAGGCCCTGACCAGGTATGCACCGCAGCCTGCTGCAGGGATGGCGGCGACCAGGGGCAGTGCGTGACCCTTAGAGGTGCAGTTATCATTATTTATGTCCAAAGAAGCTGAGCCAGGGGCGGCCTGCAGTTCCAAGGAACCCCGAGCCTGTGTCGTTTCCACTGTTACACACAGTCTCCCAAGAGAGTTTCAGAAACATTGGTGGAATGAAGACAGTTTTTTCAAAGACATATCACATGAACCTACCTTCTGTACTTGGAGAATATCCTAGAATAGCCTGAGAGATGAAGAAGTGGTTAAGACCCATTTTTCCAGTGAGCAACGGGGAACCGCCAGATCCACCGGGCCAAGGGCAGCTTTTTCTCTCAACCAAATGTTTGCTTTTCTGTCTGCTTCTTCCCTGATCCCCGTTCCACCCTCCCTCCCTATTCCTCAGAAAGCCATTCTTCAGAGATCTGATCTTCCAGTACTTGCACCCCTTTGCCTGTGCTGATCCTTCTGCTCCTAGGCTGGTGGCCTCCCCGGCCTTCAGTGGCGGGCACTTGCCCGCCCTGGGAAGCTGGGTGCGCGGCCTGCTGGGTTGCACGGCTCACGCTTGCCGGCAGAGCTCCTCATTAGTGTATAGAATGGCCCCGTCTCGTGCCTGCTCTTGGAGGAGAGCTGAGAGAAGCAGGTCCTGCTTAGAAGGGGAGACTGACAATGAAGAGTGCAGTGGGGGGCACCTGAGCCCTGGGTATGCCGCAGCCGCAGGGCCCGGGCCAGGCTCTGCGCCAGGGAGGTGGCGCAGTGTGGGCACTGGGCGAGGGCTGGGTCCAGCCGGGTCTGGGCGTTCGGCGGCTCTGCCACCCAGCATGGAGGCTGGCAGGGCAGTGCTGCCAGTGGGGGACGTTATGGGTCGCCGGCAGGGGCGAGCAGCCGGGGACCACACCGCCCGGGTCTAAGGGGCGGCCGAGGCACTGACAGAGGAGGAGGCACAGCAGTCAGGAAGGCTGGGCAGCCTGGTCCCCACCCCCTCCAGACACCTGCTGGGTGAGGGAGAGGGTTTGCTGTTGCTTTAGGACTCAGGTGCCTCCCTGAGCCTCTGCCAGGCAGAACGGGGCCTGCAGTGGTCGTCGGGTGGGGGCATCCGCATGGACCCATGGCCGCAGGGGGAGCAGTCCTGGGCGCACGGTGCCTTCCGGACCCCTGCCCAGCAGCCCCGGAGCTTTATCTGTGAGCCCCCGCCCCACCGAGTGCACAGGGCGCACACTGCCCATCCCATAGCTGTCGCTTTCACTTACCTTTTACTCTACAGATTTATAGAAAAATCACAATTTTATGGGCTTACAACTACAACCCAGACAGAAAACATGAACGCACACATTCTGTTCTAGAAACAGGTTAAAAACTTTAAAAAATAAGTAACTTTGCCCTTACCACCTACTCTTACTAAATAGAGGAAGCTTGTTCTTTTGTGTGACCGATGGTTTGTTTTACGGCGGGCGTTCTTCAGGCGGGTGCGTGGGAGAGCGCAGCAAAGGTCTCCCGCAGCAAAACTGAGGAAAAGCTGGCTAATAATAGTGATGTGACAGGAGCACCGCGTTTGATTTCCAGGCTTTCACGTCTCAAGACGCTCAATTCTAAATGAGCAATTTTATGAATCTTATTTAACATCTTAAAAATTAAGGTTCTATGAACATAGGTAAAATACAAAGATGAATACTTACCAGCAGTGGGAAATAATGGAGAGAATTATACCATAAAACCTCTAAGTGTACAGCTATGAATGTACTTAAATTTAGGGTAAGAGGTTTGCTTGACGCCCTGAGCATAGCCTGGATTCCTCCTCTAGTTGTAGAAGAGTTAAGAGTTGCAGTATTATCTGAGATTCCTCTCATGTGCTGGTGGGTTTAGTCATTTATTCATTCATTCAACCAATTTTAATTAAGTATATTGTATGAGCTGCCCCCACTTCCCCTCTGCTGAGGTAGGGGCGGGGGAGGCCCAAACGACAGCGCCTGGCACGAAGGTGTCCCAGAGTAAGGCCTGCGCCGCCAGGCCAGCGGAGCCCCCAGCGGGACCTCCGAGCCCGGGGGCCGGGGCAGGCGGAGCAGGACACAACAGGAGGCGGCCCTGCGCCGCCCACCGCCCAGGAGCCGGCGATGGGAGGTGCCGCCCCGACCCAGGGGACCTACCCAGGCTTCAGGAGGACTCCGCCCGCCCACAGAGCTGGCTGCGCCTGGAAGCTGGATTTGCCGAATCTCCTTGCACAGCGACGTGAGGCGCACAGGCGTGCGGTGACCAGCCTGGCCCCGAGGGCACACACCGTGCCTCGGTGTGTGGTAGACGCATCACCGCGCGCACCCCACCGAGGGTCGCACCTGCGGGGATGATGGCAGGAAATCCCACCTGGGCTGCGAGTGCCAGGCTGTCGCGGTTCACCATGTTGAGGGGCACAAATGCAGTCCCCTTGTCACATGGTTCCAGGTGAGAGGACAGGAATGTGCAGGAGCCCCATGGAGGAGACAGATGGCGGTGCCTCTACTGTTAGGCAGCCCAGGGCTGCAGTGACAGGGGAGACCCCGGGCCGGGCGCTCACCAGAAGCTGAACGGAAGCTCTTCTCTGGGAGGCAGGACCCTTCTGCCGGGGCCCCGCTCTCTCTCCCTCAGCTGCCGCGCCCCAGCTGGGTCCAGGTTGCTCCCTAGAGGAAGGTGAGCACAGAACCCCGTATCCATTGAGTCCCATTTTCTATGGTATCCCCCAGCTCCTCACTGCCTGGGCCCGAGCTGTCCCCGCAGAGAAAGGGTGGCAGTGTTCCCCAGGCTGGGAGGCAGCCGCCCCAGGTTTACCTCCTGCAGCCCCGCTAAGAGCCCTTTCCTGCAGCGGAGATGACAAGGAAGGACAGATGGGAGCGGGCATCTCTCAAACGCTTTCCTTCTCCTTCCTGTAAACGCGTGTTTACCAGCTAATCAACCTCCCTGAGTTTTCATTTCCTCTTGTAGAATGGGGATGGCTTGACCTATTTTGCAAGGTAGGCGAGGCTGAGTAGGGTGGCCCTTGTGTGTTGCAGGATCTTCTACATCTGCCATTACAGCGCCAGCCTCAGGGAGGTGGTCACGAGAGACCTGCTGCCTTCCTCTGCCATGATCAAACACTTGAGCCACGAGTTTGGGTTGCCCTTTTCACCAGAAGAACTCACAGACAGAACATTTATGGCCGTCCCACATCATCCCGCCCCCAATCTTGAGGACTTTCGAAGCCGGCATTCCACCCTCACTTATGAAATCCTTGCCCACCAGGAGAAGTACCTGCAGTGGCGGAACACTGTGCTGTTGAAGAATAAAGGCCAGAAGCGCAGTCTGATCCAGGTGGCACTCTGTCCTCTCTGGGGTTAGGGGTCCCAGGCCTTTGCCCCACCTGGGCTGCCCAGTCGTGCGAGGCGATAGAGAGCAGATGGCCGGATCTCAAATGGGGCATCCGCCTCTGGCCTGTTCCCGCTCTCCTGCCCTGGGAGCCAGAAGCACTGGGTGCAGGGCTGAACCACACCAAAAGCCCTCACTCATAGCCCTCACATGCCCCATCCCCCTGCAAGGGGACTGTATCATCTTTGGCCCCGGGGTTCATCTTTGAGGAAGAACTCTCACATGTGCGTGTGTGTGAGTGTGTAACATCTTACTTAAGCTGCTAAGGGCATGGATGTTACCACATGTCCCAGCAACACAAGAGGTAAACTAAATCTGCATGTGAACATGTTAAAGGAAGAGAATAAGAGACTAAGAAGCTGGTGAGGAGATGGAAGGCTGGGTACTATGTGGCCTGAATGGCCAGCAAGAACTACCTTCACCCCATATCAACCGAAAAGACAAAAACACCAACATCCAAAGTGTGACTTCAGGCTGCCCACTCATGCTCTGTCTGTATGAAGCCTCCTATCCTACTCCCATCCCGATCTTTAGTGTAAAAAAAAAAAAAAAAAAGTGCCGTAAGGCCTTCAGAAGTGTGTGAGCTTTGCGGGTGTGTTCTTTATGTTACTCTCGAGGTTAATCTCTGTTGTTGCAAATGGTGAGATTTCATTCTTTTTTATGGCCGAGGACTATTCCACTGTATATATGTACTGCTTCTTTTTTGCCCACTCATCTGTTGATGGGCACATGGTTGTTTCCATGCCTTGGCTACGGTAAGTAAAGCTGCAATGAACATAGGAGTGCATTTATCTTTTTAAGTTAGTGTTTTGGCTCTCTTTAGATGAATATCCAGAGGGAGAATTGCTGGGTCATATAGTAATTGTATTTTTAATTTTTTGAGGTATTGCCACACTGCTTTCCATAGTGGCTGCACCAATTCGCATTCCCACCAACTGAGCACAGGGGTTCCCTCTCCTCCACATCTTCACCAACACTTATGGTTTGTTGATTTATTGATGATAGCCATTCTGATATATTTTTTTAAGATTTTATTTTTAGACAGAGGGGAAGGGGGAGAGAAGGGGAGGGAGAGAAACGTCAATGTGTGGTTGCTTCTCGCACAGCCCCCACTGCTGACCTGGCTTGCAACCCAGGCACGTGTCCTCATTGGGAATCGAACCGGTGACCCTTTGGTTTTCAGGCCAGTGCTCAGTCCACTGAGGCACACCAGCCAGGGCACCATTCTGATATTTTTTAATTGAACTGTTTGTTTGGTTGGTTTTAAGTTGTGCAAGTTCTTCATATATTTCGGATGATAACCATTTATCAGATGTGTGAATTTATCAGATTGGTGAATATCTTCTCTCATTCAGTAGGTTATCTTTTGGCTCTATTGATATTTACTTTTGATGTTTATTGTTTTCTTTGCAATCCTGTCAGCTGTTGCTTTATAAATTTTGAGAAAACTATTAAGTACACAGGATGTTCATGATAGTTATATCTTCTTGTTTTTTCCTCTTTTGCCTCTTTTGATAAATTTTTATCTTGAGTTACATGGTTAGATATTAAAAATGCTACTCTAGCTCTTTTGCTTGGGCTTTCTGGTCCTTTTTGCCTAGTTTATAGTCTTCCTCCATTTAATTTTAAAGCCCTTTTTTTTAAAATTTAAAGCAGTTCTTTAAAATATGTGAATGTGAGCATCTTTTTTATTACACTCATTGGGATGAGTCTGGTTAATAATATTGTATAAGTCCCAGGTGTACATTTCTATGGTACATGATCTGTACATTGCATCGTGTGCCCACCATCCAAAGTCAAGTCATTTTCCGTCACCATGGATTTGACCCCCTTGACCCTTTACCCTTTACATCCCTTCCCCTTCCCTTATAAACAGCATAGTGTTAGCTTTAAAAAAAAAAATCCAATCTGAAGTTGTTTAATTGGCAAACTTAATTCATTTACTGTAATGACGGTGAGATAAGGCTTTTAGGGGCCACCTCATTCTCTCTGTACAGAGTGCAGAGTAATCAACAGAACAACTGTTGACCAGAAGAACTTCAACTTTAAACTTTTCTCCCCAGGCCATAATCCACCAGCTCTAGGATTTTGAAGGAAGAGGGATTTCTTGTTTTATTAATGGCAGGCTGACTAATTCAGACCAACCTTCCCAGAAGACGACCAGAAAAACTGGCAAAATACTAAATATTCCGACGGCAGCGACATGTGGGCCATGACAGGACCCTAACTTAGACCGCAGTCTTCTCAGAGCTGCTCCAACGCCTGAGTTTTGTCCCTTATCCCACGGCCTTCAGCCTGCCCTTGCCTTCAGTCCCGGTTGCTGCAAGCCATGGGGGTCTTGTTCCTGGACCAACTTCTCTCTCATGTCTGTGAAACACAGATTTATTAAGTCCTTCTCTTGATTACTTTGCACTCTCATACAGAAATTCCTCAAAGATTCCAAAGTCAAGCCGGGGCTGGTGTGGCTCAGCGGACTGAGTGCCGGACTACGAAGCAAAGGGTCACCGGATAGATTCCCAGTCAGGGCACATGCCTGGGTTGCAGGCCAGGTCCCCAGGGCAGGGGGGAGGGGCACGTAAGAGGCAACTATACATTAATGTTTCTCTCCCTCTCTTTCACCCTCCCTTCCCCTCTCTCTAAAAATAAATAAATCTTTTTTAAAAAAATTCCAAAGTCAAGACACTGGGACTTGGCCCCAAGTCATGTTAATATGTGAGTCAAGGTCAACCTCTTGAGTTAAAAAAAAAAAAATGTAAGCAAAAGATAGTTATTTTATGATGGTTGGTAGGCAAGCGAAAGACAAGCTGTGCTGCACAGTACCTAACAATTTCGAGTAAAACTCTTCCTCTTTCTCTTTTTTGGGGTCCCAGACATCTTTCTCTGCAACCTCCTACTGTACTTTTTATCTCTCTCCTCGTTGCTGTTTTCACTCACAAAGGAAGCCGACAGACCATCATGAGGCTCTGGGGAGAGGAGGGCAGCCCTCCCTGTGCACGTGAGCACGGCCGGGGCTGGCAGCCCTTGAGCTTCAGCCCGTCTTTGCCCTGCACACACCGCGAGGGCCTCAAGCCTCTCCCACTTCTCACCACCTGAGCCACAAACTCTGGCCACTGCCCTGGGTCCCAGGTCCAGTGACCTTAGGCAAATGTCAAGTTTCTGGTCCTAACTTACACTGTCGACAGGAAAGGACTGGACTAGATGGCCCCCTGGCAGGGCTCTGTGATAAAATGGCAGCCCTAGTTCTCAGGAATCAATACCTGCAGCCACGTCCCAGAGCTGGGCTCCAGCAGGTAGCTGGTGGTGAGGGGCGCTCGTGCGGGTAATGACGGGTGTCTCTTTCTTCAGAAAAATATCATGGAAGTCTCCCAGGTTGGCAAGAAGACGCCAGAGTCTGCAGTGAAGGTGATTAGAAGTTCAGTCCCTATGAAAGATGCCGTCTATAACTACAGTATTCAGACTCTGAATTCCACAGAGTTTGCCAAGAGGGAGCTGTATCGCCAGATGGCCAAGGTGAGTGAGAGGCTCAGAGAGCGGGAAACAGTCACATGCTTTTACTCCAGACAGGACACAGCAGTTGGCTAATGCCATGGACTGTTTCCTCTCTGACCATCCAGTCTGGAGACCCGCGGGAGATTTCCAGTGTGGGGATGAGAGCCACCCAGTTAGGGAAGTAGGCAAGGGACCCGGTGCTGGGAAGGGGGTTCTGTTCCCACGCTAAATGGGAATCCTCCACATGCAAGGGTGCGCCAAGAGGCCCTCGGCCTATGCCCAGGTGTTCACAGCTGCAAACCACCACAGGTTCCTTACCTATGCAAAACATTTTGTTTCTGCTCATGCAAAGCAGCAGTCACCCTGAAGGAAAAGCTGGCTTCGGTTTTCTCACACGGTGAATTTAGAAAAGGGCTCCTTCTGTCAAGGGGGGCAACAATGTGAACCTCTCAGGGCCGCTGCACAGTTTAGTGCATCCGAATGCCCCATTGAATATTGCCAGGAACTATTGCTCTGCCCTCGGCTGTTTCTGAGACCTGCCTGGGAACCTGAGGCTCAGTCAGGCCTCTCCAAGACCACCCCCCCTTCTGTCCACATGCCTGCCCCTCATTTCCAGGAACCGGGCAGAAGATTCACATACTCACAGAATTACCTCTCAGCCATGGTGGAGCCCCAGGATTCCCAGGAAGAGGGAAAAAAAGCCAAGAAGAAATCCCACCAGGCCTGGCTCACAGCCGATGGATTCCAAGTGGCAGGTCTTCACAAGAGCACCGAAAGTGACCACCTCAAGCTGCTGCCCATTGGCGCCACCACAGAGCCGACTGAGGTCCACAGGCAGGAGGGGCAGGGTGTCAGGTGGGGGTCCCTACCTGACTTATTGTTAGGGGGTTCCTCCTAACTTACTGTTCCCAGTTTAGGAGTGGAGGGAAAATGCACTGTTTGCCAATGTGCTGCAGCCTGTGCTGGATCGAGACAGGTGGAGCTGGGACCGGCGCCATCAGGACTTTGATCTGTACAAGAAGCCACCGCCTTTCTTCAAGCTGCCCCCAGCTCTGTCACTGAACCCCGTAACAGGTAACAAATAAGACGTGTGTAAAGCTGAGCCTCCTGACGCTGTCAGCAGGCAGGGGGTCTGTACGGCTCCCCAGCATCAGCAGCATCCATGTTGTTCAGATGCGGGGAGAGGAAACCAAGGTTCAGAATGCACCTGGTGTAACAAACTGATGGTGGGGCTGGAACTCAGGAGGCCTGAGCTCTCGTTCCAGCTGCAATATTAACTCATAATGTGGCTTGGGGCAGGTCCCTGCCTTGCTCTGGCCCTTGTTTCTTAAGTATATAAAGGGAAGTTGGAAGACAGATCTAAGGGCTTTCTGAGCTTCACCGCTGTGCCACCCCTGAGTGGGCTCGGGAGGCCCAGCCAACAGCTGTGGCAGAGGACCTGGGCCCCGCCGGACCTCCCAGCTCCCCGCCAGCCCAGACGCGCCACCTCCCTCTGTGGGTGAGACTGGAGTCTTGCTACCTCATCCTTCTGAGTCCCCTTTTTATTCTTTCCATCCCTCTGTTTATGAAAAAAATACCTAAAAATCATTTATGGGTTGATAGAGAACCCAAATCTGTCCGTTAACAAAGCCAGAATGTTTGTTCAGAGAATAAGGGATGGGTTTTCCAGCAACAAGGTTTGCCACAAGAGAACCCTTTCCCAGAAATCAAGACAGAATAAACAGGGTGGATTTCCCTCCTCCCCCAGCTCCCGAGGGCAGCTCTGGGACTAGGAGGAAGGACACCAAGCTCCTGAAACCCCTCTCCCCTCACTTGGACCTTGCTGCCCCCACAGGGCAGGCCCCAGGCCCTGGGGCTGTGTGCAGGTCTCCTGCTCGCTGTTGGTATGTCCCAGGCCGAGGCGCTGCCGAGGTCCAGCCCAGGGGTGCCAGGCTGGCCTCTCTGGCCAGGGTGCTCTGCCGGGCTGCACCGCCAGGCTGCATCACAGGCCTTCCCAGCACAGGGTCCCTGGATGCCTTGAGTAGCCCAGGCGCATTGCTGACAGTGGAAACAAGTATGCAACGGGGCCTTCCCTCGACATGGCGTGTTGAAGGAAAACTCAGAAATGGCAGGTAAAAGGGTGAGCCTTGAACCGGTGACCCCAGCCTTTTAAACTCCACTGGACAAAGAGAGAACCTGCAGCTGACAGGGACTTCCATGCCACAAAGCCTAGAGTACAGACAGCTTTCCTGAGAGCTGCCCCAGGAGGGTGGGGCCTGCATGCTTCCAGCTTCGCCTGTAAAGGAGCTCCTTTCCCGGCACTGTGTGAGAAGATGTGCTCTTCATTTTGTGCAAAGTGCTTCCTGGCTGGCATTTAAGAACTGGAATTTCATTGGAAAATTATTTCCAACGTCACAGTATTTGTTTCCTTTTCACCTCTTGAAAATAAGTTACCAAAACCCTGGCAGAGCGTGCAGGCCGACCCCACTAAGCTCACTTGGGCCTCCGCATCCGCCATCTTCTCTTTGCTTATTTCTCTCATCACCACAGTTTATGGCTTCTACTCGGAAGGAAAAGAGTGAGCCTGGCTTCCTCCTCTTGCCTCAAGGCAACATCTACAAGGGGCTCTTTTAGGGGGAGCCCCAAACCACCTAGGAATTGGACCAGAGCTTGAAAACTGCCAGCGTGCTGGGGCCCAGGACATCCAGCAAGTAACAGTGGAAGGAAGCCTGGAAAAATGCAAAGGCCTTGTAGTACCATCTGAAGATACCTTTTTCCCCCCCTCACTTCAAGAGTAGAGGGCAATCCTTGCAAAGAAAGCAGAGGGAAAGCCCAGGTGGGAACAAGCTTATGTTGTCATATATCAAGCAACGTCGTTTTCCACCCTGCACCTGGGAGGGATCAACCACTGGGCAAATAACCCCCATGGCCCTGTGCTCAGCACCTGCTTCTCAGTTTTCAGGCCCTTCTTCTTGCAGAGTGAGGGCAAAAGGGAATGGAGGCTGTCACCGAAGGGCGGTTCCCAGGATCACACTGCATCCATTAAAGGCTGGCTCTGAGTAAAAACATGACTGAAAGGGCAAACACAGACTGCCATTGTAAAGTCCTACTTTGTTAAATGGTTCCTGGTACATGATGTAAGAGCATTTTGCTCCTAGTCTGAATGAATGACACATACGGAGCTTTCAAGCTGCCTTTTTGGGAATGTGTGGTCCAGTGGAAAGGCCTGTCCACACCCACAGTGGGTCCCTGCAGCCCCACAGAAGCAGCAGCACAAGCCCCAGTCTGCGTGTGAAGCCTCCTACACTAGCAGCATATCCTCAAACCCCAGGCCTCAGGATTCCGTTATCCGTGGCCGTTCAGAACCTGAGGCCGTGTCAGGCAGCAGTGCCCACAGGTGAAAAACGAGAGGCTCCCTCAGGCCAGGAGAAGGACCTTCAGGTGAAAACTGGGAAGAAATACTTCAAGTCAGAGCAACCCCATGTTGCACACCTACGGGAACAAGTGAGAATTGTCTAGCAACAGGCTGTGGCCTGGGGGTGGTGGCAGCGGGGACCACCGTCCCTGTGCTTCAGGACATCCAGCCCAGATGGTGGGCACAGATGCATGCTCCCCCTCCAGAACCTGCTGGGACAATTCCTTGATCTGTCCATCTAGGTTTCCTGGAGAATCTGGGAGGGAAAAGAAGATAGTTGGTGATCTTTCTGCATTATGATAACAGAAACTGCTGGGTCATTTTTTCCAATAAAGTCAACCTGTGGGTGGCCCCACCACCCCTCTAAACCCCCAGGAAGTCATTCTGGGCTGTAGACAGAGGCTTCATTCTGAATAAAAAAGGGCTCATCCTGTTATTCCCTAAAAACTCCAGATCGTGGGGGAAGAGGGGTACAGAGAAGGCATTTGGTCAACACACAGCCCCTTCCCTTATGATTCAAACCTACTGCAGGGGAACACATGTCCTCACTCTCCACGGAAAGCGGACTCGGTCAGCACCTTGGACAGTGCCAGGGCCAGGCGCCGCACAGAATTCTGGGCCCCTCTCCACCGTCTCTTGGCAGCAGGGCTAGGCTCTGCAGGGGACATGTGACACGAAGCCTCGAGGCCAGCAGGACTGTACGGGTCAGAAGAAGAACTGGAGCTGCACATTCTAAGACCTGGGCACATGGCCACGAAAGAGGAAGAGCATTCCTGACAAACTGAGCAACACGAGCAAAGTCCCCTCATGGTCTAGGGCAGCAGCCTGGGACCTCTGCCAGAAGGGCAGCTCCGTTTCCGCCACGGCACAGGGGTGTAAAGGCAAGGGGCGCCTCCTCCCTCTGTGAACTGCCCTGGGCAGACGCCAGCAGGACCCGCGCAGCGGCGCTGACAGGACTCCCATCCGCAGGTGCGTGCTCCTGCCCCGCTGCAGGTGAGCACCGGTCCCAGCTGGCCCGCCTCACTCGAGGCAGAAGTCTGTGCGCAGCCAGCAGGCCCTGGGAGCCCGACAGGGCCAGAAACAGCTCTCAGTCCACAGTTTCCTGGAATTGCACCCCCCGCCCAGGCAGCCCTACTCACACTTGTTCAGCTGAGGTCAGGTGAAGAGATTCGGGAAATAAGCTTCTGTGTAGAAGATGTTGGCTGACGGAACTGAGGCCGGAGAGAACGCCGGGATCTCTGGGCCATCGGGCACCCCTTCCCTGGTGACTGACCTCTCAGCTTCAAAGAACTCCTGGGCAGCTTGGCTGAGGACAAGAGGTCTGGCTCGGAAGGCACAGTCTTGGGTTCTAATTCCAGCCCTGAGCCAAACTAGCTCTGTCCCAAGGGCAAAATACTCAACAAGTCCGAGCCTCGGTTTCTTTCTCTATGAGGCGGACTTTATAATTCTCGCGGCCGGGGGCTACTGTGGGTCAGTGCCAGATCCCCAGCAGGGACTCCGTGACTGCACCCACCCCTCAAGCAGGGTGAGGAGGGCAGGCAGGGTGACAGCGCTAAGTTTGGGACTCATTACTAACACGCCCTTTTCTGTCAGGTAGGAAGATAAAAGGGAATGGCCCTGTGTCCTAAACAACCCAGAGCCCCCACCGGAGCTGGCAGTGCCCACCGCAGGCCACAGCCATAACTCGGCACACCCGCCCGCCTCTGGGTCAGCTGCTGCGTGGACCCTGCGCTTCACCTTCTCCGGCACCACAGCTGGGGGCCAAGGCCGTTGGCTTGCCCAGCCCCTCCCACCTGAGGCTCCTCCCTGCCGCTGGATGACCCCTGCCCCCAACCACCGGGCCTCATTAAAGTGCAGCAGGACAAAGCCAGCGGGAGCTGCCTGTGTGCTGGCTGGGCAGGGGCAGGGCGGGCTCACCTCACGGTCAGGGTTCCGGAGCCCGGCTCCCGCAAAGCAGCTGCCATGCTGTGCAGGTTGATGAGGATGCTGACCACCTGCCTCAATGGTCTGGGAACACAGGGGCCCAGGGTGGAGGCCTGTTACCTGAGACCCACCCCAGACACTGTCCCACCTGGGGCATATTTTCTCCCACATCTGAGCCTCACTTTATACCTCAGGGGAGAGAGGCTAATACGATTTCCCTATGGGTTGTGGGAGGTCGGCTCGTGGCTGCCTTCTGTTTTCCCTTCACTCTGTCTAGATTTGGGCAAGGTCAAGGCAAGACCAGGTCCCAGGAGTCTGGCTGAAACCAGAGGCTGGGGCTTAATACGCCTTCAGCAGCAGAGCCTCACAGATCAGGTTCTGCGATCGGGGCCCTGTGGGGCTGCCCTACCAAGTGCATGGAGCCTCCCTTCACCCAGAGGGCGCTCACCCAGCAGGGGCTCCTGCCCAGCTGAGAGCCCCTGGGACGGGCAGCCACGGCCAGCCCTGCCTCCCCTGCCTCCCCACCCCACTCTTCCACGGCGAGTAAGATTTCTTTCCAGGCTGGGTCCCAAGGAGGGACACTTGGTAAGATGTCGTCTCATAGATGCTGGCCCCATCTCCTTGAGCCCCAGGGTAGAGGATCTGCTGCCCCAGGCCTGGCAGGGCCCAACTACCTTGCCAAAGTGGAGCAGCAATATCTCTGAGTACAGCGAAAGTAATAGGCGTTCCCGAGCTTGCTGGCACTGTCCTGGCAGCCAGAGCAAGGACTCAGCCCAGAACCTCCTCCCCATGGTGTCTGTCCTGTTTTCCCGGCCCAGGGCATGATAGGGAGTCCAGGGCCCACGCCCTGCTGCCATGCAGGCCCATCTCTGTCATGTCAGGGTGGAGAGAGGGGACATCAGCTGTCCCTCAGATTGGCTGGTCTTTCCCATGGACCCCTGGTCACATCCCTTTTGGGAGGGAGGTATCTGACAGGCTGTGTCTGCCTGGCTCACTCACTGTAACCCCAGGGTGCACAGCTCCAAGATTCTCTGTCAGCCCCAGGCGCGCGGTTCAACTCAAGGAGTCCCAAAGTGTCTGGCCAACAGTCTGCGGGACAGTGGTCAGGCTGCCCCCTTTAAGCTCACTGCAGAAAGCACATGGCCCCACAGCCTGAGGCCCTGCTGCTCCCAGAAACGTGTCCCCGCCACTTGGCAACCCAGAGCCCAAGGCCACCCGATCCTCCTCCCTGATGGTGCAAAGCCATAAAGGGCTGATCTGGGCCCACTGTGCCCCTCCTCTGGCCTGGCATGCTGGGCACGTGGCTGCAGGCTGAGCCCTTCCAGCCTCTCAGAGAGCAGCCAGGCTCCCCAGGTGGAGCCACACGTGTGCTCCCTCCATGACAGGCTGGGCCACAGTCAGCTCCCAGGGCTCACTCTCCCTGCAAACTGCTCTGAGCAACAGGTGCCTGGGCTCCAGCCGTGATTTCCAGTTGCTCTGGCCCAGAAGAGGGAGAGAGTAAGGGAGGGAAAGATGAACCAAATGGCTTGTGTTGGCTTTGGAGCATGGCACCTCTTTAACGGGCACCTCTCATTCCGCAGATTCTGAAAACAGCTCCCTGCCGTGTGGAGTGACCGCGAGGGCAGGGCAGTGAGGGCTTCCCTGAGCAGCTGGTCCCTCCCATCACCCTCAGGTGAAGACCAGGCTCTGGAGCCCAGCTCTGAAGCCCCACACTCACTGGCCGAGGCTGCTGGCCATCCCCGCTCCAGCCAGCAAGTGAGCTTAGCTCTGCAGGGTGCACTGCCCACCTGCCTCTTGCCACCCCAGCTGGGACCTGAGGAGCAGAGAGTGGGAATGACACCTACTTAGTCCTCGCAGTCGGAGTGCAGCTGGCGTGCGGCAGGCCTGCCAGGGCGACGTGCATCCTGAGGACCTCGTGGGCTCCCTGCGGCCAGCAGCAGTGTAGATGTCAAAAGCTGCCCCACGGGAGTTAGCCCCGGCAGTACATGCTGCTGCCCACTCACCCGCACGCTGGAAGCTATCGCAGGCAAGGCTGTGACATTTTATAGCATCCACCACCCTCACGGGAAGATCCAGGGCCATCTAAAACCTGGCTACTTGTCTCCCCTTCACTGCACCCCTCACCTACTCCATCCCCTGCCCCAGCCCCGCCGAGCAGGACTGGTCACCACTGCCACAGAGTGTTCTGCCTCCATTCACCTAGAGCTAGGAGGCGAGGTCCCAGCTGGGCCTGGCACATTCTTT